GCAACTTAGTTCTTTCTCTGATGCGAGTGATACAACGCTTATTAATGAGCATCTGTATGATCTTGAGAAGGCTCTTCCTGAGAAGGATATGCCTAAGCATGCGAGAGGACTGCGGCATAGGTTGCTCATTGTTTATCGCCGGCTATTTTCCCTTGTTGGACTCTTTAACATCGGTGCTGCTATCGCTCTCCTCCTGACTGGTATCACCAGAGAGTGGATGGGTATCATCACAGCCATCAACCTAGCCACAGCTGTCCTTGTTCGTCAAGAGTTCGTCATCAACGCCCTATACACTATCACCTGCAGCGTCCCCAAGACCTGGCCTCTTGCTATCAGGACCCGATGCGCAAAGATCTACCATCTCGGCGGAGTTCACTCCGGTGCGGCTGTCAGCGCAGGGGCATGGCTTCTGGCAACCAATATCGCCGACATAGCTTGCTCATTCGGAAGCTGTGCCAACTGGGGCAGCTTATCTATCGCTTCTCAAGCCATCTCTTGGATCCTATCTGCCATGTTCGTTGGTATGATCGGAATGGCTTGGCCTTCAGTCCGCAAGCGGTATCACGATTTCTTCGAGAGAACTCACCGCTTTGCTGGATGGACTATGCTCGCTCTCTTCTGGGTACAAACCGTGCTTTCAGCCCACGACAACACACCTTCTGGTACTACACTTGGAGAATCCTGCGTCAAGTCCCCTGCTTTCTGGCTCCTTGCTGTAGCGACAGCCAGCGTTGCTTCCTCCTGGTGCTTCCTCCGCAAAGTCCCAGTTGAAGCTGAGAAACTCTCAGACCACGCTATCAGACTTCACTTTGACTACACTGTTCCCGTCAACGGTTCCTTCACCCGTCTGTCTCACAAACCTCTCAAGGAGTGGCATTCCTTCGCCACCATCCCCGCTCCCGAAGCCATCAACGGTCGATCAAAGGGCTACTCCCTTGTCGTCTCCAACGCCGGCGACTGGACAAAGTCCACCATCCAAAACGGCCCCTCTCACATCTGGACACGCGGTGTCCCAACCTGCGGCGTCATGCGCATCGCAACCCTCTTCAACCGCGTCGTCTTGATCGCAACAGGCTCCGGGATCGGTCCTGTTCTCGGACACATTCAAAACCCAACATGTCCAACACAACTCATCTGGTCAACCAAGAACCCCGAAGAAACCTTTGGGGAAGAAATCTGCCAGACTATCAGCGAGCGCATTCCCAACGCGGTCATCCACGATACTAAGAAGCTCGGGAGACCTGACTTGGTAAAGATGGGCTACAATCTGGTAAAGGGCTTCAAAGCTGAAGCAGTTATCATTATTGCGAATGAGAAGATTACGAAAAAGGTGGTTTATGGTTTGGAAACGCGTGGTGTTCCAGCTTATGGTGCTATTTGGGATAGTTAGGTTTATGATTCTGGAGTTCTGAGTTTGGGCGTTTGTATTTATGTCTCGGCACCTGCGATTGCGATGAGTTGTATGCCGGAAACGATTTTGATACGATGAATGATTACATGTTATGACCTGAAACAATATTCGTCAAGATTCGCGCGTTGGAATGTAGTTGTGCTTGGCATGGGAGGCTGAGTTTGAGTTTGGGGCTGGATTGACTTTGAGGGTGACCTGAGGCCCCCGTTACAATCCGATTGAGTTATGGGATCGACGATGGGCTGAAGCGAGCAGAAAATGCACGGATAGGGTGAAGTTAACAGACTGTTCCATCGTTGCAGATCATGTTGCTGGGGATCCCAGTCCGGATCATGTTTGACTCAAGTGACGCAGATCATTATGCTCGGCTATTTACAGAATTTCAGACTCTCATTTCTGACTAGACAACATATGTGTAATATTTCAAAGCAAGATGCCGCTTTAAAGACATGGCTGTACGCGCCGCGAGGCACTCAAATGGTCTGAATTGAACGAAACGAAGCGAACTCCCCCCTACACCTGATTGAATGGAGATCCAAAGGCCAACCAATCAGCCTCCGGATCGGGCACTCCGTTGTTTCTGGTTGGTTCCCGCATCGGCTGTAACTGCAACTGTGACTGGCTATTCGAAGTTGCTGACACTCGGGGGCAGTTGAAGAACTCAAAGACGTCGATGCTGTCAAGTTCGCTGAGAGAAGTAGCTTGTGTTGATGTCGGTTCAAGGCCGGAGTGTCGGGCTGTTGATGTAAGGGTAACTAGGTCATATGCACTCCTATGATCATTAGTTGAGATGTCACATGCAGTAGATGTTTGAACTTACCTTCGCATAGCTGAAAAGTTCATATCGCCCTGTCGAGCCCTCTGAACAACACGATGAAGAATCTTGGAGTAATTATTCGCAACCTCCCAGTGTTGCCCAACATCACGCAACGTATCGATGAAGAAGTCAATCTGCGAGTCCACAGGACATCCAACCGTCGCAGCATGAACAAGCAGCAATCTCGCCGCAACCCAAAGCGAGAAGGCAAATGAGGGGCCAAGCAGGTTCAGGCCATCAGCTTCAAGAACATCTTTGGTAATATCCCCCAAACTCTGCACAGCAGATAAACATCTCTGCATGGCGTAGTGCGAAGGAACGAAAATGTGAGAACGAACTGTTGGATACGCCGCTGAAGAGTGCAGTCTCACAGCAGCCGTGACATACGCGCTATGCAGCATGAACCAATTCGCCACGCGACTCGCAGGGTCAGAATGGCAAAGAGCCGATATCTTGCTATATTCGCTCGGTAAACTCTGCAGCCAACCATCCAGCGTCCTGTCCAGATTGCGATATGTGTTGCGCCATTCAGCCATGTCGCTTGATGAAGTGACATCAACGGGTGTTTTGAGAAACTCGTGGATTCTGCTCACAATCACAAGAATCTCACAATGGTAGGCGAAACTGCCGAGGTTTTCGGGTTTGTTGACAAGATATGTCATTATTGGTGATCGTTTTTCGTTGTAGGGACTCAAAGAGCGAGTTTCAACTGGGACGTTCTTTGAGAAGAGATCATATGAGCAGGGGAGGAAGCGGTTTATCTTTGTGTCGTTGAGGATGAAGTCAAAGATCGGTGTTGCGATTGTTGCGTATCGATCTAGTACATAGATCATCCAGTACAATCGCCTTCGTCCCTCGTCTTCGATCCAAGATTCAGGTTTTCCAGCAGTGACTCTGTGAGATGAAGCGGTACGTGTAACCTCGGAAGCATCCGCGGATAGAAAGACGCTGCTTTCCTCGCTCAGACCCAGCTGCCTGACGTTCTGCGCTAGTAGAGACAGAAGATTCCAACCTCTTGGCCCATTGGAGGTTCCCAGCTCGTCGAGAGTAATGATGACAAGAGCCCTCATCGCAGGTATGGTGGTATGTTCCATGGCGTACAACTGAACTGTGTGCTTCGCTACCTTGTGATAATATGAACTCATCTCCGGTGATAACCTCGGATCTTTGAGGAAGCGCAACGTAGTAGCCACAATCGCGTATAGTAATATCCTATCCGCTTCCTCCATCGAAGTTGAGCCAAAGAAGGTCGCGAATATGGTCTTCCGCTCAAGGATAGGACACCACGTGTTGCAGTGCTTGAAGTAGAGATCTACCAGGCTGTAGATGATGTCGTGCGGCGGTAGATCAATCGTGTACGACTGAAACGATGGATCTCGCCTTACGCCAGTTGGATTTGGCGCAGTAGTTGATTGACTGGGTGTCGGTGCACTGGCGCCTTGCTGAGCCTGCATTGGCGATTGGATATTGTTCTGGTTGTTTACCGGCTGCCATGGACTTGTGATGCCTGGCGATCTCGCCTGCGAGACGGACGACTGTCTTGGGAGACTTGTATTCGGCGTAGGTCTCCCATCCACTTGCACCGGCCCATATCCATTGGTAATTGATGGCGATACACCCGGGGAGCCGACTGAGGAGTGATCTTGAACGATATGCTCCTCTACTCGCCTCCCCAACGCTTGGAGCAGCGCATCAATCCTGTTGACCTTTGCCTCAAGCTCAATGCTAAAGCCATTGCGCCCAGCGCCTGGTTTTTGCCTCTCAAGGTAAACACAAGCTCTATTATGTCTCGCGCACCACGAGCACGCAGGCTCAGCCCGATCGCATTTCACCTTACGCGCCTTGCACATCTCACACCTATCACCACATTTAGACTCAAATTCTCACAGCATTACGGAGCGTACATACGAAATCTTTTGATGCTTCTCCCTCTTCCGCTTCTTATTGGGCCCGGCGCTGGTCATTCTTGACTCGTCGCCGCTGGACCCATCGTCGTTGCTCAGAGTCGAATTTGCCTCTTCCTCAGCGATTGAGGGTCCGCTCATTGACGTGGATGGCATGTCGATCTCTCTCTCCGCAGTCTGGGGAAACAAACTACTGGGGAAAGGAATAAGCAGAAACCTTGCACGGTCTGTTATCGTTTTTTAGTGGAGGTGAGAACGTGTTGTTGGGTATTATGAGATGCGACGGAGTAAGGCCGAGCCGCGGGAAGGGGAAGAGAAAATCTGGAGGTGTGACGGAGTGGAGAATGGTTTAGTTGACTAATACTGGGTCTAGTGAAGTCAATGGCCAAGCAGAAGCGCTAAATCCATCCAGTAATAAGCAAAAAGCACTGAACACCAAGACAATATCGCTGCATCAAGTGTAACCATTCAATTCAAGTGCCAATGCAATGGAACTACAACACTGTAAAACAGTAGTCACGGTCCAGTAGAAATGCATGTGGACAAGAGGCCCGAACGTTGCAGGCGATATCCCTGTCTAGCCAAAAGCCAAGTACCTTACGTGCTGCTGTTGGTTGACAAGGAACTATATCCATGTCACGGTTTCAACAAAGACCTTCTATCTATGGTTAACCTTGCATTGCCGTTACGCATGTGACATGTGCATGTTCGGGCCACAAACACCGGCAAATGAGGGAAATATCTTTTCTTCCAATGGCACCGGATCACTCGGGGGTTTGACGACAAACATTCCGACCCTTGACTCTTTAGCAGACTGCACCCTGTGATGGATGCCACACCTCGAGATGGTCTACAGATCCCCCCTCCCCCGGAAATAACAATAAAAGTGCGGAGCCGCTTATGGTACGATCATCAAAGAGTCTAGTGGTTGTTCCAGAACAAGTCAAGTTCCATATTTATTTCCTCGTGGGAGTGGTAGACGCTACTGTACGTCGGGCTTATTTGGTTACCTTCTTCGTACAGGTTGGCGCATATGGTGTTCCATCAGGCAGCAGTATTTCAGACCATCCATGTAAAACATACTAGTACAGATCAGACCTAATCAAGCTAATGTAACTAAACAGCTAACAAACAAAAAAGCAAATCAACTACTCGTTGGCCCATCCCTTGGACATCTCGACGGCTTTGGTCCAACGACTAAACCGCTTTGTCGCTTCTTCCTCGGCGATCTGCGGTTTAAAGATGGTACGACCCTGGGTATTCACCTCCTTCAATTCATCAAAGCTCTTCCAGATGCCGACGGCGAAGCCGGCCGCGATAGCTGCACCTAGTGCAGTTGTCTCACGCATGCCGGGTCTGTTGACAGGGATCCCAATAAGGTCAGACTGGGTCTGAGAAAAAAGTGTTAGCAACGTCTAAGCCACTGCCACGAGATCAAGAAAGCAAGGGTTTGCAGAGAATTCCTTTACGTACCTGCATGATGAGATCCGAGTTGCACATGCCACCGTCGACGGCCAGCTCGGTCAGCGCATGTCCGCTGTCCTTCTCCATCGAGTCGAGGATGGCCTTTGTCTGAAAACACGTCGCCTCCAGCGTCGCTCTCGCAACGTGCCCGCGCTGCGTGTAAGCCGTGATACCAAAGATTGTACCTCGCGCATCGTCAATCCAGTACGGCGCAAACAGGCCGCTAAAGGCCGTTACAAAGGTGCACCCACCATTATCTTCAACCGTCTCGGCGAGTGCGCTGAGCTTGGCTGACGACTCGATGAAGCCAAAGTTGTCAACGAGAAACTTGACGCTTGAGCCTGCGACGGCGATGCTGCCTTCGAGGGCGTACATGGTGTTGCCCTCGCCAAAGTCAAAGGCCACCGTTGTGAGAAGTCCGTGTGTTGAAATCACGGGCTTGGAACCAACGTTGTAGAGAAGAAAGCAGCCTGTGCCATATGTGTTCTTGGCGAGACCGGGGGTGAATCCCTTCTGTCCAACAAGAGCTGCAGACTGGTCACCCAGACATCCAGTGATCTTGACGCCCTTGAGCGAAGTCTTAGCAAGTGTACCGTACGCCTTGCTATCAGACGACCGCACGATTCTTGGCAGCGTAATCTTCTTGTCATCGATTCTGAACCAGTCCAGAATATCCTCGTCATACTGCAAAGACTCGAGATTCATAAACATGGTTCTCGACGCATTTGACGGATCAGAAACGTAGACATCTCGGTCCGTTGCGCCGTTGAGCTTGTACGTAAGCCAAGTGTCTACCGTTCCGAAAGCCAGAACACCACGCTCATAAGCATCTTTGACTTCGGGAATATTTTCAAGAAGCCAGAGAAGTTTGCTGACGGAGGGATATGTGGATAGAGGAATTCCGCATCGCGAAATCAACTCGCTCGCGCCAAGACGACGCTTCAGACGACGAACAAGATCTTTTGATCGTGTGTCTGTCCAAACGATGGCGTTGTGCAGAGCATTGCCGGTGGTCTTGTCCCAGACAACAGTAGTCTCACGCTGGTTTGTGATGCCAACGGCCTTGATCTGCTCACGAGAGTGACCTTGACCTTCAAAGGCTTCTACAGCGCCATCAATGCACTGCTCAACCGAGCTGATGAGCTCTTCAGGATCATGCTCATGCCATCTAAACCAAATATCAACAATCATTCACGTATCACATAGTGGACCAACTTACCCAGGATGAGGATAGTATTGCTTGAATTCAAGCTGATGAGTAGCTACAACCTCGCCACTGGTGTCAAAGATCAGGAAGCGAGAACTTGTCGTACCCTGATCAATGGCACCAATAAAGGTAGGATTCGGTTTTCCGTTGAGCATAGGCATAGTGAGAGATGGGGATGCAGTGAAATTGCGGGGAAAGGTGTCAGATCCGGGGAGCGCGAATGCAACAGTGACTAAGAGGAGCAAAAGGAAGCGACGACAACAACAGCAAATTGATTGGGGACTGCAGGATCAAAAGCGTATCAGATTGGCAATTCTCTGGGGTGTTTAAGTATCTTCCATCTCGGGCTCACTGATCTCAACAAACACCGAGATATCAGATGTAAAGGCATCTCGGGGAAGCATTTCCCACCACCCTTGGATAATCTGCGGGGTATCAAAATCCTTCACAGCATTGGCAAATTGGCCTTTTCGTCTCACGCACACCCTTGTAATACACAAACCAACGTCACTTTCCTGATGTAGCTTGTAAGCTAAGCCTCGGCTTGTTGATACCGAAATACAGGCCCATGTCACAAGACAACCATCGGGGATCTAGCAAGCGAAACCCCAGAACCAACACCTACCGATGTACATCTGAGGAAAAGAGAGGGGTCGTCATGTTACGTTTCCCCGCAGTCATGTTCCAGAAGCTCGACTGGGCGCATATCTGCGGGTCTGGATTAATACACCTTGACCATACCTTAATTCCTAGCCAAGCCAACCTCGGTCAAGCGGATGTGCAAATCCTTTTCTCTTTTCGCACGACGATCCGGGGTTTGGCTGGGACAGTGGAGTAAATATGCGAACACAAGTCTCGAACGTGCCCCCCTCCATCCCACCCGGCCTTCGGTGTAAGCAACCTGATCAGAGCAGATACTTCGGTGGTGATATCCACGTCTGAACGCCCGTCTCTTTTCTTCTCTCTCTCGGTGTGTGCCGCCGAGCGGCATTTCGTTGGCACTCTGCACCGCCGCCGTCCAAGCTTTCGTATCGCCCGCACCATGGTTCGATTCATCGGGTGTAGTCGCTGCGTCTCCCCGTGTCCGTTCCTCTTTCCTAACGCAGTGGCGGATCGACATGCTTGCAAAGCCCACTCGTTGGTGATGTCTAATAACCATGGAGTCTCGCGGGCTTCGGTATGCTTTGCATGTAAGGGGTGGTGTTTGCAAATACCGAGGCCGAGAGCAAGAAAGAGGATCCTCTCTTGGGATGGGATGAGGGGCAAAAGACACCCAGGCTTCGTTTGTTTGCTGACCATAAATTGTAACGTGATCCCCAGAGATGCTTGATGACGCCAATCCTCTCAGTGTAACCTGTCTCTCTTGCATCCGCCAAACTTCTCCTCTTTCTGTCTCAAGATCATCTTCACAGGCTCACTCTAGGATGCCTATCCCTACCATGAACGACTCCATCTCTGAATCTTCTGTGCACAAATCTTCTATCCCCACTAAAGTCGAGATGAGCCAGAATGAAAAGTACAGTGAGGCTCCGAGTGAACCGCCCACTATTCCTCCCCCGCCTGAGCAGTATGCTTGGAGTCGAGTGAGAGAGTACTGCCAAGATGCCTTTTCAGAATTCTTTGGTACTTTCATTCTTCTTCTCTTTGGTGACGGTGTCGTTGCTCAGGTTGTTCTCAGTCGAGGAACCAAGGGTGATTACCAGAGTATCTCGTGGGGATGGGGGTAAGTCGTTATTGCCGCGGCCAATTGAGCCCATACTGACATGAATCAGTCTCGGTGTCATGCTTGGAGTATACGTTGGCGGTAAATCAGGTGGTCACTTGAACCCAGCCGTCACTCTCGCCAACTGTATATTCAGAGGCCATCCCTGGAGAAAGTTCCCTGTGTATGCCGTCGCCCAAGTCCTTGGAGCCATGTGTGCTGCTGCCGTCGTGTATGGCAACTACAAGTCTGCCTTTGATGCTTATGAAGGCGGTCCAGGAATTCGAACAGTGATTGGCGAGAATGCAACCGCCGGTGTCTTCTGCACATATCCCGCGGAATTCATGACACGCACTGGCATGTTCTTCTCTGAATTCATCGCCAGCACGATTTTGCAGTTTGTCATTTTCGCTATGGCTGATAGCGCTAACATCGGTGCTGGTCCTTTGATGCCACTTGGCTTGTTCTTCTTGATCTTTGGAATTGGTGCTTGCTTTGGTTGGGAGACTGGTTATGCCATCAACTTGGCTCGTGATTTTGGACCTCGTCTGGTTTCGTACATGATCGGGTATGGAAGTGAGGTTTGGTCTGCAGGCGGGTACTACTTCTGGGTGAGTCCAACAACAATACCTCGACTGTCAATATCAACTGACAGTGAAATCCAGATCCCCATGGTGGCGCCCTTCATGGGATGTGCTTTCGGTGGCCTTCTGTATGATGTCTTTATCTATACAGGACCCAGTCCGATCAACACGCCAGGCATGGGTCTCCCACGTCTCTTGAGCCCTCGACACTCGACGTGGTCCAACACTTACAGTGCTTCCTCTCCCGTATAGGCGCGCTCGATCCTTGAAAATCTGAGTGCTTTCGTGGTGAGGGCGAAGTGTGCGAGACCGTAGACGATGGTTGAAATTCGCGTCGTGAGATGCAGAGACATGGCCTAAACAGTGGCGCTAAAATGGCAGATTCTTCTTTCGAGGAGCAACGAGCCTAGCATACGAGAATGGCGTTCGTGTTCATCTTTTTTGTTGTTGCTTGTTTGCGGCGGTGGTGTTGAATGACTCGTTGATAGCGTAGATAATAAGCTCATGCTATTACTCAACGTTCTCAAATGACCGTGATCGGCAAATGACAATGACAGAATGCAATCGTGTTTGTCTAAATCTGCACGCTGTCAGCATTCCGTGATAGAAAAAGCAATCTTCTTTGTCGAAGAAGGGGTGTCTGTGATGGATTGGTATCGCGTCAATGCCATAGATTTGAGCAAGGTACCTGGGGAAGATGGTATAAGAAGCGTAAGACCTCGAACAAAGATGGTAAAAAACTCGAATCAACTTCATGAAGGCATATAGTAATGAGTTCCTACCTTTGACCGAGATTTTCATATCTTGATCAGGGGTCAAATCTCTGTGCAGCCCGCGGGCGCCGTGTTGGTTGTGTTGCTGATGGCTCGAACGAGGCACTCACCAATGACTGTCGCCGCTGACTGTCAGCCACCAACCCTAGACCTTCAGCACTCTCAACTTCTCGATCCATCTGTGTCGGCACAACAGCACTGTGAACCTTGAAATGAGCACAAAAATGCATCGTCAATTTCTAGCACTCATAAGTACAGAAGTTGCATACAAACGTATGTTTGCAATAGTGTGCGAGCTGGGCATATTGTCAGTTGTATGTCTTTCAGCCCTCAAGCCATCACGACACAACATCCACCAGTCAAATCACGGTATGACTGTCTTTCGCCTTCTGATTAGTGGAACAATTTGTCAGTCAAGCCGGACAAAGAACAACACATACAGAGAAGACATGCAATTCAAGCAAATGGCATCGTATTTCCCGCATCGTTTAACCAGAAAACTCATGACCTCTTGAACCTTTTGACTCTCACCCCAAAGTCCAGAACCTCGGGCTTCCCCTCCCCGACAGTGGGGGCAGCACATGTAACTCTCCGCACGTCGGCGCGGCTCATTATTAATCCAGGTATTGGCTATTCCATTCTCGGTCGCGTTCGGGCTTTAGCTTCGGGGTCTGCATACCGAGCTGCATAAGACCAGGGGTAAAGTCTCCATGTCGACGTCAGCTTCTCGGTGTTTTCGCCCCGACATGCATTAATGGCCTTGAGGCTCAGGACCTCCCGGAATTCCTCTTTGAGCCATATGACCCAGCTCGCGACGTTTATTGCACCGTTTTGCATCTCGCTTGCGGGTCAGATGCTTTGAGTAATTCGGGCATTCTTGGAATCAAACAGAGACAGATGATGCATTGCATAGCCAATTCTGGGTCTGAACCCCCAAACTTTCGCTTTGCTTCTCATGTGCCAGTCCCGGCGCCCTCATAAAAACTTGTTAAAACCTAAGCAATCCATGATATCAGAATCACTTTCGCAGACCCATTTCCAACTCCGCTAATTTATGGAAACTCTCTCTTGATCATCGCGCTTCGATTTACTTCTTATAAACCCCAAAGCCTAACTCTCTTTTTTTATTCTATCTGATCTTTGTTCCCCAGACCCAGACTCTCCATCTTTTCTCCAATCTCCCTCCCCCAAGCTTTTACACCGAAAAAAAGCTCTCCGCGGAAACAGTCGCTCCCGGCGCAACAACACCCCCAAACACCCAACACCACACACATACACACAAGATGCAGCAAAGATTACGGTCGCTCAAGCGCCCTCTGCTCCTCGCAGCAGCAGCCACAACAACAGTAACCCTCGGAGGAGCATACTACGCCTCCCGCAACAAGACACATGTCGTCGACAAGCCCCTCGTTCCTCTCAAGCGCGATGAGAAGAACCGCATCGTCCCCCCTACATTCAGCGCCACAAAGACCCGCGCATCACAACTCGCCGAGCTGCGTCGCAGCGGCGAAGACACAGAATACGATCTTCTCATCATCGGAGGCGGTGCTACAGGAACTGGTATCGCTGTTGACGCCATCACCCGCGGCCTCAAAGTCGCTCTTGTGGAGCGCGATGACTTCTCTTCTGGCACAAGCTCAAAGAGCACAAAGCTCGTTCACGGTGGTGTGCGATATCTAGAAAAGGCTGTTTGGAACCTTGACTATGGTCAATTGCAGCTTGTCATGGAGGCTCTTCGTGAGCGCAAGACGTTTTTGAACATTGCGCCTCACTTGTCCAGCTCATTGCCAATTCTACTACCCCTCCAAAAATGGTGGGAGGCGCCCTACTTCTGGGCTGGTACCAAGGCCTACGATCTCCTCGCTGGGTCGCAAGGTCTTGAGAGCTCATACTATATGAGCAAGAACAAGGCTCTCGAGGCATTCCCTCTCTTGCGACGGGAGAACATGGTTGGCGCGCTGGTGTACTACGATGGTCAGCACAACGACTCTCGAATGAACGTCGCTCTCGCTCTGACTGCTTCTCACTACGGCGCTACTGTTCTCAACCACGTTGAGGTAACTGGTCTTGAGAAGGATGCGAACGGCAAGATCATGGGCGCTCAAGTGCGCGATGTCCTCGCTTCCAAGAACGGTGATGCCGCTGGCGCTGAGCCTTTCAAGGTCCGCGCCAAGGGTGTCGTCAACGCAACCGGTCCCTTCACCGATGCCATTCACCAAATGGATGACCCCTCTCGCAAGCCCATTGTCGCTCCCGCTTCAGGTGTGCACATCATGCTTCCCAAGGAGATCTGCCCCAACGGTCTTGGCCTTCTCGACGCTGCCACCTCAGACGGTCGCGTCATCTTCGTTCTCCCCTGGCAGGGATACACTCTCGCTGGTACCACCGACAACCCATGCGAAGTTGAGGCTGCGCCTGTTGCTCAACAGCAGGATGTTGACTTTATCCTCAAGGAAGTCAGCAAGCTTCTGACACCCGAGTCTGTTCTGTCGCGCAAGGATGTTCTCGCTGCCTGGTCTGGTAAGTCGCATCATCTCAATTGACCTGACCCGAACACTTCTAACAATTTACAGGCATCCGACCTCTCGTCAAGAACCCCAACGCCAAGAACACCGAGTCCCTCGTCCGAAGCCATCTCATCACCACCTCCCCCTCCGGTCTCCTGACCTGCGCTGGTGGCAAGTGGACCACCTACCGTGAAATGGCCGAGGACACCGTCAACGAGGCCATCAAGCTCTTCGACCTCAAGCCCCAAGCCGTGGCTCTTCCCGACATCAGCGGCGCCGGCGCTTCCGGCTTCACCACCCGCGGCGTTTGCTGCACGCGCAATGTTCCTCTCATCGGCGCCCACGGATACTCCACATCTCTCGCCTCTCAATTGATGGAGGTCTACAACATCGACGCTGACATTGCTGATCATCTCGCTCACAACTACGGTGATCGCGCCTGGACTCTTCTCTCCATCTCTCCCTCCCTCAACACCCGTCTTGTCTCCTCTCTTCCCTTCATCGAGGCTGAGGTCTCTCACGGCATTCGCTCCGAAGCCGCCTGCACCATCCCCGATATCATCGCCCGCCGCACCCGTCTCTCATTCCTCGACTCCCACAAGGCTCTTGAGGCTCTTCCCCGCGTCCTCGACATCGCCTCCACTGAACTCCAATGGAGTGCTGCCCGCAAGGAGCAGGAGAAGGCTGATGCTATCAAGTTCCTCGCCTCTATGGGTCTTGAGCAGCAGACCGATGCGCCCGTGCAGGCCTCCCAGGAGGAGAAGATGCCCGTACGCAGCATTGAGCACTCACCCCGCCCCACCCGCGTCGGTGGTCTTGATGTCGACCTGAACGGTCTCGGTGGTACCGGCTCTTACAGCAAGTCGCGCGACGACTAGATGAGCATTTCATTTTTAGAGATAGCATGTAGCATATAGAGATTCCCGGCATTGGTTGTGTTACACTAAAAGCATGGCGCATAGATGCAGGATTGGGCTGGGATTGGACAAGGCGTCACGGATTTTCTTGATAACTATATATTTTAATGAACTTTCATGATCATCTTCATCTTCAAGTTAAATCCCTCTGGTGTTGTGGTCTATTCATCCACGTGTTAACCACGTCTACACTCGAGTTTAATTCCTCCATGCCCGCTGATCAATTGGAGATTATCCCCGCAATTAAATCCTGTTTAGAAAATCCCCATCGGATCGTCGATGATTTCCTGCATCTCCATAAAATGAGGCTCCATTACATCAGGACCCATCTGGAGCCCCAGACTAAACATGCTTCATGACCTGGAGATAAATGACGTAGCAGTTCCGTAACCATGGGTCATGTACGTAACGTCCTGAATCCTACGAGTGTGACTCCGATACCGCAGCCAACTTCGTGATGGGATTAAATAGCAGAAACTGGAAGAGGCAGTACAGGGTGTTGAAACGTCCTGACCATCTTGGCCGCCTGAGCGGTGCCATACGAGACATCAATGACACGGTTTGGAATTGCGCTAAGAACAAGCTCGAAAGTGAGCTCCGGAGCACTTGAGACATTGGTATTCGTACTGCGCTGTCCCTGTTGGTCGTCACCAGTCTGTCAAGCACTAGTTATGTACGGTTCGAACGTGTTTAGTGCATCGTTGCTATTATTTATCTGGAATTGCACACCCAAGGCCTGATCATTGCTTCGGTTGTTGGCCTTGGAAGGTACTACGTCGATCGTCTTGGGGTGTAGCTTATGCTCCTGTGAAAGGTCAGTTTGGGAAAGGAGGCAGAGGGGACGAGTCTTGACTCACCACCGGCGGCCTCAGCCCTGGAGAATCCGACATTAGCACCAAGTGATGATTAGCTTGCTGCCGTGACGGAGGTTGTGTTGTCAGCCGTCCCAGGCTGAGTGTGCGGCCACAATCCACTGGCCAGAGCCTTTTTGTCCGAGACGCTTGATGAGGACCCAGACCAACTTCTGATGGTTGAGTTGTCCACGGGGGACATACCACTTATGCGTAAGTCCGTCATGGAGCTGTCGTTTGGATCGTTGCCCTGGGACATGACTGATACAGCCGATGCCTGCAAGAGGCAATTCTTCTGTAGAGCCCGCAACGCCACACGGGAATGGCTAGTAGTAGCGCTCGGGTCCAATGACAAAGCCAAGCCTGGAACATATTGGTTTCTTAATCCATGCCACGAGGGGGTCCTTCAAGATGGTCTCGTGGTAACCTGTCACATAGGTTCTTGGCGACTGGGTTCAATCCCCTGACAATCGCGAGGTGATATCGAGCAGTACAGCGTCTTTTATCTTGGCAACAGACTCATCGCTAACTTGTCCCTCTTGAATAAAAGAAAGTTGATGATCTAATTGACTTATATCCTCACGCAGCTCTGCCAGTTCATTGCCAACGCTCTCCTCGAATTCTTGTGTATTCTTCTCGACCGCTGTCTCGAGGGCCCCAAAGCTATGGTGTATATCTTGTTGCGACTTGTCGAAGGCTTTGTATTGTTCTTGGAGCTTGGCTACGGTTTCCCGTAGTTCCTGGTTTTCCTTCTCCAAAAATGCAATGCGCTGCCAGTCTGTGGCTTTTGCTTGCTTGAGCATCTGGAGCTCAGCCCAAATCAGGGCAATTTCTTCAGCACGGTCGGTCTCAGTATCTTGTCGCGGACGCTTTCTGTCAGGCTTGTGGTCGATCGGGGGCGGCGGCGGCGGGGGTTCGGTTTCTTCGTATGACGGTGGTGCAAGCGTTTCATCTGCACCAAGCTGGACAATCTTTGCTCCAAGACCGGCATACATGCTAGCCAGTTGAAAGCGGCTGCTGCAAGATGTCTTGAAAAAACCCTGGCTGACTGCATCGCTGACTGACTGGAGTTTAGGAGATGCATTGCGCGCCTCGATGTAAACGGTGAAAGCAGTTGCCCGAGAAAACTCGCGAATGGCATCGAGCACAACACCTGACCGTGCCCGACCTGCTGGGCATATTGGCTCGAGAGCAGGAGTAGGGACAAGGATGTCAAGATGGCGGTTCAATTGGAAACGCAGGCCAAGAGCTGGGGACTTGAACTCTTGCTCCACCTCACTAGAGACGGTCGGATTTTTAACGACATCGAAAGAGATAACGGAGGAAGCACAGGCTCGAAGTGTTACATCGGATGTGTTGTCAAGGCCTTTGAGCTTGAGGGGAATGTGTATGTCGAAGAGAGAACCTTTCGAATCGAATCGAGCTGTCAACGTAATAGAGCTGACTTTGGGATCGGGTTTGGCCAGAATACGAATCGTGCGATCTGACTGCCAAATGTGTTATTGGAAATTCAAAAGCGTTGAGAGCTGACGCGGAGCCTTACCTCGTGATCAGACTGCCACTCGATGACAGTGCGGGCAGTAAAATGGACGTCAAGGCATGGTGAAGTCGACATTCCTGCAACCAGTCAGTTTTACAACGTTATGGAACTTGCCTGCGTAAGCTCCGCACCAAGCCGTGCCAAAACGCGCGCGACCAGAAGAGGGTGAGCTTCGCTGCACAGGCAATCTCTAATCTCCAGCGCGCTGCGAGACCAGAGATCCCTTCTACAGACCCCGGTTGTTCCAGCAAAGGAGGCGCGAAACGCACTCGTTTGAAGGGTACAAGTCGGAATTTTATGACAGTCTGTAGTGCGATTTACCGCCTCTCCTTGGACGCGGCGAATTGGCAGGGCGTAGTTGGAGAGAGTTGAATGATGGGAGAAGAAAACATTGCGACGCTGCTGGGTTGAACATGCGTGCGTGATGGAGCCAGCGTGAATGAACAGTTGATTGTGGATGCTGTCGGTGAATGGAAATGAAGTGGAGCTGTTCGTATGGAGAAATAGTTTGTCCGTTGAGCCGATGGATACGGTGGGTCTTGCGATAAATGCCCCATAGTTTCACTACTCCTCAGGTCAATAAGCCTGCTCTTGCGACAACTACTAGCTAGGTCAGTGACCCTCACTCTAAGGTTGATTGACTGTGGGTCAACATACCACAGACGCCTGTAAACCCTGTGATGCTTGCAAGAAGTGCCCTGACTGAAGCGCTACTGTTGGACAGAATACCTGACAAAAGTTCTGCGAAAACTGCTCAAGCTCGAGCGTCCTCGTATGAGCGTTTCTAGCGTCTTCTGCAAATGTCATAGTGAAAGCGTATATATAAATTGCCTTTTAAGTGCTCAAGTTAATTGGGAGTTTTTAACATCTTAATTTGATACATCTTAGTGACATTATATAATCTTTAACTATTGACCAACAGAACTGCTTGTAAGGAGTAGTGTTCCTGAAGCTAGCTGCGGGATGGATTTTGTCAACTTCAGCGAACGGATGACTGTCTGGATCTCAGTCAAACCTGGGGGTGTTGATACCTCTTTTGAATGCATGAAAGGCTTCCCTCCCCAGCTCGCAATACACCAAGATAACAGCCTAAGTGAGCAATCGGTCTCACAGCCGCATGTGATATCTGCTTAGGTTTCGCTCGTGAATCTCGGGAGACTCCCAGTCAGCTGAGCCCAATGGAAGCTCTGGTGGGGGTCCTCGCCAAGGACAGAGGAACCGAAATCCTACAGCTCTGGAATGAAGGTCTTTGCATCGCAAGATTTAATCCGATGCTAAAGCAGAGCCTATTTTCGTCTTGAATGGCATGTAAAAGCCGCTGTCATAGAAATCAGATAGAGTGAACACATGCTGACCACAATTGAAATTGCCACTTCTAATTGTCACCAATCTATTGCATTACCGGCAAGACTTACTCGACTTCGACTTGAGATGGAGATGGAGGGAGTTTTGGACACTCTTCTTGCAGTAGGGGATACTCAGTTTTGGCATGTGGATGTAGATATGTCTTTTGCAGCGCATGGCAATGGAGATGTTCTCGTCGAATGGCGAATATTGAACCACCAAGAAGCAGTAGGTCACGAAGGTAATGGTGGAACGAGACAAGCCACAAAGCTATTGCAGGTACTTCGGGAATTAGACGCCAACCAAAAGTTTATCCAATTTTGTTTGCGCCAGCTGCCGGATGATGTTCCAAGATGCCCATACTCGCTGCACGAGAATTTTGACTTTCAGACCTCTCTTTGGGTTAGGTGTTTGAGCTGGATCGGAAGATGAGACGATGGGTCAAAAGAGTCAAGGCCTCGATAGTGATACTACCAAGTTGATTCCTGACAAGCCTGGCGGTGGTCTAGAGAGCAATGCGATTGAGAATGGGGCATGTAGGGCGCATATTAGGTATTTTTGAGACCTAAGAATGAAGACTGTAGTTACAGAGTATAAGAAATCCGATGATATGACCAGTGAATGGTAAAGAATGATGAGAGGTGGTTCCCGTTGGCAACGGCTCCGTGTTGTGGCAGTTCTCACGATGGAGTACTGGCCTGAGGAGGACATAAGACTTTGAACGTTCTTACTATCTTAACGGGCTCGGTACCGCCTAGTGAGATGAATCTTTCTGGCATTGCACATATAACTAATTCGAAGTTGAGTTGACGAGCGGCTATCGGGTCGCCGGTATGAAGTCCTTCTCTATCGTTGTCAGTCTGTAGTACGGCCGTAATGCGCGGATCAAAAGCCTCTGTTTCATCCTCGGTATCTTCGATCTCAAAACAAACATCGAGGATTTCGCCGTTGCTTCGGTTTTCGATCTTGATAGGCGACATATTGAGGGCTTGGGTGCGAGGGAGCATGTAGCTGTCATCTTTACCTAGGGTATCGCAGGTGCGTCAACGTTGAGAGAGCTTCATATGGTTTCTTGTGAACTTACCCTTGATATCATCGAAACCAGAGACCTTGAAGTTAGCGCCCGAAGTCACTGAGGTTGCGTTGCCAAGTATCGCCGCTTGGGTCTGTGACCAGGAACTGTTCGATAGAGTTGCTCGGCCAGAGGTACACGATACCGACCCAGACCATATCGTAAACGAATGTGTATCGCTGTCAATTAAGTCGTCGCCCTCGCTCATTGGACTGGAGCCTCTATCGCTCCCTCTATCGATGATCGCGTCCGCCCAAGGATCTGGACCCTCAGTTGGCACTTCTTCCTGTAGAGCGCGAAGGGTTACACGATAGAGCTTGATCGGCGTACTCGGTGCCAATGAAAGTCCTAGAACTGAGCAAGTTAAATTTCAGTTTCATCGTTGACAGAGAGTTCACTGCACTGCTCACGTATCTCGTATGAACTATGAATCGGCGACACATCGTCGTCTACTGAGGCTATTGCGCAAGTCATCTGGACCGTGCAGGACACGTCGAGCTCCAGATCATCGTAAGTGACCTGCGATGTCGATATGAGCGTCAGGGTTATCGTTTGACTCCAGCTGTCAGCGGTTTCAGAGTTTGTCGCCATGGCATGTTTGTTAACGCGGCCGAGGACGTTGGATCCTCTAGCGTCTCGGGTACTTTGCGGCTCCAAGACTTAACTCACTGCGACGTCCGCCAATAAGAGCTCATGAAGGTCAATTCGCGCTATGTGTCAAGCTCTGAGAGCTGACAAGCTTAGTCCTTGAATCCTAACAAGGTAAGTGATGAGGATGCTTTGACTATCTTGGAACAATTTAGGATGAATTTAGTAGACTTGTGAGCCAAATGCCTGAGATTATTCATGTTTCTCGTCGCGTCGTGATCCGGATGTCAGGGCTTTTGGCAGGTCGAACCGCACTACCTTACAGACGACATCAGTGACCAGAGGCAAGAAATAATGCCTATGGAGAGGGTAGGGACCTTCAGTATCTGTTTATAATTCTTGCTGCCCACAAGACTAGCACATTGCTGTTGATCAGAAACAGTGGGTAGTTACAAAGCACAAACAACACACCTGCTGCCAACGTCGTTGCGTCAAGAAAAGCGGAAGGGTCGCTGGATCAACATCTCATTGGATCGGCATGCTTGGCACAGGCTTCCATGAATTGTGCAGTGTTTCATATTGAGGCGTTTGATTGGCCTGAGACGGGTATCAGCATAATGTGACATGAGTTTTATTTGCGGTTGAGAATTGTGGCTGAGGAGAGATAATAATCACTACACAGAACGTAGCAAAATAAGTTAGTATCAATATACCAGAGCATCTCAAAATCAGGGGAAAACGCGTTTAAAACTGAGGAATAATATGCATCTAGACGATTACTGTGAATGAATGAAGGGGTGTAGCACAACTGGGCAGGAGCAAATCAGGCTGTCTGTGGGGACATCTGTTATCCGTCAGTTGTAACTTGTCACTAAGGTGATAACTAACTTATTATAACCTAGGTAAATTTATATAAATATTTTAAGAGATTTACTAAATTTATAAAACTTATATAAAATTTATAAAATTTATATTAATTAAGTTATTTATATTTAACTAATCTAATATTCCCTAAGTTAATACAATCCTTAGACCATTCGTCCCAAGTCAAGGCTGCCTTAGGTACTTGAGCTACCAGGGTCCTTTAGCCACTGCCCTGCCTCTTGCATCTCACTTCCGAAGGTGCAGCCTCGCGGCCTCGACGCGTCCCGTAGCTCACACGCCGTTTCCTTTTCTTCTTTTCATTCTCAAGACTTCCGCCAAATTAAGGAAAACTCTTCTTCCCGTTATGCCATAACCCGCAGCCCTCCACCAACCTTTGGCTCGTCACAATGTGTTTTGAAGCACCACCTGTACCGGCGCCCCAGAATGAACACGCTAAACGCACAAATGAGCTCTTCACTGTCTTTTACGAGGAACTCGGAAAATGGCCCTGGGAGGTCATCTCATTTGGCCCAAGGAAATGGGGCCAGAAACTAGTCTCGGGTTTCACGAGGCTTCTGAGCGTCGACCTTCCTAAGACTGACGGGGTAACGCTCGAGCAACTCATCGACTTCTTGCATGATCACTCTGCGGATCACACGATGCCGCAATACAGATATCAGCTGAGCATGAAGCTTATCGCCAAAGCAACCAAGTGGCTGGCAGACAAGCGTGAACTTCCTAGTGCTCAACCACATGACTCCGATTCCGATTCCGATTCTGACGGTTCCATCCTTAATGAACCTCAGAACGTGACCCGCAACAAAGCTCGAGCCCGAGCTCTTCACACAGATACCAGAACTGCCCGTAAGTTTATTCAATCAGAATAACATTAGGCTAATAAGGCTAGCAATTCGAACCGCTCGCAAGCGACCCATAGATTACAGCGAACGTCGCTATTTCCAACTCCATAATGTCGACGGTCCTGAAGATGACGGCGCAGAAGATGGAGGAAACGAGGAAATTCAGGAAGAGGTTGAACTCGAGCCAGCCGAGCCTCCAGCCAAAAAAAGGCTTATGGTATTCTTCAACTTCTCACCTGAGAACACACAGGAGCTATCTAAACTTATGGGAGACTACATCACGGTAGCAACCAGACACTCCATACCCTTGCAGCAGGATCTAATGAGTCGGGATAGGGACCTGGTAATCCACGCAACGGTAACGGCAACGTTGAGGCATCCCGACACTCGATTCCACAGCGCAATGCTCCAGGTGCAGGGGAAAAACGCCTTCTCGATACACCTGTAAGTTCATATTATGAAGCTATACCCACATGACTAGTCTAACTGAACCGTACAGAATCAGTCGCTGAATGAAGTTCAACTTGCCTACGCCGAACATCTCAAGCGCGAGATCATGAAACTGGAAGAGGACATTAGCCGCACTGAAGCCAATATCAGCAACTCATCCCGACGCCGTGTAGGTTATCTTGAAACCGTGCGTTCCAGCGCCGAGGCTCTCGAGCAAGCCACAAAAGAAGCCACCAAGGCTTCACAAGTGGTCCAACACGCAAGAGCCCGCTGCGAAGCAGATGCCCAGGTTGTCGAGGAATTACGGCGTATAAGCAGCGACAACCCTGGCATCCTCACTGCAGAGATAGTCCAGAACATCGAAAAAAATACCCCTGCACAGAAAGAAAAGAGAGAGGCTGAGCTTAATCTACGCAACAAGGAGAAGCGTCTCAACGACCTCAGAACCAAGACCCAGATGGCAGAGGCCAACGTGGACCCACTGAACAGCAAGATCAGCGAGCTGTCTGACGTATTGCACGCAAAGAAGAACGCCCGTCGAAGTCTCGTTGCTATTCATCGTCTTGTTGCAATGGGTGGGAAGGAGTTGAAAGAAACTTTGGGGGAGAAGGGTCTCGAAGAGTGGGCGAAGGAACAGAACAGGTCTGAGAGATAGGTTAACCGTGTGGGGAATTCTGATGTGACGGCATTGGGTTAGATTTGTATGGGCCTTTGAGACTTTGAGAGCTTGCGGTTTGGGAGCATAATGCATAAATTTTGGCCATAATAATGGGATTGTACGGCATTTATAGACTGTTCCCCCCCGGTTCACGGTCTAGCGATGGGCACAGGCTGCTGTGACTGTAGTGCGACAGGATGCTGGATGTGAGGGTTCTCTACAGCTACTGGTAAGAAGTAATAGAATCCTAAAGTTAGAATATTATAAAAATTATAAAGTTTTATAAAAATCTTATAAAAGTTATATAAAAGTATATAAATTAATAAAAACTATAAAAATTTATAAAATCCTATATTAAATAATCTAAGTCTAAGTAAACCTTCTACTAATTTGCCCCAGGGGCCAGGGGTGCCTCGAAATGCGCCATCACCTTCAGTCCAGCTTCTCTTCTCAAGTTCAATCTCCTTTGCATAACCCCCAAAGGGACGGAAAACTTCAACCAAAGCTCTAGCCCAGCGTTCATCCCATCTGAATCCCTCAAACTGCGCCTTTGTACAGTCCCAGTACTCTGGGTAGAAACCACTGTTTTCCCAATCGACGATCCCCGAGACCGCCCAACCCCTTGTCCCATCCAGTCTTGTGACTTTGTCCACGAGAATGTTCCGCAGATTCAAGTCCGCATGGGTAAATACAACTTGATGACCTCTCCAGGTGGGATCATCGGGATGGCGAAGATATTGACTGAAAGAAGCTTCGTCGTCGAAGGGGCCAATAGGGTTGCCATCTCGAATTCTTGGGTCGCTACATGCTTGGCCCAGAGTATTACATATGTGGTTCTTGGGACCGACTGGGGGGATTGCTCGGATTTGAGAAATGAAGCTTTGCATTTGGTCGACGAACTCCTGACAATCTCTATCGGAGAGCATATCCATCGCCCTAGCGAGGGGCTCGCCGCGGAGACCTGTAGTCAAGAGATACGTGTTTCGCGAGTCTGCTACCAGATCCAGCACACGAGGGACTGGCACCGAAGTGTACTTGTGAATAAGACCGAGCGCATTGGATTCATTGAAAGCTCCTTCGCTAGTGGACTTTAGGTAAAGACCGAAAGGCAAACGGCTAACTGCCAAGGAACTGGTACTTCCATAAAGATGGTGTCCGATCTTTCGCAATAGTTTGTACGTCGGTAGTCGAATGAATTGGGGGATTATAAGCCATGCCCCCAGAAGATTGTGCGGAACATCTGGCATACAGCTGACACTAAACCTGGCCTGGATGTTGTAGGTCGTACCCCCGCCTGAGCTATCGCTGTTTCATTGTCCGCAATTTGCTTTCTGACCTCAAGCCAGCGCATGCTCGAGGCCAAGCGGGCATGGGTCCCGATGAAACGTGCGTCTACCTTGCGTATTCCCGAACGCGAGTGGTCTCCGAGAAGAGGATATTGACCGTCGACATCGATCATTGGTTCCACGGTTCCAATCAGACACCAACCAATCCTGTACTGGGATGAGTTAATACAAGAGAGCCAGACGAATGATATTACTTACTTCAATCATCGATGGGTGTAGCCGATGCAGCTTCACTAGTCCATTCCTGTAGGCTTTGGCGGCTGATCTTCGAACAAGCCAGTGGCCGTCAATTGGATCTACCCGCTTCAGTCGTTCTGTATAAGCTAACTACCAATTGAGGTAAGGGGGGCTGAAGAAGGCGCGGAGCATTGCAAGAACTCGCGGCTAGTCAACCTGTCAGCCATGGCGGAGCTCGGACGGGGACGAAGACAATCTCCTATACCTCGGCTTCAAGCCAGCGGGATGGGGCGAGAACAACAGGCATCACTACCAGAGGGTCGCTCAAACTTGCTGGCTTACCCGTGATGCAGCATCGGTTGCCATCTCTTTTGAGAATTCGAGTTTGGGCCCTGCTGTCAGGAGCAGGTGGTGTAGTCCCGTGTTTTGTGACTAAAAATAATAAGAGCCAGCGTGTTGCATTGATAGCCAGGAAAACTCACTAGACTCTATGATGAACGTCCAATCTGAAACAAGGGCACGAAGCTCAGCCTCGCGGTGTTGGCCCGAATGACAGTAACTGAGGACATGAGCAGCTGCGAGTGGAGGATCAACGGCTTGCGTAATGAAAGACGATAATAGTTTCCCCAATGGGTGTGGTAGACAAGGTTCATCTCGTATCAGGGAGAGCGCTTTGTCGACTGTCTCCTCTAGAAGTGGTTCCATTATGGGTAAAGTTGTAGTGTTGGTTCAAGTGTTGTAAAGTCGGTTGGTTATTTGACAGAAGTGAATGTTCCAATGTCAGGAAATGGTTCAGCCTGAATGCATGGATGCCCGAGGCACCGACTACAGGCGCGCCGAGCGGTTTCATTCATGCTGGCCACACTGATCGCCCGACAATGTGGCATTGATACGGTGATGGCCCAATGTTTCCCGAGTATTTTGAGTTTGCATCATTGTATGCGACCTGAGCATGGCCTTTTGTGGCTATAAAGGCGTATCGCCGTTCCAGAGATCCTTGCAAGGAACGTTTTGACAGAGACACACGGCGCTCACCAGTTAAGTAGATAATGATATAAAGGTGCGTTGCATGCAAGAAGGAAAAACTCAATAGCTCCTTTCTTATATCGTATAGAGCCATTCGATTACCCAAAGCGATCATACTATTACTGCATTCCAACTGTGTAGTCTGGTAGAAGCAATCCATGCATTATGTCTTTCTCAGCCAGGACCGAATACTCTTTACATTTCTCTCACATTCCTTTCTAAGGACCCAAGGATGAACTACTACGTGAGTAAGGGTCTACATGCATTCATAACAAAACTAATCAGAGACTCGAAGCACTGGACTTTATATGCCACCGGCAACAACCCGCCTGAAGGAACAAAATTCCACGCAACCGATCATGGAAACTCAAGGAATCCTCTTAAATATGAGGATGGAAGGGTTGGTAATCCCTTGCGTTCAAGAAACTTGGTTGTATGCCTGAAGGTTGGCTATGAGGACTCTCACCAGGCAATTCGCCAGAGTCTGAAGAAAGTTCCGCTTGGAAGTTCAAGAGCTCTCCCCCGCCGCGAGAGCAGGTGGTCATGCCGTGTTTTTCTCCTCCAAGGTCTCAAACAGCTCAATGATGACGGTCTCATCTTTCTCCCACCAGACTTAGGTATGGCCCTGATTATCACCTTTGGAGTGGTTGACCAAGCTAACTGCAGTATATGCTAGATCTGGAAGGGATTGAAGCAGCATGTTATAAGCACGCCGATTTCTACCATAGAATCAAGGAGGAGGATAGAAACAAATCAACACCGGCCAAAGTTATTAACAACAATCTTTGGCTTCAAATGGAAAATGCCTCTTCTAGGGTCGGGCAACCATCGAATTATTATCAGGCCTATGCCCAGCCGAGACTTCAAGGAGCTGTGCCGATGGACACAGATAGAAGCTACCGTGGCCCGACATACCATCCAACGGACCCAATGGAGACGGAGACTGCAGGACGGTACCTAGGCCCAAGCCCGATGGAAACAGAGCCTCATGGGTACTACAACAACTATCGTTCCGGGCCAAGGTATTAATGTGGGATTTTATGGGAGTGTTTCATATGAGTTGGAAAAACCGGGCTTATTAGTATACGAATCGTTAGTTTGCTACAAAATATCAATGTTCTTTAAGTGTGTACTGCATGAAGAGCTAAAAACGCGCGCCGGTGATCAATAAGATCAGACTGACTATGTCGGTGAAAGAGTTTCTAAGAACAAGATAAGAAGTATGTCCGATTGGACTAGATTATACCGGAAGCAATAAAGCCTGTGATCAATTGAAAATAAAAGCCATGCTGCTGACGAAAAAAGAAATTTCCCACGAAGCAAGTGAATCCTTACTCAACCTGCTTCCACATTCTTTCTAAAACACCAACCCTCGCCACAGCCGCCGGACCCGTCGCAGCAGCCCCGACCTGCTGCATCGAATGATCCACCATCGCCGCCTGCAACAGCTGCTCATTCTGATATCCATGCCCAACTGTCGAGTTTCCGACCGTGTGATCATAATAAAAGTTCGTTGCGTTCAGATTTCCTGCTGCGCTGAACGTCACAGCTGCGAGACCAAGTGTTTGAGCTTGACCGAGAGCGTGTTTGGCGGCTGCGAGCATCCTGTTCATTTCCGGGACTGTCCGAAGATAAACCTCGCGGCGTTGGCGGGCGAATGATAGGAAGGATGTTAGGTCTTGGGTCTTGCAGGCGTTCTTGTAGAGCTGCCGCATGCGAGGGGAGTAGAGATCACAGATTCGGGACTCGGCGACTTGCTCTCCCTTCATGGCGAAGTGTTTCTCCAGCTTCGTACCCTTTGCCACAACGACGTAGCATTCCTGACAGATATGGACATTGTCCCATCCCCACCACCGGCGGTTCTTCGCCAAATCCAGATCGATCTTGGGACACGGTGGCGCGGTACTGAGGTTTACTGCAAATTCGCTAAGTGGTCGCCAGTCATTAATGTAGGCTGCCTCCGCAAACTTTTGCAAAAGGGGCACCCCACGCGGATACCCAGGCAGGTTGAATGAACAGAGGCGGGGCTCAGACGGTCCAACAGACTGTTTGACTTTGAAGAAGTGAGTCATGTCCATGGTGGCGACAGTGCCCGCCATACACGTTGCGCAAATCTCGAATTCTGGAGGATCGCTTGGAAGCGTATACCAGCGAATTCCCCTTGCACCCTGAGGATTACAAGGCGGGTGTTGCGAGAGGCTTTGCAGAGTGTTCCAGAACTTGGGGTAGTTTCCCTTGTCAACCGCCCGAACCATGGGGATGAGCATGTTGGCCTGTCCCATGTCACACGATGCTTCCTGTGACGGTCCAAGACGAGCTGTGCGGAAAGATTGACTTTCAGTAGACTCGTGGAAGTAGTCCCAATAGCACGCTTCGCAGACTGAGAAGTTTGATGGGCCGCGTGAGGACATAAACCAAGTCCTCTCTGGACCTGCGATAGGTTGTGCTTTGGGACACGACGGAAGCTGTAGCCTCTTGTAGAACCCCGTAGTGAAGGCTGTCCAGTTGTTATTCGGTGCATGGACCTTGAGCATGCGGCGGATGAACCAAAGATTATGATCACAACTTGCAGCGCCCTGAGGCTTATGTGTACTGAACCTGTTACCGAATGAGGTATGCTTGAAATAATCCTCATAGCAAGGTTTGCAGATTGCCATCTCTGGTCGATCGGGTGGGTAATACCACTCTTGTCCCTCCACTGACTTATCCTCTGGACAATGGCCCAGTGCAGGTCTCATGGCCATGAAGCTCAGCATGTTGTCAAGTCTCATTGATGAGACAGCAGCTGGCCAAAGATAGTCTTGGACCCGGGGCGTTCCGAACAGACATTGCCGTTCTAATCTGTCATCGTACCATACCGGTGTAAACGTGTCTTGAAACGGTGAGTTGAGAACGCCATCTGCGTAGCAACGACTGCAGATGACAAAGTCTGGGTAGGAACTGTGGATGAACCAGTAGATCGGTAGTGTGAATGGCATGTCGATACATTCAGTTACCGGCTGAATTCTTAATGGCATCGCGGTGTTGGGACCTCTGTTGGAGACAGCCTGGTTGGGCGAGGCTCCAACATGTTGGGATACTCGAGCACTTCCGCTCGCTGGAAGGTCTTGAGGAATCGGTTGAGCTTGATAAGGGTATTGTTGTTGGTGATACTGCACCTGCTGCGGAGGAGAGGCTACAGGTGAACCCTGGAGTTCCGCTTGGGGTTGCACTGGTTGAGGAGGGTAATTCTGATAGTACTGCTGCTGCTGCTGTTGGTATTGCACCGGATATCCGGGAGCGTTGGAATATCGCTGAGTCTGTTGACCCTGCTGCGGCTGTGGGTACCCAGCAGGCTGTTGTTGCTGCTGCATATCCCTCCCAGCTTGCCTCACTGCTTTCTCCGCATCGGACAGAAACCTGGTTAATCGACCCATTTGTTCCCACAGGTTCCAGGAATATTAGACGAGGAAACACCACAGTGAGTCAAATATTTCAGCTGAACACTTATACTTGGACGACGCTGCCCCACTGATGCCGTTCCGTGCCGACATTGCCGGCCAGTATGCCTCGTTTTCCCAGTTAGGCTGAACTAACTCAAATGGATTGACAGCTAGGAGAGATTGAAGCTCATTGGACTCGGAGCAATTTCGAACCCGGTATGGATCGTGCTGACTTCATTTGTGTCATGCCCTGCTGCTGCGTGATTTATCCCTGTTGAAGTCAGTATGACTCGCCGATGGAGCAGAATCAGACTGCTTGACTGTCTTCGCAATCATCAAATTAAGCTTCAAATTGAATGACTGTGGTCTAGTTTTACAGTATATATCTATTCTAGTACCAATGTTCCTTTTGAGTTTCTCGTTATCGGGTCGCATTCTTTCAGACGTAGATATGGAGTTCTTCCCATTGACAGCCATGCGAAATAAGCTGCCAAAAACGCGTACAGCAGACCGACATGTATAACACCCTCCTTCCAAACTGCAACATCACGCTCCGATCCTTGCTCAGACTGGCACCTGGTAAACCAAATCACTTAGAAGACGCCTGGAATAAAGCGCGCGGTAACCCGACTCCATGCAACCCATTTCTCTCCAAATGTCTTCTTCAACATTTTCTCCTCATCCTTCACCCTCATCATAAGCCTTCGCAAGATTCCAAACACAAGAACCAAACAACAGATCAAGCCCCAACCGCTTACCGTCGCTCGCAAGCTTTGAGGAAGCCAGCAACCGAATGCGCCGTCCCATCGCAAGAACAGGGCGAGATTGACGATCAAGACGATAATTTGTCCCGTGTATCCAGGATGCTGGATATACCGATAAATGCCATCCGTCATCAAAGTATCAGGTGGTCCAAGCTGAAAGGTGAAGTTCTTTCCGAGTTGAGCAAAAGCCGTTAATCGAAGTGGCCCGCCAACGAGAATGATCATTGAGAGACAAGCGAGCGTGTATGCATTCCAGCTGAACAGCTCCGAGTTCAAGTTCTCAGCATGAGGACACACGGAGCTGGAATCACCGTAGCCCATGGCGATGATGGCGTGGAAAACACCAACGCTGACAGCAAGAATTCGTCGGATTCGTGCTGCAGTTGGACTGGCGTAGGTTCCGAGACTGTCTTGCTTCCAGCCTTCGCGTGGAACCTCGTTGGGAGGTTTGAAGCAGGACATGGTGATGAGGCTGGACAGCAGAACTGCCCCTCCGAAATAGACTTCATGGAATGTTGCCATCGCTTGACGATTGTTGAAATGTAGATTTAGTTCAAGATCAAATGATATCAGATTACTGGCTTCACTTCGCTGATGGTTGTTGAATTGGCCTGTCTTTTAACTGGTCTCAGCATCGGCGATCGGCGGTTATAACCCTCCGACATGGGACCAGAGCGTTCGGCGAATCACGCATTGCCCTACCGCTCGTTATCTTCGTCCTTGATTAATTCTCAGTCCTATGGAGGTCTCGGTGAACTTGCAGCCGATTGACCGGCTTGAAGGTCGTATGATTATGCTTCTGATATGATTAATAATCCCAGCGACCAACACAACGATTCAGCCTCGAGGTTTTACATAATATCGGCTTCAGCACGAGAAACAAAGACACGTTTTACCAGATTGCAAGGAAAGTAATGAATATACCTTCTTGTTTCCCAAGAATCTCAGCGTCGACTTGTGTGGCGTGAGGGGTTACAGCACATATGATGCTGCAACAGCATTCGAAAACGGAGATTCTATATAGAACTTGCGGCTGTAATCCTCAATGGGCATTGACTTTCGACCAAAACAACAAGGACATGGGGGATAGAAAGCCGCTTGCGCAACAGTTGGCGATACCTGCTGACGTTTGCAACAGTCGTTTCATAGATAAATTACTTCATATCATCACATACGTTTTCCTATTCTCAACGTAATATCGATAGAAGCATAGTAATTACCAGTAGGGGATAAATGAAGCTTTGAGCTAGAGTTCAGGATGTGCCATGTTAGCCCAACTCACTAGCGATAATAGCAGAGGCTCTAGACTAGTCCGATACCTGAGGCATCCTACCCCACCCTGTCATTCTCCCCGTCGCGATAACGGCCATCCTGTATCTCAGTAAATCCGGCAACTGCGAAGTCGCACCCAAGACTGTAATAATTGGACTCCGCATAGTTTGTTTTGCCACTCAGAATGAACTCTCCATATCGTCCAACTTACACCAAGTCTCGCCATGGCTGTTCAAGATGTAAAGAGAAGAGAGTCTGTAGAGCTCACTTAAGATGCTGTTGATAACGCTGACTTTTAAACCAGGTAAAATGCGACCAGAGGAGGCCGGGATGTAAACGATGTGAGGATGCAGGCTCCTCATGCCCTGGCTACGCTTTAAACCTGCGATGGTCTGCTAAGAACCAACTTCAACAGAAGTCTGTCAGCTCTAGCCAAAAGCCTCGGACGAGAAGAGGCAATCAGTCATGCTCAAGTTCAACTAGTTATATGAATGAGGGAGAAACCATTGATATCACGACGTCAACATTGGATCCCTTGCTATTATTTCCTCATTTTGGAGATACCAACCTAATGCCATTCCCAGCACTGAATGCCTCCGACTTCCTCGGCTTAGGGGAGGATCCTTCAGCTTCAAATTGGCCTTTCCCAATTTTGGATTCCTCGGATGCCGTGACTATACCAGACGATACGGCTTTTACAGATGGCTCACCGAGTTTGGATAAAACTGGCCAGTGGAAAGATCAGGGAACGGAGACGAATCATTCCATTGATATGAGCTGGTTGCGCGATGAAGGTCAACAATCTTGTACTGATCTAAATACGACACCTCTACTTGCAGAGTCTTACAACAATGGAGCCCCTGGTCACCACTCATCACTAACAATACCACAACAACTGAACAATCTTCCAACAGCTCTTTCTGACTTCTTTATACGGGAAGTCATACCACTTTACTGCGCATGGGATAGTCAGTCGAATCTAATGCGAGTAGTAGCAGAAAACTCGTGGCAATCATCAAAGGTCCTATATCACACGATGCAAAGCATGTCAGCCGCTTGTCTAACAAGCGTCTTTCCTGAATTATCTACCACTGCAATTCAAGAACGCTTGATAGCCCTTCAATGCTTAGATGGGGACAACCCAAATACTGCAGAGTATGTTGAGGCGAGACTACTGGCAACAGTTCTCCTCTGCCACACTGCAAGTTGGCATGATCCTGGCAATTTGGCCAAAGAGAGATATCATTTGACTCAAAGACGAGTGCTGGAATGGAGCTCGACCTCTGGAACACAGTCTAAGCCTATGGTCAAATTCTTTCAGACTGCAGTCGACTACTGGGGGATGCTTCTGTCGTTCTTTACAGATGTGTCAGGCGACCCTGATTCTGATACTCTGATCGGGCCCTCAGAACCAAGCAACCAATCTGTGCTGCACCCGTTTGTCGGAATGGCGGGAGAAACAGTCAAGACACTCACTGACGTTGGAAATCTTGTCTCTCAATACCGTTCTCGAGCCTCGTCCATCAGGTTCATCACGGAGGAGGATATGGACTTCTTCAAGATGAAGATCAGGGAGGCTCGCTGTCTAGAGAAACGACTTCTTGCGTATACGCCTGCCGACACATCGAAGATACAGGATACAGGGGATCCAAGAACAACGCTAGCTCACCTGGCCAAGATTGACAAAGCATACCGATGTGTTGGTCTACTCCAGATTTATCGCGTGTTTTCTGATCTTCTCGCTGAACGATACAACCCCTGGGATGCAAATCACATATATTCAGCCAGACCGCCACCCCAAGTTCCCAGCAAAGCCGAGAAGGATTACTGGCTAACAAGTCTAGCGTTATATATGCTTGAGCTTCTCCGAGATATACCTTTTGAGTCGAGGAGTCGCTGTATCCAGCCGTTAATTCTCGTTGCTATCTCGAGCGAACTTCGTCGCATGCCACAGGATGTCACATCATTAGGCGCAGCGGACGAAGAGTCACGGTACATGGGACAGAGCATTATTGAACTCGCCCAAGCACGGAACTTTGTGAAGAGTCGATTGTCAGCATATGCTGATGTCCTGCCCTTGAGAAAGGTGAGCAATATACTTGAGCTGGTGACGAGTATTTGGAGTGCTCTGGACGAAGGGGATTCTGATGTTTACTGGTTGGATATTTGCACTCGGAAGCAGCTCAACACACTCATTGGGTAGATGCTTCAACATTTATCATAATTATGTATGCAAATGTATATTATATTCTATCTTCTACCAATCTCCAGTCTTTGCTATGGACACCCACTTGGCTACAGACTTCTCGACAGTGATGTCTCGCTCTAGTCTCTGGTCTGTAAGAAGAAACGCTTTGGGTAGCCATTCAGGAACTCCTTTGCCAGCAATCATACTAGCAATCGCTTCACCGGCCATCCAAGCCTTGTCCATCCCATACCCACTGTATCCTCCAGCAATCCATTCACCATCGCCGTCTCGCCCAGAAATACTCTTCGGGAGCTTACCTACCAATGGAAGTCCATCCGATGTATGTCCCTGTAACCCAGTCCATACTCCTTTCAACTCCGGTCGCTCATCCTCCGGCCATCCCTTAACAAAGTAGTTTGGTAAGAACTTCAGTAGAGCCTCGACTGAGTGGCCCGGCACAGCAGTATCGTCAGACGTCAGGACGTCAAAGACATTGGAGTAGTCAGTGCCAACCCATATATCTCCAGTCTTGGCATGCTGTTGGAGATAGTACAACCCTCCGTCAAACCGCTCTGACACTGGATCAAGCGTGGACTTGGTCAGATAGCTCCACGAGCGGTGGTTGCCCATGTTTTCTAGATACGGACCCGCCTTTTGGACAGACATGGTCCCTCTATATGGATAGAGTCTTCCTATCAATGGACGCAACAAGTGGGCAGCGTTCGCGTTCGTACAGTGAATCACCTGCTTGGCTCGAATAGCACCCCGTGGAGTCTCAATGATGTATGGGTAGTCAGGCATCGAAGACCCATTGCTTATCGTGCTAGATATGTACTTTATCGCTGTTGCGGGAGTATTTGTCTCGATCGAAAGGCGGTCGTGGTATTGGACAAGAAGACGTTCGAAGATTCCAGTTATGAGGCGGTATGGCCAGACGGCGCCGGCAGGATGGTCGATCACACCATGGCCACTCTTGATGTTAAAACCCTTACAAGAAAGGTCAGTACTCTGAATAGAACGCAGAGAGGATCCTTCAAAGTCAAAGAGCCATACCTTTGCTAAGCCGTCTTGCTCAGTAACACGATGGATGGTTTGGTGACTGGGAATTGCCTCTCGAAAGGAGTTCAGAGACTCATTCGAAGCTTTCCAAGTCTCCTCATCCCCAGCAACCATGACTTTATGTACATGTCGAATCTCACTGGAATCACGGAGCTCTGGATCTAGTTCGTCGAGCATACCCATAATCCGCTCAGTGTTCATGAAGCTGAAGCGACACATTTCCTTGGCTGTATCTTCCCCATGTCTTTTACACATAGTATTGTAGAGATGACCGACTGGAGAGACGAGTTGGCCTCCATTACGGCCTGTTGCGCCGCTGGTAAGGGTACGAGCCTCGAGGACGACGATCTGACTTGTCGAGTCCAGACTATCATCCTCAAGGAGGGCCTTGGTAACGCTGCATCCCGTTATCCCAGAGCCAATCACAACAATATCGGCATACCGTGGAAGGGTTGGAGACTGAATGTTTGATACAGTAGGGTGGGCAGGTTCTTGCCAGAGGGAGATAGAAGGGTTAGGTTTCGGCAACAATGGGTCTGATAGAAGGGTAGCACGAAGCTTTCTCATGAACTCTTCGGGTAAGCCATAGTTTGAGTCGGGATGCTGTAACGATCGGGCAATAGCCAGAAGCCGATCTGTGGCTTTGCGTGAATCATTCATGGTTGATGGGGCTTCTTTGACCGTTGGTAGTGATGGCCGAGATAGCAGTGTCAGAATGCTTTTCTTACTGATATACTTGAGCTATCAGCCCATGCCACCGTAGATCGGGAAGTTTAACGAACCCCTCGCGTCTAGCCAGTCTTCTTCGGGCAAGAATTCTATATCGTTGCTCACGCGCAGCTTGCGTTATCATCTGACTCTTCTGCATACATAATTTACACTTTCGATCACTTGCTGTTTGGAGCATGACTCTTGATAAAAAATGTTTCCATCATAGGGAAACGTGGTTCATTTTGAGAGATCAAGACACTAACCCGTATCTGGTTCTGTTGAACGGTGAGTTCTGATTGCTCAATCGCGAGTCCTCTGTAGCGAGTTTCCAATCAGAAGTTATCTGATGGAGCCGGCCAAGTACCGTTGAACTAACTGAATATCGTAACATTTCTAGGAGCTCCGTAGGGGAGACTATCAACGTTGGATGACATTATCGGCGAACTAACGAGCAAGACTGAGTCAGTGTTATCAGGCCAAGACATGAGGTTACCATAATCGCTTTAGTCGTTCCCAGTTGCCAGGTTCCAGATTCCGGGGCCCCAGGATCTATTATCAGTGGAGCTGATAGTGTTGATAATGGCTGTTCACTGTATCATGGCGCCTTTCGTAGCAGCTTGGGTCGAGACATCTCCTCTATAAGATCGTCGAACCCCACAATGAATTGAACATTTTCCCATCTCGAACGTTCCATCTATTTACTGTTTATGACAACTGAGCTCTCACTTCTTCCCTCATCGTATCAAGCCTGATACTATGACTGCCTCGCTTGAGAAAGCAGATGGTGACGAGAATATCTCGACCACTGTCGCTGATCATGCTGTTGTCACTATACAACAAACTCGTAGAGGTCTATCACCTCGCCATGTCCAGCTCATGACCATTGCCGGCGGTATTGGTGTTGGTCTCTTCGTCGGCGTCGGCGGCGTCTTGTCCAAAGCTGGTCCATTGCCTCTTATCATTGGATACCTAATCTACGGTCTCGGCTTCATTTGGCCTACTATGCTGAATGTTGCCGAGATGGTAGCATGGCTTCCGATCCGAGGCTCGATTTACGAACTAGCCTCCCGGTTTGTCGATCCAGCTCTTGGATTTGCAATGGGATGGACATACTTCTATGCGGGAGCCATGTTGGTCTGTACCGAATACTCAGCCGTCGCAACTGTTATGCAGTACTGGAATACCGACATCAACCCTGCTGTCTGGATTGCCATAGCGTTGTCTGTATGCTACTTCATGAATATGGTTGCTGTTAGGTAAGTCCTCTCTGGGTCTGAGAAATACAAGACAAGCTCTAATATTTTGGACGTAGATGGTATGGCGAAGCCGAGTTTATCATGGGCTCCACCAAGATCCTCTTGATTCTCGGACTTATCATGGCGACCTTTGTCACCATGGTCGGCGGAAATCCTCACCATGACGCCTATGGCTTCCGAAACTGGAAGAATGGAGATATGGCCCATGAATACTACGCAGAGGGCGCCACCGGAATCTTTCTTAGCATCTGCATCTGTGTGCGATATGCCGTCTTCACCATCGGCGGCCCAGATATCATCTCCCTCTCAGCTGGCGAGATCCGCAACCCACGAAAGACGATTCCCAAGGTTGCTAAGTTGATCGTCGGTCGAATTCTGTTCTTTTACGTTGTCGGCATTCTTGCTGTTGGAATTATCTGTAACTCGCGTGACCCTCGCCTTCTGGGAGCCATCGAGACTGGCGAGGCTGGCGCAGCGGCATCTCCCTGGGTATTGGGTCTTCTCCGTCTCGACATCAGAGGGTTTCTTCCTGGACTTATCAACTTCCTCATCTTGCTGTCTGGATGGTCTTGCGGAAACGCTTATTTGTACTCGTCTAGTCGAACTCTATACTCGCTGGCTCAAGACGGACAAGCACCCAAGATCTTCTCGAGATGCACCAAATCTGGTGTGCCATGGGTATGTGTCACAGCAGTGACTTCCATATCTCTACTGTCATTCTTGGTAACCTCCAACAGTGCGAGTGAGGTCTTCTCCTGGTTCTTGGACCTCACCACTGTCGCACTGGTTGTAAACTTCACGGCTATGACATGGGTATTCATCGCATGGCGTCGAGCCCTCAGAGCTCAAGGCATTACTCGCCAAGGCGAAAACAACTTCAAGAAGTCACTCTTCAAAAGGAACTCGGATAAACGACCTGCCCCAGGAATCGTGTTCCCCTTCACCGCCCCGTGTGCATCATGGACGCCGTACCTTTGTCTCTTCATTGGAGGCTCAACATCCATTTTTATCGGATTCGACATCTTCCAGCCCTGGTCCCTGAAGGGCTTCATCACAAGTTATTTTGGTCTTGCTTGGTTCTTCTTCATGTTCATCTTCTGGAAGGTCTTTAAGCGAACCAAGTTTGTAACTCCTGCCACTGTCGATATCTTTGCCGATGGCAAGAAACAGGCCGTGGATGAGGAGTGTCGCTTCTGGGAGGAGGGATTTGGTGATGAAGCTGAGAGAGATGCGTTGGCCAAGAAACATATTGTTGTTAGAACTTGGGCTCGGTTCTGGGGTGGCTAGACGATCTTGCTGTTCGGGATCGCGGGCAACTCAGCAGATGCAAAATCCAGCCACCTTATATGGCTGTTGTGTCCCTAGGTGTATTTATCTATGCTAATGTCCTTACTTTATCTCTATCACACAGCTTCGGTGGCTTCTAATAGTCTGAACACAATTCTATGACATTGTTTGGCTTTTAAAACGCTACCTTTCTATTCAAGTCGGTGCTTTGATGAAAGAAAGACCAATCGTGCCTGCATTCTAGCCTTTCAAATTTCGATTGTTAGTTCAAACACATGATATCTCAACGAGACATATGAATTTAATACCATGAAAATTGGAGGAGTCGCACAGATGTTTGAAGAAGCCACAACTGTACTGGCCAGTGGATTAAGTAGACAGAAACTTCTTATGAAGGGGACTTGGGGCTCCTAATTCGTTCTTTAAAATATTGCTATGGCATGTGTAAACATAATATTTCTAGTATATATACTCGTGGAATGAAACTAAAATCCATAATAGCGTTCTGTTACATGATCTATAAGACGTTCCCAACGTTGACATGAACTGACCGCCTGCTTGTATATGCACGGATTCCTTCCTCTCCCAGCTCACGACCAATACCAGACTGCTTCACGCCTCCAAAGGGAATGCGGAAGTCCGAGTCATTGCTGCTGTTGATCCACACCACTACTAATGTTAACAAGATACTCAGAACTGACGGTTATGTGACTTACTTCCTGCCTCGATCTTATTCGCGATAAGATGTGCTCGAGTGATATCCTGGGTGAAGATGGCCGCACCGAGGCCATATATCGTATCGTTAGCCCGGCGCAGTGCTTCATCTTCCGTTTTGAACGCGCTGATGATTGCAACCGGTCCGAAGATCTCCTCGCGATAGATCTTCATATCATCCGAAGCATCGGTGAAGATAGTAGGCTCGATAAAGAAACCCTTGCCATTGACTGCAACTGGCTGACCGCCAAGAGCAACAGTAGCCCCTTCAGCTTTACCGCTCTCGATGAACGATAGCACTCTTTCGTATTGCGCCTTTGAGACCTGTGGCCCTTGAAATGTATCGCTATCATAGGGGTTGCCTATCTTGCAAGACTTGACTCTCTCCTTGAACAGTTCGGTGAACTGATGATACACCTTTTCATGAACCAAGATTCGACTGGTTGCAGTACATATCTGGCCTTGGTTGGCCATGATACCATAGTGACTCCATTTAACAGCTTGGTTCAAATCTGCATCCTCGAAAACGAGCAGTGGAGACTTGCCCCCAGACTCAATTGTAATCTCCTTCAGATTGCTCGCTGCAAGCCTTGCAACCTCACGTCCAGTCGCTGTAGATCCAGTGAAGGCTATCTTATCAACATCCATATGAGCAGCTAAAGCTGCACCAGCCGTACTACCAAAGCCATTCACAATGTTGATCACTCCTGGCGGAAATCCTGCTTTCTTGACGATGTCTGCAAAAAATAGGATAGACAGAGGCGTCTGCTCGGCTGGCTTGAGTACCACGCAGTTACCGGCGGCAAGAGCTGGGGCGATCTTCCAGCCAGCCATTCCTAAGGGATAGTTCCAAGGAATGATCTGGCCGCAAACACCTATCGGTCCTACTGTGGTATAGGCAAACTTCTTTTCCGTTGTGCTTATCACTGAGTTCGTCAGTCAAACATTTGAGAATTTACTCAGTGTCGCTTTCAGACTTACCTTGTCCGTACTGCTTATCAGCGAATCCAGCGTAATATCGAAGCACGCCTGTAAGCTCACCAACGTCGCCCTGGGCAGACGAGAATCTCTTGCCGTTGTTCCATGTGTCAATTGTGGCAAGTTCGTTTGTGACGGCGTCAACAAGATCGGCGAGTTTGCGCATCATTTCACCTCTCACTGTTCCAGAAATGTGTGACCAAGGGCCTTTGAGCGCTGCCCGAGCAGCTTTGACTGCATCGTCAATATCTTCCTCGCCGCCAGCGTGGACTTTGACGATCTCGTTTTCGTCACTGGAGCTTTTTAGTAAACTGACTGTTAAGACTGCACGAAAAATAAACCTACATTGGACTCACAACCGATACCAATTCCTCTGCCTTTGATCGGCGCCATTCATTGTTGATGAAGAGGCCCAAAGGTTGGTTGTAAGTGACTCCATTCGGAGCGGTTAGTTGTTGATAAAGCTCGCTATTCATAATGACTCCAATTTGAAGATCTAATTGCATGATTATCGGTAATATCAGTTAGTGAGATTATATCACGATATGCTCCGGTCTCTAAGTGCTTCAGCATACTCCAGCTCCATGCTCTCAACCTGTTGCTTTCCAGATCAGGCAAGTTTCTGGTAGTGGACCCTAGGTGTCTGCGCTAGTATTAAACAGGCAATCATCAAATACCTTCCAGAAGCAGTAAAGATCGAAGCTTGTGGTGAGATAAGCGCCGACCCATCCTTATCAGTCCTCTGATAACGTCGGTGCATAGGGTAGCATCAGGCATTCGGAGTCCTGTCTGATCGTATAAAAACTATCCCAACAGTAATCGTACAGAAACGACCATTATTGTGTTATCTTGCATTGCCTTGGCTTCCTTTTCATATCTCGGCCGCTGCTATCTGTTAGATATAATGTGCCCAGCTTTTTTTCCCCCGCTCGAAGGGATGTCTTCTGTTTGGAGAACCGACCTGAACAATCTCGATAACTATCAGTCAACTGCGGAGCTCCCAACTTCTGTAGACATCGCCATCATTGGTGCCGGATACTCTGCAGCAGCAATTCTCACACATATCCTGGCAACAACTCCGGCTGCGAATAGGCCATCAATTCTTGTTCTCGAAGCTCGGCAGTTATGCTCGGGTGCGACTGGACGAAATGGTAGGCCAAAAAGCCCGTGAGCCTCAACTTGTGCTAACACTGACAATTGAAGGTGGTCAGCTGAAGCCAGACTCGTATAACGCGATTTCTGGGTATGCCTCTGAGTACGGGATAGAAGCCGCGGCAGAAGTTGCGTCATTTGAAGCCGCAAATGTTAAAGCTGTCACTGAATACATCCAACAAAACAAAGTTGATTGCGATTTTGTGCTTACGAGGGCGGTCGATGTTCAACTTTCCACCGTCAATCAACATCACATCAAGGAAGGGTATGATAAGCTTATTGCTGCTGGACTTGAAACGACCAAGGATACGTTCAGCATTGAGGGAAACGATGCCGAAGTGGTAAGTGTTTTATATCTCTGTCTTCCCATTACTAACGTCATGTCTTCAGATGTCTGGTGTAAAGGGCGCAAAGGGTTGCTTTACATACACAGCAGGACATCTCTGGCCCTACAAACTTATTCATCATATGTTTTCAGAAGCAATCAGTCAAGGAGTTAATCTGCAGACTAATACGCCAGTTCTGTCTGTTTCCGAGACTCAAAATGCCACTGGTCAATGGACCTTGAGTACTAGCAGGGGCGAAGTCAGAGCGCGAAAGGTCGTATTCGCAACAAATGCCTACACAGGTTCTCTGCTTCCCGAATACAAAAGCAAGATCATTCCATATCGCGCTGTATGCAGTCGGATCAGAACCCCGGGGCCACATCCTCTGCTCAATAATACCTACGCTCTTCGATTCTCGGATTGGAACTTTGACTACTTAATCCCTCGGTTAGATGGAAGTATCATAGTCGGTGGAGCTCGAGATGCGTATATCAGGTCTGTTGACTCATGGTATGGGAACGTCGATGACACTCAAGTCATTGATGAAGCGCGCTCCTATTTCGATGACTACATGCAGAGGCATTTCCATGGATGGGAGGACAGTGGGGCATATGTCGATGATATATGGACTGGAAGTAAGCCTTATAACCGCATCGTCTTAATGCTGACAGCAGCTGACATCAAACTAGTCATGGGGTACTCTTCCGACCGGCTCCCTCGAGTAGGACCTATACCTGGTCGACCAGGCATGTTTATCATGGGAGGCTTCACTGGCCATGGTATGCCGCAAATCTACCTGTGCGGACAAGCGATGGCGAAGTTTCTCCTCAAAGACGCTTCATTCAAGCAGACAGGTTTGCCCCGATTATTTGAAGAAACACAGGTTCGTTTAGAAGACCCGAGAGACAGAGTGCTGGAGTTGTATGCTGCGGTTCTCAATCCTTCGAAATTATAATGGCTTCGGCCAAAGCTGGGGATTGAGGCAAGTTCCGTCATTGAAATTTCCAAGTTTCTTTTTCGTTGATAGATTCAGCTATCATTGATAATTTCACCCACCATCTCTGTTAGGTGGCGATAACGATTTTGGTTACCGTTTCGCTTGTCGGGATGTCAACTATCGCAACTGAGGCTAAGACATTCAAACTGAAGACGAATTAACTGCAGGGGCAACGATATACGCTGTAGCTATTATGAGCAATCATATTATCATGACCAGTCAGCCTTGGAGCCTGGCCTTCTCCATTTGTTCATACATGGCGATTTATGTTGCCCCCTGGTACCAGCAATGTATGGGAGATATGCGAAGCAGATCTTCGGGGTTATTCGTCCCGGCGTAGTGCCTAGGCGTGTTAAGATTTATGTGACATGGTAGAGTGAGACGATAAGGGAAAATGGAGCGCGTGTCAATATTTTGATAGTATTGAATTAATTAAAGCTTCCTAGAATGACAATTAATGAGGTATGAAACGCATCATCAGATGACATGTTTTGAGGTACTTGTTGCCTAGTGTTTCATGGCGTGATGTGTGTATCGAAAATCTGGATGATTGTGACGTGCCATCGTCTCCTCGTTCTTCCGTTTCAAAAAACGCCAAGAGTTGCATGAATGAATGCCTGGATTTCCATTCATACCTATAGGCACATATTGCAAAGATGCATCGATTTCAAAGTGATCAACATATTTAACTTGGCCTATAGCGAGTCAAATAGGCTTGCGTGACCGCCAAGTATGTATGAAGCTGACGATCAACTGTATCCTGAATATTCAACTCAACTCTCAGTCTGTTCAAGGTTCAGGTAAAAGATAACCGAAAGATAAGTGACATGTAGGGTATCACCGAGTCCACTCGAATAAGGAACGCACTGACGATCCACGTGGGTGATGGATCTCAAAAATTGATCTTTTCCACCTGCGCTGTTACCCCCTGGTCCACTAATGACTAACATAGTGCCGACGATCTGCCCCTACTGACTCTGACGCTCTGCACTCTTATCACCGTGTGCTACCATAGGCAGGACTACGCATTGAATTGAGTCGTGTATTGGGATCTACCAGCAGATGATCACGTAGACGGCGAGATCTACTGCGAGATATATATCCTTTCTGGGCGTTAAATGCCGACGCTATATCCGGTTTCTTGGAATATCGAGAGATGGGGAATTATTCCGAGACCTCGGTTGGACAGGCGCAAAATGGAGTTCGTCTCAGAATGTCTCCATTTCGGAGGAATAATTCATCCAAATAATCTTGTTATTTCCGGAACCCCTTTCAATTCAGCGGAGATCATGCACATTCGGCCCGGAGCTCGGAGCCCACCGACTAACGGGGGAATATTTGCGGTAAATGTGTCAAGAAGATGTCTCTGTGTCTCAATAGCTCAACACTAGAAAAGTCTGGGAAGTGTCGGCAAGCTTTGGCAACGAATGAACTTGTTCGAGATTAGCTTCATCTAACGTTTCAGCAAAGAACAACGGTTCATTCCGCTATCAAAAGACCCAAGTGGCGTTGACAAAAGCGGAAGCCCAGCAACTTGGCAAGACGGAACTTGATCTCAAAGGATTCCCAAGTGCCGAAATTTGATACGCTGCCATCTCCTGTGGCGCTGATTCTGATTCTGGTGGCGTCCCCCCTGAGTCAAGTGCCATTTTAGCGGGTGAAAATCTTTAGCGCAAGAGTCTGCGATGACATTTCGTTGAGGGGCGAGAGGGGAAACCGAGGCTTGGTGACATAAAGGGAAATACAGCCCGGAGCCATTGGTAACTCTCCCGTATTGGAGCTCGGTTGCAGAATTATAGTGCGGAAATACAGAGTGTCTGCACGGTGATGTGATGCTCATCCCTGTAGATCACGCGTACCGAGAGACGATCATGCCATGCATCTGGACCAGATACTTGGGTAACGGCAGGGATATGGTTAAGCTATTCTACCAGTGTATTCCCCCCATCAAATCAGATTGGCAAATTGCCCACAAGAGCTCAAGTGTCAAAGCAAAGGTCAAAGCGCAGATGCGACTCATCCAGAGGCTTGGCTAGAAAACCTCGTTTCGCCACTCCACTCCAGACCGTTCCTGGAGTCTAGTCCTGCGACACTAATATCTCCAACTCTACGCTTAGCGTCCAGGTACCTCCACCTGCCAGGAGTACTCAAAACGTGGTTCTGGTAGTGTCTGCATGTATAAACCCCCTGGATCCCCGGATTCAGTCCCTCTTCCCTCTCTTTCCCCGGCCGATCCTTCATTCCTCTTTGCTTTTTTGTATCACTCCCTTAGACAACATGTCGGCGACTACGAGTGACATCAAGATCGCTTCCATTGCCATGGGGTTCACCCTTGGTTTTGGCTTGCTTACTGTTTGGGAGGCTTGGAAGCAGACTCGACGGAATCGAAACCCGCTGCGAAGTACTTATATTTACATGCTTTGGGGAGAGATTCTAGCAAATATTATCATCGCTATCATCGGATGGATCTTCTTGGATGGAATCATCGGGCCGACGTAAGACAGCCACTCAGCCAGTGTCGAAAGTGGCGTGCTAACAGTGTCTAGTGTACCGGTGTTGTTCTTTATTCTTTTCTTCTGGGTCTTTGAAGTCCAGCTTCTTATGCAAATTATCGTCAATCGAATCTCTATCATCGCCGAACATCGATCTACTATCTTTAAGCTGAAATGGGGAACCGCCCTTACCATCACTCTTATCAACATTGCCGTCTTTGCTATCTGGATTCCTGCTCATACCGTTCCTCCTGCCAGTCAAACGTAAGCCATTATCGAAAGATTGACTAGGTTTATGCTGACCAATGCAGTTTTGTACGCATCAATGAAGTTTGGGATCGTGTCTCCAAGGTTCTCATCCTTCTCGTCGATGCTGGTCTCAATTGGTACTTCCTTCGAACCGTCAAGAAGCGACTCGTTGAGCAACATCGCCTCAAGAAGTATGAGCCTCTTGTTGGCTTCAACGCTAAGCTCATGATCATTTCGATCCTCATGGACGTAAGTGTCTCGCCATTCTCTCCCAATACACAAACCCGTGCTGACTCTACCAGGGCATGCTCATCGGTCTCATGTCACTTCCCAACCAGGTCGTCTACATTCAATTCCACCCTGTCGCATACATGGTCAAGCTCAACATCGAAATGTCCATGGCCAAGCTTATTACCCGCCTTGCTAAGGGTGAGAACGCCGACGACTACTACCCCTCCATGTCGCACTCCGGCCACCACCAAAGCAACAACCAGCGCACGAACGATGCCCCATGGACTCAGGGTAACAATGTCCAGTTGACACACCGATCAAAGGTTGTCGCTGGTGATTCCGATGAGGATTTGTCTGGTACTGTGGGTCGACATAATGGTGGACCTGGCATTCATCGCCGAACAGAGTTTGAGGTCACCGTCGAGACGAAGCCTCAGAAGAATCCCTTCAGAGAGGGGACAGAGTCGTTGGATGAGCTGCCCTTGACTTCAAATACCGGACATCCTAAGCAGGCTATTGTTGAGGAGGTTAGCCGTAACCCTTCTATGTCTAGCAGCAGAAGATCATGAGATCTTCACTACGTTCTTTAGCTATATACCATACACATAATACCTAATCCCCAACATACCAACAGTATTATAAGACCCAACGACGTGAAGGAATTGTGAAAAGAATGTCGTGTCCTCATTATCTGTGTTGGCAGCCTAAAGTTTAATCTTATGGCTAGTAGTCACCCACGTAGCTGCAGCTATGTAGTTGCACTGGTGTGAAGTATTCAACATGTTCCAAGGCTGTCTAGGAGATTACACCAATGTGCCTCTGGCCTCGAATGACATCGTCTGAAGTAGGTACTCAGGAATAAGGTTACTAATTGAGTCATCACAAAAGCTTATTATGATGCTTAAATTGGGAGACTTATCCTTGATAAGGCTATGTGCATATTACTTTCTGAAAGCTGAAGTTAATTGAGATGTTTCAGTGTGTTGGCTTGATATATCTCGTTGAGATGTCATAAGGTTTAACTATCAATCTGTAAATACTCAGGACAGCAAGCATGACATTTAGTGATAGTCCACGGTATCGTGCTGCATCAAGTCGCCGTATCGTGAAGTAAGGAGTAGGAAATGAAATAATGCTTGTCTAGAATATTAGACCCGAGCAGCCTTGCCATATTATATGCCTTCAAGGCCGGTCAAAGACTTATAATCTAGGTTTTCCTCATATCAGCTTTACGCTGTAGCAATTGGTCATGCATTTTGGTATAATGTCTAAGTTGTCAGCCAGATGTGTTATTTCCAGTCGAGACTTGTGGCTGAGAGCTTAAACCAGCACAGATAACTTAGCCATGCAAAGTTTATTCTATGCTGCCCACCAAGCATATCTTTTTGTCGATATTAAGTTCAATGTTGGAGTAGCCTTCAGACAGGACGCACATTTCATAGTTTATCTATCACGTGGCGACGTGAAAAGAACTTCATAAATAGCGAGGCTTCTTGCATTAATATTATATCTTCTTTTCCCAAAACCACCGTTCGTCTACCTCTCATTCTAAGATCGGACAGCTTCACGCTACAAACCCCGACTCTCTCGATTCATCATTTGACCCACGACAGAAGCAAAGACGAGCTTCACATACCATTATGGACCCCTTTACAAGAATCCCCGCCGAGTTGCGTCTGCAAATATTTTCGTTCCTTCAATCAAAGGCCACTATCTCGAGCTTGATCCAAGCCTCTCCAATAATGCTCGAGCAATACCTTGGATACAAAAGCACAATAACACAAAATTTGCTCAAGCGCGACTTCGACGACAAAATGATTCAAGATGCTATGGGAATCGTCTTATTTCCATCCCTCAGAGAGTCCCGGAGGTCTGCACGCCTGGTCCACGCACATTTACACTCATGGAAGTTACGTGAGCTTCCGAATCCTCTGGTAACCCGCGATATCCTTCTCATGGATCAATTCGACAAACTGCATAGTCTTTTAATGGTATTTGTCGAAGACTACATCACAAAGGCTACTACGACCTTTCCACCCCGTGAATACATCTGTCTCTCACCGCCCTCTCACAACCGGAGCTTTCTTATCTTTAAAGGACAAAAAGTCACAAAAGATTCGATTCAATCCAAATTGCAGAAGTTGAAAGAAAGCGCTTCTTGCGAGCGTTTTTACGAGTTGAGCTGCTGTCTCTGGTTCAAAGGGCTATCAACTCCAGTTACTCGAAGACCTCTTCAATCAAAAAGATAATCAAAAAACTCACAAGGCGAGATGCAGAGGCACTTCGCTGCGCCTGGGCATCTGTATCCACACTATATGGCGCTATCTTTGCCCACTGCGTTGATGCTTGGCTGCCAGCAGCCGATGAGCCTGCAGGAACTGGGCTTCTATTTCCCGATAGCCTCTTTATAGACCCACAGGCGTATGGAAAAGATATCGGTATTGAATTACCATGGCGCTCAGACATTGACTGCATGGCTCGCTACGGTCTCTCCTTGATCTTCGCGATGATCCGTTTTGCCATAGCAAGACCACAAGATAAAAAAAACTCTTGAAACCTTTGTCAAGAAGCTTTGCATCTTTGGAAAGGACAATGCCTTGGCGAGAATTCTTTTCTTCGACAGAAGCATTATTTCGAAGACATGTACGATATGGTCTACCTCCGTTTCCCATATAGATCAGATGACAGACAGAATCTTAATTTGCCAAGACTATGGTGGAAGTATGATTCCACGTTATATTGGTATCATGTCTACCTAAAAATCAAGACATTTCAACAACGGACATGGGTATTCTTCGAAGACGACCGCTACTACCCAAAAGCCACTGCTGCGGTGCCAGTCTTTGCAAGTAAAGAACACTTGGACTGCATGGCACAAGACTTGGTTAATAAGACTTTATCTGTAGTTGGCCCTGGTCCTATTTCAACAGCACAGTTGGAAAGGACAAGGAGAGAGTTTCGTCGATCCCAAAAGTGGCAGGACAAAATGAAGCCAAAGGAAGGAAACACTCCAGGGACTGAGTCTTCTTCGTCCCTTATTTCTATGAGAAATCATGAGATAACACTACCAGACATTGAAAATGGGGAGCAGTTACTGACTTGGAGTCCTAGGGGCGTTGTGCGATGGGATGTACCAGAGGAGGCTTACGTGCTTGTAAGGAACTGAGTACCCGGGCTTAGGACAGAAACATTGTTAGGATGCTCTTATTTATGGAACAAAAGATTATAGAATCTGACCTTATGAATGTTTTCATCTTCTTTCTCTTCTTTTCTTTTTGAGTTACGGATACAGCCTTGTCAGATGTTGAAATGCATCTGGACTAGGATCTGAGCTGTTGCGTCAATGTTGCAGGGGTCAGGGGCAGGGGTTTCGAGAGGCCACGTGAGGTATACCATCAGATGAAACAAGATCACGAAAAATCTCTCAGATAGACCAAAACATAATAAAAACATTAATTGAACCCTGTTTATAGCAAAACTATTAACAAGAAAAATTCCTGGTTCTCGGCATGACACATCTGTCACTATGGATCAGGGGATAGTAAGGGTCATTAATGGCGGATGGATGGATGGGCTGACGCGAGATGCTGTTTCGCGACCCGACACGAGCACGATTCTTTGGGAAACTCTCTACGAACCTTGGAATCTCTTTGAAAGACTTGATAAAGGGGATAGAGTGGCCGTGGCTGAGCCCGTGACTTTGTTACGCGACGTTTGTTCAGGGCATGACTCTCCAGGAAAGAACTGTTCCATCATATGTAACAGTTCAGATGATCTATTCGCATCTTGGAAGACTCTATGGCAATGTCTCTCGCTGACGTCGCTGACTCTCGCAAACTCGACGTTCTCTACACTTGATCAACACCATAACGGGACTGGAAATAGAACACCAAGGGAACAGATCACGAGTGCCTTGTCATCTTTTGGCGTTCACAATGGAACAGATTTCGACGGAAAGGCGGTTCTGAATCTCACATATGAGTGTGCGGCTGCGAGCTGCCGTGATACAGGCATGGGAGAGTGCTCTATCGGCCAGTTTGACCCTGGGTACTTTGAGAGCGAGACTATCCAGTGGATCAAAGTATACGAGGCTCTTGAGTCATTGTGTGATGGACTGGAAAGCGATATCAACATCGATATTGCTGGCCCTGGAGTAAGTACATGACTTGGATTATAGGAACCCATGCTTATCACTCTGCAGGTACTTATAACATACATCACCCAAACAGCCATGGTGGTCTTTGCATGGCTGTTCTTTCTACTACTAAAAGTTAACAAGTTTATCAACACTTCAACATCAATCTTCACTCACCTGTTTCGAAAAAGAAACCCGGGTCCCAATCTCTTGACTCATCGTGTATCAGGTCTTGAACGCCTTGAGCGCACGAATCTTGCCTATGCGACAAGCACTTTTCTTGCAGAGCTTCACGAAGCACAATGCTTTTTCGTCGTCGCTATCGAGATAGCGCTGATAAATGCCAGTTCACGATCAGCCATATTCACTGGTGCAGATAACTGGCAGAGTCTTCTGTGGAATCGTGACAGTGTCCAGTTCCTTGCAGGTATGGGAGCTTGGCCCATCATTCTCGGACAGATCTCCCTCCGAAGAGCTGAGCTAGACTCGATGTACTACCTCATCCTCTCGACACTTGCATTGGCGCTTGCTGGTGTTGCAGCAGATACAGCTGCCAATCCCGATCCAGATCGGATATATAAGATGTTTCAAGGGCAGAATACACTTGAAGAATGCGGCGGCCATCCTTCACTTCGAACATTCTGCGTGGAAGAGCGAGAGAGCATATACTGGTATGTCTTTCCAGCAGGAAGCATATACGCGTTCCTTGGATTACTTGCTATTCTATGGTGGGCCAAGCTCTGGAGTATGTGTAACTCTCCAGCATCGTTTGTCAAAAGGCATAAGTCTCTGTCAAAACGGCAACTTGAGGCATGGGAATGGTTCAAGTGGTTTGTGATCAAAGCCTCTCTCCTTGGAACACACATTGCTGAAGCTGGTGCCCTTGCTTGCATATGCTTCGGACTAGCAGTAATTCGTGCGCCGTTGCTGAATCTTCTGCTGCGAGGTGAGACAGGCACTTGGAGTGTTGGACAGCTGGTTGCGGTGTTGATCTGGGCGCCGGTGATATCTAAATATGCCCATCTGGCAATTCGTAAGTTGTCATTCTTGGAAGGAATTCTGACTCAAGAAGCTAACCGTAACATGTAGTCGGCGTGGAGAAGGGTTTCAGGCTTCGATTATCTAAAGCATTTGAGATTGTAAAGAGGTCGGATACAAGGCCTGGAAGTGATAGTGAGGCAATATCTTTGAATTGAGGGAGTTTACATGTCTTTTCTATGTTTTTTACTTCGATACTTATGTCAATGTTTTCGATAGCAGACTTTATCTAAACTATCGGCCACCGATGCAGGTCTAATAGTTTGGTTCGTTTTGGTGGCATTCGAGGTTGATATAGGTCTCTGACTTCACTGATGTACATCGCGTCGCCCTGGCCAGTCCCGATCTATCAGCCGTATACAACTACAAGATCACGTTGAAGAGGAACGCACAGACGTAGTAAGCAGGTGCGAGTCTCTTGGGAACACCAATCCAATCATATCAGCCTAACCCCGCTTTCTGATTCTGTACAGCTGAACCGGACGAGCTGAACCTTTGTACAAGCCATCAGCTTCTGTCTTCCTTTGGAAGAAGTGGACGACACGATGGCTTCCTTCGACTACGATACGACGAGTACCTCCTACTGGGGCAAAATAGTTGCTATTGGCTTGGTTTGGACACCGTCCGCGTACTTCTTCAATTCATGGGTCAATAACCAGCCGCCTGGTACTTTTGTGAACATTGCCTGGGTAATCTTTTCAATCGTCAGCCTCTTGGCCTGTCCACAACTCCTCGCTTTCGGGTTTCTCGTTCTTTTATCGCCATTCTTTGCCATCGCGGTGCTGTACCGGCTAATACTAGAGCTCCCTGGCTTATGCACCGCGTTGAGTCTTTGGTGCCTCTCATTGTTCTGGGCCCAAAGGTCGCCACTGTACGCGTCGCGTTCGGAAATGCCCTGGGGTAAGAGTTGTAGATTGTGCGACAGATGCAGCAATATAGTTGACCAGTCCTCCATCCTACGAGGCACCCGTTGGAGATTGACACGATCAGGGGAAGAGTACGGCTTTTACACCAAAGGTCAGCTACAGCAGTCCGCCGAAGACTGCCATCTATGTAGCCTCCTCTGGCATTCATCATTTGGTGCTCAGATGATCCCAGCACCTGGAGCATACTCGGAAGAGACTATCACCCGGGAACTAGATAGCACTACGCCGCTCCTTTCCGTAGTTTCTAGCTCACGCAATTCTCTTGACTGTGAACAAGGCGACGAAGCGAGGAACCTTTCAGTCCAGATCTCGGCAACTCGAAAGTTTGGCCAAGAACAATTACTTCATGTCCGCCTATACGAGAAAGGGTTTAGTCCATTCCCGTGGCTGACGATTGAAGACGACAGATATGGTACGTCTGGCGGGTGCTGTGCAGCGCGTTCACGATTGACTCAGTGTCACAGTATCTGATAAACATAGTTGCGAGAAGTCCAACATGACAGGCTCTGAGACCAGCTTTTTTTGGGCCCAAGAAATGGTTGAGAAATGCGAACGAGAGCACCATAATTGCCGTAACCACTTCATTCGATCAGACAGCCAGCGATATCTTCCTAAACGACTTATTGATGTCGGAGCGAGGGACAAGGGGGCCATGCAGCTCGTTTTGAGTGACCAAATCCGATCAGACAACGATGTCGTTGAGTATGCTGCCCTGAGTCACTCCTGGGGTACGACGGTCAAGTCTGAGCTCAGGAACGACAACGAAGAAACGATGAAGACGATTTGAACAGAGATCCCGGATTCAAACTTCAGAGACGCCGTTGACATAACTTACAAATTGGGGATCAAATATTTATGGATCGACTCGCTCTGCATCAAACAACGCACCAAGGAATGGGAAGAGGAGTCTGGAGATATGGGCCTCGTTTACGCCAGGGCAAAGGTGGTGATATCAGCGACAGCATCTAAGAACTCACAGGGCGGCTGCTACAAACCCAAAGATCTCTTTCCTTACGACTGCGTCCTATGTAGCAACTGGAACTCTTCACTCGTCGTTCGCACGTTGACTCCATATCCCGATTTGGTCCAGCTCTTCCACGATAAGGTAGATCGTTCGTTCCTGGCTACGAGAGGTTGGACTTTTCAAGAAAGGTTCCTCGCTAGCAGGATTGTGCACTTCTGTTCAGGACTGATGATGTTTGAGTGCAACACATTGACTACCTCTGAGTGTCATAGGGAAGAAGAATATCCCCTTAATACCCAGTTTAGCCAGGATGGTACTTTGAACGCACCAACAGTCTCCCATCCAGGCCCTGAACCACCCAGACAGCTCTGCAATACGACAATCGTGAGACATGCTGGGTCTTCTACAAGACCTATCACACGCCCAGCCAAGAACACGGTTAAGAAAAGTTGGTCCGCAAACCCCAAGCATCGAGCATGGACCAGCAAGAAACGGCGCTATGATGCACAGGTATCGTCTATAAGGGCCAATGCCGCTAGACTGAGTATTCGGGGGGCTTTCAGCTTTCTTTGGTCGTTCAGGGGACAGAATATGCAGGAGAAGGCAGAATTCCACCTGCGGTGGTATGAGATGGTGACGAGCTACTCGGTTCGCAACCTGACGAATGATGGCGACAAAATAATGGCCATTGCCGGCGTTGCCTACTTTATCCAACAGAGCACGGGTTTCAAGTACGCCGCTGGCCTCTGGGACGAGACATTACCCTTTAATCTCCTCTGGGTGGTAGACTCTGGAGCCAAGAGGCGACCATCTGGCCGGTCTGTTCCCACATGGTCTTGGGCATCGGTTGATGGCAAGATCTCACATCGTCTACAGAAGGCTAGCCCAACTCCAGAGCCTAGCTCTGTGGTCAGCATAACGGTCGAAGATAGCAGCGTTTCCGAATCATGGGAGCATATCGAGTACCTGATATCGAACCACAAGATTCAAGCTACACATACGGTCAACGGCATGGCCCATAATGCTAAGCTTAACCTGTCTTGTAAACTTCTCACGTTTGATCCCAAGACAATGGACTACGTGTACGATGCACTGGAGCACCATCAGCAGGACGAGATAAGATGTCTGCCTGTTCTCGAGTTGATCAACGAGAGGGTTGGTCTGCGGATTCGGACGCCGCAAATTCATGGAATCCTGGCACGAGCTACGGCAGGCAATTTAAGCGAGGGGGAGGATACATGGGTTCAATATACAAGAGTGGGATACTTCTGCACGGAAAAAACCAACATTCACCTCAAGGAGATGGACAACGAGGGGCAACGGTTAATTGAACTCGTTTAGTAGATAGAAAGTGCTATTCCGAAGACCTGTTGAATATTAAAGCTAATGCAAAGCTCAGCCATCCCGAGGCCAAGCGACCGCAAGAAAATCTTCAACATCCTGAAGAAACTCAGTAGGTCTTTCAAGAGCTGCAAAGTGCCCTCCCTGCATCAAACCTTAATTTGGCTCGCATGTGTTGAAAGATCTGCATGGGTTCTTACCTGCTCGTGCTGTCGATAGAAGACTAGATCTCCCTTCTTTTCAATGATATTCTTCGGCCCAGGGGCAAGTTCCCGCATAAACCAGGAAAAGCCAAATGGTTGCTTGAAGGGTGGAAACGAATATTTATGTCCATTGATAAAGGTTCCGCGATACGTATAGATGCATCGAGGCATTGTTTCAGTGAACCAATAGAGCGAAACGTTGGTCAGGAGCTCGTCAAGACTGATTGGGTCGTCAGGCCATTCAAGGAACTTCTCGCCAATCCTGCGTACCATTTAGAAATATTGCTTTTGTGAGTTGCAAACGCAGAACCTACCATGCCAAGAGAGCGAGAGGGCTAGACGAGACCATGGCCCCAATTGTGGCAGGCCTTGTACTTTGCAGCAAGGCAGCCCCTGTAGTTGGGGTCAGGAACCGCTGCTCTGCACGCTCAATGGCCGCTTTTTCACTGGAAGAAAGTGATGGATCATCGGAGGTTACCCTGTCCAGGCTTGGTAGGAGATTGACTATACGCCATTAGAATCAAGACAGGTAGCGAGGATACATCAATGATAGCACTCACGATGGATCGCCGCGACAGAGTCATATGTCGTGGCAAGCGTCGAAGCAATCAGAGACCCAACGTCGCCTCCCTGTACAGCATACCGGCTGAAACCAAGAGACATGACTGCTTTGTTGATCATACGTGCTGCATCTTGGCTATTCCAGGCTTCGGTTTCGCTTGGCCCCGAGCTAAGCGTATACCCAGGAAGCGAGGGTACAATAACGTGATAAGGTAACGAAGCGGGTTCATACTTCTTCTGAAGAAGTTCCAAGGTTGGTATGAACTCAAGGAAACTACCTGGCCAGCCATGAAGCAACACGATGGGTATAGCGTCATCCTTTTGCGAGAACAATCCAACAAAGTGAAGGTCAATATCTCCCTTACCGGCGTCATTTTGAACACTGATCTTATAGTTTGGAAGTGAGTTGATGCGAGCTTCTTGGGCACGCCAGTCAAATTTATTCTGCCAGTAGTCCTTGGTTGAGGTAAGCCACTGGTGTGAGATCCCGTAGCGTCCATCTTGGTGCTGATTCTCCCAGGTCGTGGGCCCTACACGGGAGAGCCGAAGAAGTTCCCGGAGTCGAGAACAGTCTTCATCGGAGGTGCGAAGCGTGAAAGGTCTGGCGACTTCTGGGACTGTGTACGGCATAGTGTCTGTAAGAAGAATGGTGGAAGGCTGGTAGGGTTGGAAATTGGAAGGTTGCAAGGCTGAACTTAGAACGGTTGAGAAGAAGCGAAAACTGAAGGAGTAGATAGAGATGAAGAGTCGTGATGAGGCTGGCGAGCCTTAGGAATTTATGCAATTGCAGACCGAGCTAAATTCTCGTCACATTGATGGCTTACGCCCGAAGCTACACAGACATAGAGTTTCTTAGCCCTCAGTGCCCTCCTTTCATCCCAGGATAGGTGCCCGAGTATCCGGCAGTGATACCCAGAAACATTTCATTCAATCAAGGAATTCGACCTGCAATAGTCTTCTATGGAGATGATGCTGTATGAAACGGCTCGGTGCAATCATTGCCCTTTTCGCATGGGCAGCCGGAAATACGGGAGGCTGGTCTCCACATCAACTCTAAATATGAGTCAAAGATGACTCACATACTAGTTATCTCACTGAGCGCTGCTCAAAACAAAGCATAGTTTCCACGGCATCGGGATCTTGCAACAACCCGTGGCTCATCAGAATTGGCGGCACGTCCAATATTTGCGGAAACCCATACATCCCCGCTCCCTTTCTCTGTTGTTCACATTTTCAGGTAAATGGTGGCTAGTATCCTCAAACCCCACAACATAACGGACAGTCAGACCGAGTTATACTTGGCACATGTGCGACTAGAATAAGTCTATTAGTCTAGTTACTACATACCTTTGTGTATAAAAAGTTGGAGTCGTGCTTTGTAGTGTTCTTCTCGTGAGGCAATTTGTATTCTATCGATGCTATCACTATGTCTCCTCAATTCAGACCAGAACGCGCTCCGGTCGTGAGGTTACGTACAAGCTCTATACCCAGCTACTTCCAAACGATTGTCGGCAAACGATCGCCCATTTCTGATGACATCGAGGAGTTTCGTGGTATACCGTACGCCCGTGTACCGGGAAGATGGGAGCACTCGCAACTGAGAGATCGTTTACCGCAGGATGTATTTGATGCTACAGAGAACGGGTAAGGCCACACCTTGCGCAGCCATTCATGCCTCCTGAAATTACACAACCGATAAGAAATCATAATTGCTAATCATTCTGTAGCCCACGATGCCCTACGGAGCACAAAGGAAATTCACAAGCATATCAATCATACCTACCATACCCCGACGACCGCGAGGATGAGTTTGAGTGCCTGAACCTTCTCATCATGCGCCCGAGCAAGGAAGCACTTGCAAACCACAGTCTTGATGCCGAGACGACCCAGTTGCCTGTACTTGTCTGGATCCACGGCGGAGGCTTCACAGACGGCGCAGCCACGGATCCAGTATGGGGTATGAGCTCTAAGACTGCGCGATACATAGCAGAAGATGAGACGTTTGCTAAAGATTATACGCAGACCCCTCCCGTATTGTCCTCCGTGGGCTCTCAAAGAGAACACCCTTTATCGCTGTGTCCATCAACTATCGTCTCAATATTTTCGGGTTTGGTGCTTCATCCGATATGCTTGCGGTGGCGTGAATTTCGGCCTCTGCGATCAGAAGCTTGCTTTGATCTGGATAAAGCGTAATATTGCTGCGTTCGGTGGAGATGACACAAAAATTACAATCATGGGCCACTCCGCCGGTGGAATTTCATGCCACCTTCACCTTCTCGAGGCGGAATTAGGTATAAAGAAACCGTTATTTCGTAAGGCTGGTTTAATGTCGGGGACGTGGGGCGGCCTCGACTTGACATCGATGGAAAAAAGCAGATGAGCGCTGGGCAGACCTGTACCGATTGTGGTCAGTCGAAGCCGACAAGCCGATCGATCGACTCAACATGCTGGGACGGATACCAGCGAAGGACCTGGTTAATAGTATCTCAGAGCTTCACTGGGCTTTTTTCGTGTTGGTCATTGATCAGTTGACCATCAGGGACAGTAACTTGAGCTGTGGTATTTCCGTGCACCTTGGGCAAGACGGTCTGAGCGATCAAACCAAGTCGGCTGATGAAAACATACAAGTCATGTTGAGCTCAACGGACCAAGAGTTCAGAGATTTTGCCCGGATGGCTAACTGGAATTTTCCCAAATTTCACTCTCTTGTCGCGTCTAGCTATCCCTCGCAGGCAGCAGCTGAAGAGGTTCTTGAAGCATACGGTATTCTGCCGACATCATCTGATGCAGAACTGTTTGAGGCATTCTCTGAGTTCATATCTGATGCCACCATGTTGCATAAAGTATATCGCGCAAGCGAGTTCTTCAAGACCCATCGTGGGAAACAAGCTCTCCTCCATGGGAAAGACCCAAAGCACGTAGGAGTCCAATATTGCCATTTCGAATTCGGCAATCCCTTCTCAGGCCCCATGCAAGGAATTGCGCACCACGGAGTTGAGTTGATCTATGCTTTTGGCAATTTTCACAACGCGCTAGAGAAGGCTGACCAGGGTTTTCGGAGGGTTATGCTGAACCTGTTCAAGAGCTTACAGAAGCTGCTATTCCTGAAATCCCATCGAATGCCGAGGCCGCGGAGGAACGCAAGTCCAACATTGACTTAGGCTGTGAACTGCAGGACATGTTGATCCGATTCGTTGTCGAGGATTGTCGAGAGACCGACCAGCGCGCGGATCCCGACGAGATAGCGACATTTCGTCATGATCGATCGGTCCGCATGGAGAGTTGGTCCAGTAGCGAGAAATGGGTGGCAAGGACAAAGAAATTTAAGCTTTTAGATAAGGATTTCAATTCTTTAACGACTGCCACCAAGAAACTTGTAGGCGGCGTTATAGGTATGAGACTATAATAAATGATCCTCTGGCTCTCCCTCTGCAGCCCCCGATTGGCTGGTCTCCGTGAGCTAGATGTATTATTTGCAGTTGAGGCCGGTGGCTGAGAGCTTATATTCACCACACAGAACTTGGAAATTCTGTATTTAGCATTCACATGCATTCTATTGTCGTATCCCGGACCTTTGTTTGTGTTTCTTGAACCATCTAAGCCTTCTATACTTCTTGTCAAGTCACACTCCCACTGATGGAAGTGTCTAAGCTTTGCACGCTTCCAAAATTTATCCCCATACACCAATTCGAACTATTAACATTGTAGAAGTATCTTAAAACCACGAAAGCTTAATTTTACACGAAAGGCTAATCAGATGAACATCCATACCATTATATCGCACTTTTTTTTGGAGTCCTCTCATGTTTCCTCCTTTTTTCTTCACTTCGACACCGAACCTATCTCATTACTTCCTGTACAGGACCCTTTCGTGCTACTTATCGCCGTTGAACTTCACATGCTATTATGGCTACTGCCTTCCACCTATTCCCTTTCCTTCCACGGGAACTCAGGGACGAAATCTGGGCTTTTGCCATTCGGCCGCACCGCCGAGGAGTCCAAATCTTTCGCGTACACAATTCCGCCACGGAAGCTGATATTGGACCTCGGAGAGCCTCGCGAGGATTAGACGAAGTCAACAACTCCTGGCATTTTGGTGCCCCTCTCGAATCCAGGTACTACAAGAGCCTCGACGGATCCCCCAATAAGAATGTGTCGGCGTACATGATTGATTCCGGGTTATGGACCGCTTGCAAAGAATCACGGCGTGTTATCCGGAAGCACTTCGCTGAACATTCAAACAACCCGTGGGGACCGTCAGGGCGTGCAATAGTGAGCTATTGCTCGGGCAGCAACCCCTTCTACATCTCTATCTGGCCAGACTCGGACCTTATTACTCTACAACCAGATAATTTCTTCCCCACCAGCTGGAGCCGTATCAAAACGCTTGCCTGCACTTCGAGTTCTTCTGTCTACCCTCTGGAATTTTGCCGGGATATTGGCATAGACTATGATCCAGCATGGGCGGATACAAATTGGGTGTATGACTTTTCCCCGGGTGTACATGATATGACATCTTACGTCGCTGTTCTCTTTCGTTCTTTTCCCCGGCGCCGTTTGTGGTTGGTAGACACAAACCTGAAGCGGAAACCAGGAGCCTCTTCGTCGCATGACAGCCAGACAGTGCAATTCTACGCAAATGATAGGAAGCTTGTACAAGTTTCTCTTGATAAGGGGGAGGGTAATTTGAGAGAGTGGGAGTATATACACCCAGTGGCAGGCGGGGACTATCGGGATTCATCTATTTACTTTGCAATTTCCGCAAATGAATTAGGAAGATTTTATGACGCATGTCCCTGGTTTATCAACGATCATCGACATCTTCTCGGAGATCGAATTGGGCTTCTTGGATGGGAAGATCTAAAAAAATCATAAGTATATGTATGCTTAGATATAGTGGCAAAGAAACTCGTTAGCTCAGAAAAGACCAAATCTAAATGGATACAATCTTCTCTAATCATTTTCTCATACATACCTATCAAGACAGATAAACACTTCGAAGAGACAAGTTTAAAGCCGGAAAGATGGATATTTACCATGTCGAGTAGAGATTTCCAAGGCATGAGAATGTTATTTGTTTAGTGGTCGCTCATTTAGCCTGTGCATTGTTGAAAACTTGGCTCTTTGTGTCTATATCATAATGTCTAAGTTATGAGCTCGCTGTGTTATTTGCAGTTGAGACCTGTGATTGAGGGTTTATTACGATCGCGCATAACTTAGTATCCAGATAATGCTGGTAGTGGATTGTGAGCCTAGATATAAACTCTGCTGTAACAGATTCTGTCCAAATTACTCATCTGAGGCGAAAGCTCTATTCCTTTTACACTTCAATAAACTACTTACATATGGCGCAGATCGCTGCTGATGAGTCAAACGGTGTAGATCTCCCAGAAGTCTAATCCCTCGGCAATGTATATGTATCCCTTCCTGTCTGGACTTTCTCAACGACCCCGTTTCCACTCCTTTCGCCACACACCGGTAGTCCTCCCCTATTCCCGAAGCAGGATTGCCTATCCGACTGGCGCTTATCCAACCTATCTTCTTATACTCCAGACCCGAGCACTGCCAATCATGTCGACAGAATTCTCTCTCTTCTTTGCTCTTCCAACCGAGCTTAGGGGAGAGATCTGGAATCTAGCTATTCGCCCAAAGCGCTCAGGAGTTCATATATTCCGCGTTTACAGTACTTATATGGACCATGAGACTTCGCCAGAGGAAGTCATTCACTTCTCAGCCAACGAAGCTTCGTTTTACGGGCACGAACGTTGTGAACTGAGTCTTGCAGTACCATTTCCACACAAAAGTCTCGACGGTACCAATAAAGATGGCGCTAGGATGACATCGTCATATATGATCGATACGGGGTTATGGACTGCCTGCCATGAATCAAGGTCCATGATGAAGAAGGCCTTTCTAACGATCAAGAATACTAGGCACGGCAAAGTGTACATCCCCAAACCAGTAATGTGTTACTACCACTTTGGAGGTGCACGATTCTATTTCACAGTGAGACCAATGTCTGACCTTTTTATCCTGTGACCCGATAGTCCATACTACCACCTGTACAACGTTGATGATGCGCTTGGCCATAAGGTCTTGCATGTTGGCATCGAATACCAGTCAGATTGGGGACCGCAATTTTACGACGAGCTACAAGGTGACGGAGAGTGTCCAGCATTCGATCAGATTCAGGGCCTACAACACAGTGTGTTTGCTCCATGCATATGGTTTGTAGATTACAATCTGAAGCGAAAAGCAAATGCTCCTCCCCACGAGGGTGAGTGCTTCTATGAAGATGACAGGAAGCTTATCGCTGTGGATTCTCTTGGAAGAAGGCTTTCTGGACCACTGGGAGTACATTGAACCAGTTCCGGATGGAGACTACCACAAATCCTCAATCTACTTCGCGGAAATGTTACATGGAAGCTTCGTCCATGCGCAAAAGGTCGGGCCTGAAGCTATGTTCCACCCTACAATGGGACTTCTAGGATGGGATAACTTTTGAGGCTTAGCCATATCTGTTGTAAGAAGGTCTACCTACACAATACACTGGCGGGCCATGCCAAGGAGAACATACGAAAGAAAACGCTCTTCCTTTGGTACTACCATGCCCCACTCCACGTGACGCAGGTGAACCCTGATGATTCAGGCGCAGGCTGTCCAAAGGCTGAATCACTTAGGTTGTAAATACATCACCCGGTGCTCGATTTCCTTCATCACCTTATGGCACCCCACCCATAGTACCTCTGGAATGTCGCCGTGTTCAAGAGTTGGGCATATATCTCACTGAACTATCGCCGGGACCTTTGCATTTGTCGTCCTGGGCTACATCCCCAACATGCCCTCGACATTCCACCCATTCTCAGCTCTTCCGACCGAGCTTAGGCTGCGAGTCTGGAAAGATGTCATTCGGCCAGATCTGCCAGCGGTGCACATTTTACGTCTGCATGTTCCTGGCTCGCATGTTCCAGTTCGACCCCAAGACACAATCCGGTTTCCTCATCACCCTGCATACCAAAGACTTTTACACCCCGATGATTTTGTGGCTATTCCATTGTAGAACAGGTATCTAGATGGTATCTACAATGGCAGCGACTTTAATATATCGACATACCTGACCGATGCCGGACTGTGGACGGCTTGCCACGAATCAAGACTCACGATGCAGAAGCACTTTCTGCAGGACCCATGGCTCTCTCCTCCGTGGACGGGGTACTACATCTCTGGCGGTGCTCCCGCATATATCACAATCCGTTACAACGATGACCTAGTTATCCTGCAGCTCGACAGCCTCGAATTCGAAAAATGGGATGATGAAACAGTGGGCCGCTTACAAAACATCCATGATATCCATATCGAGTACAGAGCTGAGTGGAGCATCGACTTTTACGAAGAAGACGAAGGGGGCGATGAAGCCGATGCATTTTGAGACTGTGAACCTTGGAACGCGCGTTTGGTTGATTGACCATAACCTGAGACAAAAGGTAGACGCTCCCCCTTGCTATGAAAAGCGTGATGGATATTTTTGGGAGCTCCAGAATGTTTCTTTTTATGGGGCCGACAGGAAGTTCTCTAGCACTGGTCTTGAAAAAGGGGGAGAGCGCCTGGCTCACTGGGAATATATTAACCCAGTCTCAGATGGAGATCATCGCAAATTCTCATTACACTTTGCAGGCCGACTGCAGGAGTTTTATAAAGAACGATGAAAGTGGACTGATGCCTCAGGATCGGTCTTGGGGCTTCTTGGGTGGGATCGCCTTTGAGCATATAGACCATGCATTCACACGAATTCTTGTTTATAGTGGAGTCGTATGAAAGAACCGAGATACTTGGATAACTTTCAAAACATCTGAGCAATAAACATCAAGTTCTGTGCATCTGGATCAAGACGGGCTCGAAAAGCTGGAATTCTGCGCACATTTACCGGATCACTGAACGGGCCAATTTGAACAGCTGTAATTGCAGTTGTAGTTTCGTTACTGCCGCTCATGTTACACAGTCTCTTAACTATGATTAAATAGGTTTGGGGCGATGGGACCCATGTTGCAGGAACGCTTTTAGTTTATGATTTACAAGAGTAGCTAAAATACAAATTCTTTTTTTAATTAAAAAAAAGACTACTTCACTCACTCAGAACACAGTCGTCAGGTTATCCGCCCTGGGCGTCTACCCGCAAGTTACAGCTGAAAAGCTTGACTTTGCCATATGTCACATTTCATTTATCAAACCTTTTGTCTTAACGTCAATCAGACCATTTATTCATATGTTTGATAATGGAAAATGGCTTATAACACGTCTCTTCCCTTTCACCAATCATGGAGCCTAGTGCCAGGATCCAGCGTGGCACGACTGGAAACAGGATCATTGAGACCCCGGGTACAGTCGGCCAATGGCTCACATTATGCTTAATTTAAAGACCTTGCAGTGATCGATTTAGCCAAAAGCAAAATGCAAGCTACGGGCGCTGATCAGGACGAATCTTGGTTGACGGGCTTAGCAACTTCCTGTTAAAGACTTAGACCATATTCCTACGATTATCATTCGACTGAAACCTCCAAATCAACGTTACAAACACTTTCTTTAGTCTCTTGGCTTGTCAAAAGGTCCTTCTTTGATGCTCTTGGTCCCTGTCAGCGTAACACCGAATTTGGCGTCAACGCCTTGGCCTATGGCGTGCTCTCACCAGTCTGGAAGGTCATTAGCGTCACGCAATCGATAGCCAATCTACATGGAAACGGGGGCGAAGGCGATCGACATGCTCGTATCTTGAAATATCCCGATAGCGACTAACAAGATGAATTGCTTAAAGATGTGAGGTTGCACTGGCCTGCTGGAGCTGCTTTGGAGCATCCGCATCTTAAGAATTACCTCCATTGTTGTCCAGCCATGGGCTTCTCTTTATCACGCTGGCGTCCCCAGCCAGACGCTAAACCAGCTGTTATTAATGCCGATCAGAACTATACGTCTGATAGCTCTGATCCCGCTCTTCTTCGCGATGGAAACCTTGCTTTTACGCGTGTGCAAGGCGGAAATGACGCGAAGCCTTCGTATCAGGAGGCCATCGGCGCGCCCGTCGAGACCAACTCACCTTTAGGCTATCATGTTGGATGGTTGACTATCGTCTTCTTGAATGTCAACCAGATGATTGGTACCGGTATCTTCTCGACGCGTATGCACCATCGCCCTGTTTTATCACTGGTAAACAGCATACTCACTCTAGTGTAGCTGGCAGCATCCTCAACTCCACAGGATCTATAGGTCTCGCTCTGATCTACTGGTTTATCGGCTTTATCATGGCCATTGCCGGATTCTGCGTGTATCTTGAGTTCGCTAGTTATTTCCCCAGTCGATCTGGAGCCGAAGTCGTATACCTCGAACAAGCTTATCCCCGACCGAAGCATTTCTTTCCGATTGCGTATGCAGTGCAATCAGTTGTTTTGTCATTCAGCAGCAGCAACGCGATTGGTTCGTTGTCAGCAGAGTCCCGGGTTGTCAGTTACTAACTCGTTGTGCAGTACTGTCTCGATATCTCTGGAGAATCGCTGGAAAGACGCCCAGTGACTGGGAGATGAAGGGCGTGGCCATCGCTGCTTACACGCTTGCTGTGATCTGTCAGTCTGTCCCTGACTTTAATGCATGCGCTCACTAATATCAGCTCAGGTGTCATCGCTCACAACAAATACTCCCTCTGGGCTGTCAATGTCTTGGGCTTCTTCAAGATCATCACTCTAATCTTGTCAGTTCATCACCTCGTAAACCTTCCCACTCTAACTTTTGCAGCATTTCAATCACTGGCTTCGTGGTTCTCGGCGGCAACGTCTCTCGAATCCCAGACCCAAACGCCAACTTCCGCAACGCATTCGAGGGCACAACCAACAACGGAAATGACCTTTCAACAGCTTTGGTCAACATCGTCTTCTCATACACCGGCTACGCCAACGCCTTCAATGTAGTCAACGAAGTCAAGCGACCGATCCCTACTATCAAGAAGTACGGATTCATCTCTGTTCTTCTCGTTGCTGTTTTATACATGCTATGCAACGTCGCATACTTCTCTGCTGGTAAGCTTCAAGATGCTATGAGCTTCACGGCCTGATGTACTGATGCGAGTCTTAAGTCCCCAAGAAAGAGTTTGCAGAGTCGAATGAGATCGCTGCATCAGTCTTCTTCACCAGTGTCTTTGGTACTAGTGGTGCTGTGACAGCTTTGAATGTTCTTGTGCTGCTGAGTGCGTACGGTAACCTCCTTGCTACATTGATTGGCGCTTCACGATTGATTCGTGAGATCGGACGGTCTGTTGCCATTTTACCATGACTTCTCGTCGCTTACTGACTCGATATGCAGCCAAGGAGTCTTACCCTTCACTACCTTCTGGGTATCAACAAAGCCCTTCGGAACACCCATCGGACCCTATCTACTGAAATGGGCTATGACGTTCATCATGATCGTAGCACCTCCTGCAGGTGATGCATTTCAGTTTGGTGAGCCTCTTCAATCAAAAGCTTCTCTCGTACGATTTAGCTGACGTTAAACCAGTCGTGAGTCTGAAGACTTACCCCGAAGGCCTTTTCTTTTTGGCCATGAGTATTGGTCTCTACATCGTCCGGCGTCACAACAAGCGCGTCGGAAGAGGGCCACCAGAGTTCAAGGCTTGGGATGTCGCAGCCATATTTTTTATTCTCATTCAGATCTTCATCATCGTTATGCCATGGTATCCTCCCAAGGGCGGCCCCTACGCTGGCGACGTAAGTTTCTGGTATGCAACTTACTGCGTAGTGGGCATTGCAATGTATGTTTCCTTCCCTTCTGGCCATCGTTCGGAACACCAACTGACAGTACAACCTTTTCAGCATGATTCTTTGTGGTGTCTACTACGTATTCTGGATTTACATCATTCCCAAATGGAAGGGTTATGCAATTCGTCCGGAAGTTCTCGAAGTTGACACAAATGGCGCCAACACGCATCGCTTGGTCAGAGTGCCTCTTGTTGAGATTGAGAAATGGGATGCAGACCATGACGAAGCTGGGAATTTGAGGCAACGTCACGTTGGCGATGGTCCAGCGCAGACAACAACTATACCTGTTGACAAAGAGATTTAATACGCCATGCTAGCTTCGCTGATATGAGAGGCGGTCACTGCTCCGGGTCTTTGGGATATAGATAGTGTTCAAATCCGATGACTGATTGAATCATGGTGGTTAAGCATTGATATATGGAGGGTCGAGTTGACATGACAGCATTCATGAGACGACTCATGGGAAATGTCCATTCAGCTCAGTACTGGGCTACCCCATCTCCAATTTGCCATTTTATGATGGGAACTGTGCCAAATCCTTTCCCATTCCTCTTGAGTGATCGTGTCGCCTCAGCTGGTCTCGTCAATTGGCTCCTTCCCAATTGGCTCCTTCCCGCGCAGGTGTGCCTTCCTCAACAGATGGCATCGCTGTGTTCCTCCCTCAATGGCCTGCACCTTCCTCAATGGACAATTCGTACTGGATCCCGTCACATTTTCCCAAGCTTTCCGTCCGGATTCTGTCTTGTTCCTTAAGCATCATCACCACCGCCGCCGCCGCCGCTACCACTCCTGCTGCCGCCGCTGAAGATGCCTCCTAAAATGCCCCGGATCGACGACTTGCTTGTCCTCCTGGAAGTGTTCTTTGCCCCAGAGAAGGGGGGCCTTCCGGGAGGGACGGCGACCAAGGCAGAACTTGACTTTGCCGAGAAGGACTCCCCCGTTAAAGGGGAGGATGTGAAGCCTGGCCCCTGGCCGGGTGGATCATCGCCCGACTCGGTGAGGGATGACGGATCTGCTGCGGTCGCCGGCGCAAGTTCGTCCTCCTCTCCTACTCTCTCCTCCTCCTCCTCCCCTCCCGCCGCCGCTACTCCTCGCCGCCGCCGCTTCGCCGCCGTCTTGGGCGGATTCGCCGCCTGCTGTCGTCGTCGCCGTCTTAGACGGCTTTTTTGGACCGCTCTGCCGCCCCCTTTTTTTGTGGTGTTTTTTTTTTGGGGAGCGAATTGGTATCTTGGCTTCGCCTCTCCTTTGATGGCTCTCGCGGGAGCTGTGAGGCTAGCTTGGCTAGATACATGCCAGCGGTATGTTGCATGACTGACTTGCTTGCCTGTGAAAGCTCGAGCTGACATTGAGACAGACAATAGAGCCAAAGTTGTTCGCTCCTCCAAACCCACGATTGCCCCGGGATCCTGTATTACATGCTCGTGACAACATCTGGTATGTCCACGTGTTTGGGAGATGGATATAGAGCTAACATCCCTGACAGATTAGCCATGTATGCAAGACATTACCTCGTGACGCCCAAGGTGTGTCTCGACAAGCCAGTGATTGAGAGCATATCGATCTTTGTGGAAGAAGTCTAGAATTCTTTCCCCATTTCGCGATGCATGCCGATTCTCGGGCTTTGCACATGCATGTCTCTGCATTCCAACCCCGACGACTTCCGGTCAGAAATGCGTGTGGTGCATATTGCTTACCTGCACGCCATTCGACTGCAAACTTCGGTCAGTTCCACCAGATCTATCTTACCACCTTAAACAGCAGCTGACAGCTCTAGCTGAGGGTGCTTTCGGTGCTCTTCTTTGGCCCAATTCGTCCACCCACTTCGACTTTGACCCTCCTTCAGCGCCTCCCTTCCATACATCGAGGCTAGCTGGACTTGGCTCAATTCGATGACACCACTTTACCTACCTCGATCGACAACCCCACGTACAAACTCGCGAAAAGTCAGTCATCGCGCGATCACCAGGCTTCGCCTCTCCTTTGACAGCGCCATCGCCAGGTTTCGCCTCTCCTTTGAGGGTGCTACCTAACCGGCTTCGCCTCCCCTTTGACGGTGCTATCTCATCTGCTTCTCCCCGTCTCACCAGCTACACCTCACCTTTGAGAGTACTCTGCCGACTTCGCTCCGACCTTACAAAAAGTCAGTCATCACCTGGCTTCGCCTCCCCTTTGAGGGCCCTATCTCACCATCTATCTCACCAGTTTCGACTCGTCTAACCAGCTTCGCTTCTCCTATAAGGATGCCGTTATACGATGCTCATTCAGTTCGATACGAGGTCTTTGGCTGTTATCCTGATGACATGGTTGTCCGGATTGTGGAAATTTTGGCTCAGGATGGGAATAACGAGTGACCGATTGTGCAGAAGTTGGGGTATAATGTCTAAGTTGTGAGCAAGATGTGTTATTTGCAGTTGAGACTTGTGGCTGAGAGCTTATATCAGAACAGAGAACTTAGTGCAGTAGTTGGGACATTGGCCCGTTATGGCCATGAACGATCTTAATGAGGGTGGTCACAAGGCCGGCTAGATGACGGTTAATAGCATGGATAGCTGAAATGTGGGTGCGAAGATTGACTCAAGGTAGCCTTGGGGATAGTTTGAAGGAGGAAAGCTGGAGCTAGCTGCTCATCACTAATATTTCTCAGGTTGGCTAAGATGTAAAGGTGTCCCGAAATCTTATAGATTCCATGTGTCGTCAACACCGCAGGACCAAAGCGAAGAAGCCCGAGGTTTGCAGTGGGATGCCTCCAGAAGGGTGCGGAGCCTCAAACTTGGACCTCGAGTGTTGGAGGTATTCAATCTACAAGTAATTGAGTATGCTCTTTAAAAGTTCAGTAACATGTCAAATAGTAGTCCATGGTAAGCAAATACAACATTTATTCATAGACAATCTCAGTAAATTCACCAAGCAAGACTGTAATACAAAATCAACCCGCGAATCTCCTTGCTGGACCCGTCTGCCCCATCCATTATTCCAATACTAACCCTACTGAGCTCCTGTCAACTCGGCGTGTTCCTCATTCTCGATATCAGGATTAAATGGGGGCTCTTCCATGGTCTTGACGAGTGAGCCCTCATTTCTCGACACATTCACAGCGATACCAAGTTCCTCGAGAGGCTGACCATGGACAAACGAATCCGTGATGTTTTTGTTTTCGCCAGGCGGAGTTCGAGACCAAGTACACACACGCTGTAGAGCCCTGCAACACTGGCACGAGTGATCATTCGGATCATAATCGCACTTGGTTGTCTAGATTTATTAGCTGTGGAGTCTGGCAAGGATCAAGAGTACAAACCGTGCGTTGAGATACACACATATCACATGATTTCCGCCCTTGTGTAAAGAACCCATGTGCAGGTTGAGCCCCAATGCGAGTGTGGGGATACTGCCGCTGTGGGAAGAGTTCGAGAAGTCTATCCTTGTTATGATCCATCGTATGGTTGTTGGGCCATCTTAAACGCTGGGATCGAACTACCTCCAGTACTCTCTTTTGCTGAAGATGATCGTAACGCAGAAAATTGACCTTTGATGGCACCGTTGGGAATAACCAGCTAGGGCTATTGGTATATGTGACCTTTTCGACATCACATAGAATACCCATCCCAAGGCGATAGATATACAATGCAGGGTTTGTTTTGCTGATAGGCTCCCAGAGGGATCGCCGCTCCAGATAGTACTGCTTCCATTCAGTCCCCCCTTCAGGAAGCCATTGGATCATGACAGCAAGAGATCTAAGCTTCTCAAGCTCCGAGTTCCGGCCAATCTTAGGAGGGAACCGAACCAAACGCAGAGGATGAGTCAGATACTCACCGTCCTTGTTCTTGGCAACCTCTACCACAAGGTGAACTGCTTGTATATGTCGGAGGCCTGCATCATCGCTAACTTTGTTGGGAATTTGAACCCTTATGTTTGTGCCCCAGCTGATAGCTATATTATCCTTGGCGATCCGGAGGGCTCGACGAGTACGATAAACATACACCTGTTTGGTTGGATTGTACCATGACGTCCATGACTCTTCGGCCTTAGGGTGTTTAAACACAGGCGTTTGCCAGTTTAACCCATAGCTTTCGCTGGGTTCCCAATTGGTCCTAGAGCGAATTTGACGCATCATGCGGCTAAACGTTAGGCAGGCAGTAAAGTCATCGCTGTATGACCCAACAACGCTGGGGCCGGCAGGGGAGAATAAGACTGTATACCAGCTCTTGAGGAGGCAAACCATAGAGAACTCGGCGATGTCAAGAAAATTGGCCGGAACGTCAGAAGTGGTCTGTACCACAATTGGCACCATTATCATACTCTTGGCTTTTAAGGCGAGACGATAATGAACCGTCTTCTTACCATTCCTGGCGTTCTGTTGGTGATTTGACTTGCGCGCATTGAAGTCGATGGTTTGACCGACGTAGAAGGCAGTGTCGTGTAAAGTGTCCTGTATTTTTCGGCCGCCGAAGTCATTGTAAATGATGACATAAATTCCAGCCTCCTTAGGCCATTTAGAAGAGACCGGTTTCAATTTCTTCAGGTGATCAATCTTGAATTTGCCGTTCCCCATGATTTGACGGGCTTCCTTTGTAATGCCTACGAAATCATGATCAGTATATGTTTATATTCAGGTCTCGGAGAGGAACCTACACTTATTGACGATGTCACCGTACTCAGAGGCTCTGTCATGAAAGAAAATATTCCTGCTGTTTTCTGACATTCCGGAAAGGGCCTCGTTGAGCGCGTTTTCGTTGCGTTTGATACTCTGCCAGAGATCGCGAAGTGTTGCGTGAAGCACATCTTGAGGGCGAGAGGCGTTCTGACTTGTTCCGGTCTGACCTTGGCCGATGTTACTAACCTGGGGGAGCTCGATTGGAAGAGGATCAACGCGTTCGACACCCTTTTGGAGAACATCAACGGTTACCCAGCCTATATTTCATCTGGTTAGAATCCGTCTTTAGGCTCTTTAAATCTTCAATAAGAATACTTTTGAAGAGTTTAGGATAGAGGTCTTGAAGAGTTTAGGATACAGCGTGACTTACCTCGCAAATACGTTGCGCCGTGTGGGCGATGGACGAGGCCGTAGCGTTGGTTTGTGCGAAAGACCCAGACTTCGTCGCCTTTTATTACCTTCAGGCCAGGGACTAGGCCCTGTGGAAGGGTATGATCTCTCGGGTCCCAGTCTTGTGTGACTACACATGCCCAGCCATTTACCACGTCGGGTGGGATATCGGCAGGGGTCTCGTCAAGATGAGAAGGGATTTCGGTGGGACGAGGAGCGGACTCGTGACGAGGACGAGAAGGCGACTCTAGGCGACGATATGGTGACTCTTGGCGACGAGAAGGACGAGAAGGTGACTCCTCTCGACGTGAAGGGGACCCTTGGGAGTTAAAGCCTTGAAGGGGACTGGGGGGCTCATGGGGACGAGAAGTGGCGGTTTGGAAATAACCAGAAATTGACGTCTGACTAGGAAGAGATGAGGGTCCCTGAGAAGTGCGGGAAGAGGGTCCTTGAGAGGGCTCTGCTTGCTGATCGCGAGAAGTGAGGTTTTTGAAAAAGCCAGAAATTGATGTCTGACTAGGTCCGGAAGGAGGTCCTTGAGAGGGGCGAGAGGAGGATCCTCTAGAAGGACGAGAGGGGGTTCCTTGGGAGGGATGGGAAGACGATCCCTGAGGACGAGAAGAGGGTCCCTGAGAGGGCTCTGCTTGTTGACCGCGAGAAGTGAGGTTTTTGAAAAAGCCAGAAATCGGTGTCTGACTAGAACGAGAAGGGGGTCCCTGAGAAGGACGAGAGGAGGATCCCTGAGAGGGACGAGAAGGGGACTCCTCCCGGCGATTGGAAGAGGATCCCCGGTATGACATCTTGCTGTCTGATTCTTGCCCAAGATGTTGAAGAAGGAGTAAGACATAATTAGCTGGTAGAAGACGGCATTTTTATATTTCAAACTCTCATTAGTATAATCGTAAGAGATTGTTGTCACCTTAGTCGATGAATCACTGCGCCCGTATACTGTTCTCACATTACGCAGTCGATGAATCACTGCATCCTGAGAAGACACAGGGGTTCATCACTGCAGCCATCATTACGTTGAGACAGGAAGTCGGTCCGGAAGTAAAATGGAATGTTAGACGCGCCGCCATGGCATCAAAAGTGGCAGTGACTCAAGAAATTTAAATCCCCATATTGTACTCTATCAGTGGACAGAAGATACGCGTTGAGCTATTCCATGGCTTCGATAACCGTAAGCTTTTCTCAACAAGCATCAAGGTTCATGTGTACATCAGTCTGTTTGGATACCAAATACCTCTGATCCCCTTGATGACTCAGTGGTCTCACCGAAAGCCTCCACTATTAGGGACTCAGCAGAATTCTGAGAGTGTTGCAGGCATTGATCAAAGTTGCCCATCAAGGTCTGGTGTCTGCGATGTGGTTATTCTCTTTGGAGTTCTAGCCTCAAAACAAATCTTCCCGAGTTATCACCTTAATGGCGGTCATTATGTGAGAGTTTGAAGGTTTGGTCACCAGTGATTGTATAACTGGGCTGGACCCTCAAAGCCAAATGGGAAACAGTACCCACAGTTCATTAATGGTTACGAGTCTGTGCCCTAGGAGCAAGAAGATTTCTGATTTTGACCCAGGGTGCCAGAAATACCTACTCTAAGGTCTACTAAATCTACACTAAATTATACTAACTTTACCTGAGTCTTTTCGTCCTTTAGGATAGAAGTCCTAAGCTTTTCTTGCCTCCACTTGTCTATTAATAATTTCACATGATTCCCCTCACTTCTTTGGCTTGTGTGACCACCGAATGCTATCGCACAATGCCCCTCCGAGGCGTCCAAGGAGACGTGGCCAATTCGAAATTCGGCTCGGCAGTATTTTGGGCTTCTCGCGACTAAGCTTATCTTGGACTATTGTATGGAGGGATAAGCATCTTATAGGCTGAGATGCACCCACGTTGAGGTCCAGGTCCTACTGGGTTTCAGGAGGGGTTCATGACGCGTTCGTATTTCTTGTTCACGAATTACCATTTGGCGATGATTCGAAGCCAAATTTTATTCTCCGGGGCTAATATCTGCCGCATCACCATTGGCAAGTGGTTCAGAACCTTCTAGAATATCGTCTTGGAAAACAAGATGCAAGAGCTCCTCTGCGGTCCGTGGCGCGTTCGGACTTCTTTCTCACAAATCGCCATTTGACGATGGTGGAAAGCCAATTTCTACTGAGGTTAGTCTCAGTCAGGCCGCTCTTGACAGGTGGCTCGGAACCTTCTGGTATATCGTCATAAAGAAAACAAGGTGAGAGAGCTTATCTGAGAGGTCCTGGAGGAGCTCTATGGCGCACTCGTATTTCTTGCTCATGAATCGTCAATTGTCGACGGTGAAAAGCCAGTTATTGTTGAGATTAATGTCAGTCAGGCCGCCATTGACAGATGGTTCGAAACTTTCACGTCAATCCCTCTAATGAGCCTCCCCTTGGAGATTGACGAGATCCAGGGCTATTCTGAGGTGCTCGAGATCCTCGTATTTAGTATCAAGCGTTACTTCTTATGTTCACTCTGGCTACTCGTCCATGTAAGGGCATCTGCTATGGGTATGTGAACGAGCAGAGAGCGGAGGTCAAGAAGCTGACTAAGCCAGGCAATTTGATCGTGCCTCGGTGTAATAAATCAGCGCGGGTAACAGGAGGAGGCAGTGTTGGTACGAGTATAGCGCCCAGCTCATGCATCTGCCTACTTGTTTCCCTCAAAAAGGAAAATAAATACTGCAAGACTTTATTCTCCCTGCGATAACTCCCTATCTGTTTCTTAACCGTCATCGCTATAACCAAACTATTTGTGCAGACTCAGGATCTTGATGAGCTAGTGCAAGCAGGCAAACATGCCAGAAGCCGACGAAGCAACGACAAAGAGGATTGATCATCACTCCAAAGACATGATGCTATAGAATTGGAAGAAAGGTCGTAATAAAAACATAGGTAGGGTCAGTCTATGAGATGTGTGACGACACAATCAGCAGACGCTGGACCAGCCCGACATCAGTACAGCACCGCACTCATGCATTGTAAACCCCATAGGTTAGTTCGTACATGGATACCAGAACCTTCTGTTGAGAAAAGCAAGGAACTTCCAAATTGAACTTAGTTCAAGCGTCTCTTCACCTCCTCGGGATTCAGATGTTTCAATGACTCGTGCAATGAAACCCGTAGAGCTCCATTTGATTCACCAACAGTCTTGCGCATCATAAACCTACATAAACAACATCAAAATGGGGTGATGCTGCGCCCAGTGGTAATAAAAGCATCTCATGAGGGATAGCGCATGACGGCTTGAAACACGTAACCTTGATGGTAAGCTCAATAGTCTGCTTAGTTATACGGCAAGCCCCAAAAGCTTAACCGAGCTGGTTGGTTCAATTTATGTATAAAAACGGCGGTTTCTTCCTTACTCCATGCTAAGCTCACTCTTGGTCATTGATCTCCAAACAAAGGCAGCCATCACCAACACAACACCTAATACTACATGATTCCGAACACCTCGATTTGATCAAACATGGCCAAGTCTTCATCCGGATCCTCATCCGGGTCTTCGTTTACGTTCCAACACTGGTCCTCATCTGGGTCTTCGCCTAGGTCTCCATACAAAGGCCGCCTTCTAGATGTCACGCCCTTGAGTTATGGCGGTGATTACAAGGAATGGGTTCGTCAAATGAAGTACAATTTTGACACGAAGGGCACGATTGCACTCATTGAAAAGGACGACGGACCAGGATTTGCGGCAACAAAACAAGAGAAAGCTGCCTGGGAAGCGATGGTTAAAGACGAGAAAGGAGATCTTTTGAGATGCCTCGATGCCGAGGTCTGTGCAAATGTTACGCTTTCTCCATGGATAGCTACCAGTAGTGTCAAACAGACTTGGCACGCAATCCGAATGGAAATTTTGGGAATGTCACTCGAAGAGGCATATTCTTTGCTCTCTGACTTCAACAAGCTGAAAGACGCGAGATACCCATCACCACAAGCCTTTCTCGACACCATCGATGATGGGTGGACCCACATCAACAGACATTTCCCATCGCCCCAACCTGATATCTTGAAGCTCATTGTTGCGCTCGAGGGCATAAAGAACCTCTATGGGAAGTCATACGCCAATTTCTGGCGTGGTCGTACGAACACTAGCCATCCAACATACCAAGATCTCAAAGATTTCATTGAAAGAGAGGCGCAACTGGAGCCCAGTCTATTCAACGCTACAGAGAACTCGAAAGACATCAAAGCCAAGACAGGAATGTTCCGCAACGTGATCAAAAGCAAGACCTACTGATAGCCGACAATAATCCCGACAGTTCGATTGTCCACCAAGCCGACATGGGACCGTCAACAAAGCAACAAGGCGTCGGCCCTTAATTGAGAGCTAAGATGGGAGGATGGGTTTTGTGTTAATATTTTTGTTTTGGCTACATGTCTCACTGCCTAAGTCAATGTTGTACTTGCGTTTCTCCATGGCTTCAGTATTCGATGGCGGTTGAGGCATAGCAGCTTCTGTCTACTAAACAAGTTTAATGAATCATTCTCTAGTTCCATCTCTCTCGACGTGAATATTGATCTTTTCGGTGAAGAGATATCCTACTCTGAACCCGGGTATCTTCTCCCTGTCCAGAAGTGTCTAGCGTAGCTCGAATAGGGAGGTATCTTATCTCATCTACTGATGGTGCCCCAACGTATCATATCGTACACTTAGTCCATTGCCTCAGGATCACCATTCGAATTTAGCAGAGTAGCTGAAGCGTAGCGTCATGGGCAATGTCGTTGACCGTATGTGTAGCCTGAATCTCCAGGTTTGACGAGTGGTCCACTTTTTACGACGTGCTGGGAGGAAGGAGCGACAACACATCCTACTCTGTTCGACATGTCGGTGCCTACCTAAGGTACCTACTTAATGGTAAATTATGCTCCTCCTGGTACAACCAAGAAAGACGGATGGCCCAGCGGTTTAACTTCTGGGACGTTGAAACCTCTGCACGATCACGTACGTCACAGTCTCTGGCGAACAGGCGACCCCTAGTTCGATGACACTAAAGCTACACGATCACGGTATGTTTCGCTTCCGTCGAACATTTTTTTTTATTTTGGGGGCATTTTAGACAAATTAATCGTTAAAAAAAGCAGGTGGTACATGGACTCAAGTTCGCCCGTGCTCTGCTGGATGAAGTAGGCAACGCCGGCAATAACTATCATCTTATCGCTATTATTTATAAGGTTGTAGACATAGTAGCTTGTTACCATCTCATACTACCGCCGATAGACCTCTACCTGCTCCTTCATAGAGCTCTCGGTTTTGAACACTATCTGTATCCTAAACATCCGGAGGAGTGACCTCCTCTTGTATGAGCGAAGCTAGCCTGGCATACCAGATCTTTTTGTTAACAGGTATAGTTGCTGTCTGCGCTAGACTATTAATAACCTAACGCTACCGCAGATAACCGGCAACGGGAGTGTCTGTCAAATCTGGGCACGCCTTTCATTGTTCATGTCCGCCATGTCGTGACTTACAGGGCAGACATATCTAAGGGCCATTACGTAGATTAGTAGAACATTCGTCTGACGTCCTTAGCTTTTTCACAGATAATAATAATTACTAAGAAGCTAACTTATATACATTTCCTCTGATATAGTGCTGTGTGTAGAGCGAATACCCTAGTGGATTGTATTGCCGAAGGCAAGGATAATGGGGATATCTTTCTGACTCCAACACGATACTTGGAGGTTTCCCAATTGAAAGCACTTAGAAATAAGGGTGCCATTGATGCTATGGTTGAGGGGGGATTTACAGATGATCTGCTGGGACTGGATCGCGAAGGTGATGATGGTGATGAGGAAGAGGACGAGGATGGAGGATAAAGATTTAAGCATTTAGGTACAGCGTAGAAAGGACTCTTGGTACTGTTCAAAAGCCATATGTCTCTTAATTATCTTGTAAATTTCTATTCAATTAACATGATAAAATGCAACCCCATTGAGGAGATCTAACCTAATGGTAGTGATATGTGATGTAAACTCTGGGTTGTAATTAATCACCATAAAAGCCGGTGTGGCCTAATGGCTAAGGCGTCTGACTGTAAGTTGTCAAGTGCTTGAGTTCGAATTATGCTAAAAAAAATCAGTCTAAGAAGATAATCAGAAGATTGGGAGTTCGACCCTCCCCATTGGCTTCCCTCTTTTTTTGCATTTTTCGGCCACTTTTTTCCATGAAAAGTGTTCAGGTTCGTTTTGCTTTTCAAATGAATGTCTTTTTATGCTGCTGCGATTTGAAATGGTGGAGTTGTGATGAAAAACGTATTTGCTGTAACAACATTGGGGTTGGCCATGTCACGTGGCTGCGACATTCCCGATACGCGATGATGTCGTTTTTATTCCTTCAACGCAACTAACTACTCCCTACCTTAAACTTATTTAAACTAGTCAATTAGCTTAACCATTAACCTATCTTTTCAATAGTCTTCCATACCAAGACTATCTGTGTTCAGATTACGGTGAGAACTAGGAGCGGAACCGAGACTCACGAGGATAACGCCACCTGGCGAGGTCACAATAGACAGTCGAGCAAGACGGATTCTGCGCCGGAGCCGAAGACCAAACAGGCCAAGACGTCTGATGCCCGCCCTTCTACGCCAGATGGGCAAAAGCCCACGCTTACAGAGAAGGAGCTCGAGTTCGACTTCGACCACTCTCAGATCCGGGACCCGCGAGCAACGCCGGGTCGCGTCAAGCATCCCCGGTATGAGGAGCGCGAACTAAGTGAAGAGTTTCTATCCAAGTTCCACATCCCCAAGCATAGAAACAAGCATACGGACCCGTTGTATTCATTCTACGATCTACATCGATGTCACCGTAAGGGTCCAGATGGGTCCCCGACCTACGATAGCGCGGGCTTTCAACTCGACTATGAGAAAGCCGCAAAGTGGATGAAGCCAGTGGCTTACAACAAAAAGTCCATGGTCAACGGCATGGAGCGCCATCTCAAGAGAGTCGAAGAAGAGACAAAGAAAATCTACGACAGCTTCTTTGTTGATGGAAAGGGTCCGGAGGGTGAAGAGGGTAGTACGCAGGTCATGCATCAGATCAAAGATCAGGTTTCCAAGGATCTCGGGGTCCCCTGGCACCAGATCGATCCCAAGCAGCTGAAGAAATTGGGAGATCAGGGGCTCGCCAAGGTCGACGCGGATAAATGGTGGCATCGACCAAATCAAGTTGAGCGTGATCGATTCATGAAGATGCTAGGCGGAGCCTCTCTCCGGAAGGATTTCTATCCGTGAAGTGGATTCAGATCCTAGAGTGTTTTATCTCTCGCAGTATGAATTAGTACTACAATTCCAGTATAGCTTTGTTTATCATTCCTCCACCTCGGGGTCGCAGGCCGCCTGCTAGCCAGATAGATGGTGCAAAGATCTCGTCCCTAGGAGTAGACTATCTCGATCTGTGACTAAAAGTGCAACTACTACAGGATGGAATATTGATGATCCGAAATACTCGGGTTCGTTTAAAGTGGGCTAGACTAAGCTGTCATTCCCAAGCCACGTTAGCGCTGACTCCGGGACCCTAAATCCCATCGCCTCGAGTACCAAAAGACCCTATGAGTCTCCCTTGCATGACATTCCCCACATCAAAAGGGCGCCAATTCTACACGCCCTTCTGACGTTTTACATCGTGCTTATGTCTCATAGATAAAATAAACCGACAATCAAATTGTTTGGAATTTAGAGCATCACATCACAAAGATATATCACATATTTTTAACTGCCGAAGAGAAACAAGATGGCCACTCAGACAGAGACGCTGCTCGAGGATATGCTGCCCTCAACTACCGAGGCACAAACTTACGTGGAATCTCCACTCAACACCGTCACCAACAGCACCCCAGCAGCATCTCGTGTACAGAAAATAGCAGTGACATTCCAACTGTCTGGCGTCAACTTCGCAGCGAGCGCTACAAACGGCCTCATCGTCGTGGGTCTCCCCCAAATGACCGCCGACCTCTCCCTACCCCCATCCCTCGCCTTCTGGCCCTCCTCCGTGCAAGGGCTCGCGACAGCCTCGACGCTGCTCCTCGCCGGTGCCCTCGCAGACGTGCTAGGCGCCAGGTCCGTCGATCTGCTCGGGTGCATCCTCAGCGGCGCGCTCATGCTGGCCTGCGGATTCGTCCGCGCGGGCGAGCAGCTAGTCGCGCTAAGGGCCCTACAGGGCGTTGCGCTTGCGCTGCATCTCTCGAGCTCTGTGGCCCTTGTGACAAAGACGCTGGCGCGGGGACGGGGGAGGAATTTCGCTTTTGCGTGTCTGGGGTTGAGCCAGCCGCTTGGCTTCTCGTTTGGGCTTGTCCTTGGCGGAGTGCTCGTCGAGACTATTGGCTGGAGATCAGGTTGGTTTCTCTACGGTGGTATCAATCTTGTATTGTCCGCGGTGGGCTTCTGGTCTTTGCCAAAGTCCGAGCCGCTTGGAACGTTGCAGGATGTGATTCAGAGCGTTGCGACAAAGATTGACTGGCTCGGCACTCTCCTCGCTTCAGCTTTCATGGCACTGCTGTCATACTTTCTAGCGTAAGCCACCTTCACCCGTGTCTTAATTCAACGGCATGGCATAACTGACGATCTTATAGTGTCATCAGCACAGATGTGTACCGCATCAAAGAGGCAAGCAGCATTATTCTCTTAAGCTTGAGTCTCGTTGCACTGCCGCTCTTTGTCGGCTGGATGCATCTTCAGGTGAAAAGGGGTCTACCGGCCTTGATACCGAATTCGTTCTGGCGGAACCACTCTTTCACCACGATCTGCGTGACCATAGCCTTATCCAACGCTGTCATAAACTCCCTAGAGCTATTTGCGAGTCTGTTGTAAGTCTTAAACCCGGATGACAGTTCGTAATGTAACCCACGTTGTTAATCTTGGCCTTAGCTTCCAAGAGGTACAGCACCTGTCAGCTCTCAATGCAGCTATTCGTATCCTACCTAGCGTCGTGGTAGGTGTAACCCTCAACTTCACAACAGGTCTCGTTGTCCACAGGATCCCTGCTATATGGCTCGTTGTTATCACATCTGTCCTCACAGCAATCTCGCCTCTACTCATGGCACTCATCGACCCTGCGTGGACGTACTGGACAGCTGCATTCTTCGCACAGGTGCTCATGCCTTTCTCTGCAGACGTCCTCTTCACAGTGGGTCTGATAGTCGTCACTGAAACGTTCTCCGAAGATAAACAGGCGGTGGCCGGGTCAGTGTTCAACGCAGCGTCCCAGTTTGGAAATGCCATGGGTTTAGCCGTGATGCAGGTTATATCTACCCTTGTCAGCAAGCAACATGCAGGATCGAAGCCAGCTGAGGCTCTTCTCCAGGGCTACAAGGCAAGTTTCTGGACCATGTTCTCATTCATGGTTCTCTGTGCTCTCATTGGGGGCGTCGGACTACGCAAAGCCGGCAAAGTCGGTCTGAAGCAAGAGTAAAAAAGGGGCGCTGGACAGCTACAGAAGTTGAGGGCGACGATCTCCCTAGGAGAAGGGAAGGTGGAATTTGGTGACATTTCGATAGAAATCTATTGAATCAACGGGAGTTGGTCCTTGTTCCGTAGCAAGTCGGGGCGGGCTTCGCGAACCTAGTCAGCTCCCAATCGAGTTATTGCGTCCGGCATGGGTCCTTGGCGTTAGGTTCAGCTTTCAGAATACTAGCAGTGTCGATCCCACGGGAAAGTGTCTTGGAGTTCAGCTGTCACGGAAATACCTACTCCTTGATCCCTGGGTAAAATGTTAATTCCTCACCTTCATTTCCTGAATAATTCCATGATCAGCCCTATCTAATACCTGTTTCATCGTTGGTGGTGTGTTGCGAAAAAGTTTATAGAGGCCTTGTCGGAAGTTCCTCACGGAAGTTCCGTTGGCACCCGACGGGTCAGCTAAATGTGCCGCCGGGTAGTTAATAGCCACCCACGGGCGGACACTCAATTGAGTGGGCTCTGGCCCAGTTACAGAGGGATCCGCTGCGGCTCTCGCTCCGACTCTAAGGGCCTAGACCGTCCACGGCATCGACACGCTAGTTCATGTAAGGGAACGATCTTAGGGCTGTTGGGGGGCGTAAACGCGCGTTCTGTAAGTGGCTTGTTTTGGCGGTTTTGGGGGTTCACCACCAGTGGCAGACGACCAGGTATTTGGGGTAGTCTTAGGTATGGTTCAGCCATCAATTTACTGGCAATTAAATTAATTTGCGAGACATTGTCTGTGAAGACTTGAGACATTTCCGTTCGACGTTATTGACGCTCGACTGACGTTTGATGAGATCAGGAGAATGCCATTATGACTTGGGTATGGTATTGTCTAGAATTCCATCCATCAGTGATCATGTACCTCGCTTAGTGGGCGGCTTGAGGGGCCGTTTGGTGGTGAACGCGCAACAAACGCCAAACTGACATTCCACGCCACGCCTTGTGACATCCCATTCTTTGATCTAACGTCAAACGCAATTGATCGTCCCAATACGGATGGGAATGATGCTTGGGCCTAGACTCCTGCAAAGCTGAGATCCCTGCCGTGTATCAGTCAATAGGATCGATGACCGTCGCGTTCTCGTGGTATCCAGGCAACCAAAAACCTGAATCGCTAATCTCGCATGCATGATTGACACCTCTACCCAAGATCCAAGCGTGTTGAGTTACAGCTAGGATCTTATCTTGATTGCCCAGAGCCGCGTCGCAGGGTGAGGTTACTTTGAGACGTGAATCGGGACTGGTTTGCGAGTCAGTCATCCAAGCAAAACGTTGCGCCCCGTGGAGATCTTGCGGGCCCTTGGCTTGAACTTTAGGAACTGCCTGGGAACCGGAAACTCAAGAGAGACATGTGGCCGCAGACTAGAGCTGAACGGAGAGCGCCACGAATGAGCACCCTAATCCCAGTGCCGAGCAAATCGGAACTAGCCGTTGAGGGTTTGGCCTCTGCTTATTGCTGATTACATCACCTACCAAATCTCGGTGATATCCCTTCCAGCTCCATTGTGGGACTCTAGCGCTGAAGCTTGTTTTCCCTGGCATTCGCATGAGCCCTGGAGGCACAGCCCAAGCAGAAGACACGGAGGCTCCCTGGGCTTGGCTTGGCTTGGCTTGGCCTGGTCTGGCTGCCCTGGCTGCCCTGGCTGCCCTGGCTGCCCTGGCTGCTGGGTAAGGTGCTATACCATACCGTACCATACCATACCTACCGTTCATCGGTACCTAAACTAAATGACTTGGAGGGTAGCGTGAATCGATCAAAAGCCCGTGATCCGCTTCCCCAGATTCACTTTCACGAACCCCTCTCTCTCCATCTCATCCTCCCTATTCTGGGATGTAAAAGCTACGTAGACTAGCTCCCCCTCCCAACGGATATAAGTCTGCCTGTTGGTCCGGTCGCCTCTTTTCCATCCTCTTGTCTCTTGCTCATCCCTGAAGGCGATCATCATGTACAGTGAAACCCAGACCTCGACTGCCGAAGCCCGCCGGCTGAAGAAGCGGGAGCTCGATCGCAAGGCCCAACGCCTGGCGCGCGAGCGAACAAAGAGCCGCATCGCTCAATTGGAGAGCATGGTCGACAACCTTCGACAGGACGACTCTAACGCGCAAATAGCTACCTTGATGGACCAATTAGGCAAGGTCACCAAGGAGAGGGACAATTTATTACAGGTTCTCGATTCTTTGGGCTCGACGATCCGTCGGCACATTGGCGATACCACAAACGCCACTACCACAAGCGAGCAACGATCAGAGACAAAATCCGAGTCGCCAGCTTATGCTGGACCAGCACAATCACAGTCGCAATCACAGTCGCAATCAACATCAAACGAACGAATAGTTCCAGTCATGACTCAAAGAGCAGCATCAGAAACAAGCAACTCTACAATACTAGAACTCCCCATCAACCACCCTCCCCCGCACGACCCCTTCACCTACGACGGCTGGAACTACGCCGTGACAACTGAGCACTACCCTACCACAATGGCCTTCGACAACTCGATCCTCCCACCCGCCGGCAACGGCTTCATCCCCATCCAGCCTCTCCTCCCAAACCTCCCCCCAACACCCGAAGAGGACGACGTCATTATCCCCAAGGCCCCCGTGCTCTGCCACTGCTCCAGCCCGGCGAGCTGCGCGTCAGGCTACCACGACGTCAAGCCCAACATCTGGCGCGCGATAAACGAAACCCTCGTCAAGCCGACAAAGCTTTCTGCTGAGGAGATGGCGATCGAGGAGTACAACGCGGAGGATATACCGGTGCGCGCCATGATTGAGGGCTGGGATAGCATTGAACGGGCGGGGAAAATGACGCCGACGTGGCGCAAGCTGCGCAGGGCTGATGAGCTCTGTTTTACGAATTGCGCGGATACAGAACGTTTGGCTGCCATGAGGATATGTCATCTTTTGATCACGTATCACGGCGATCCTACGATGGAGAGGCGCGCGAATTTACCGCGATGGTACTGGAATAGGTGCGACAAAGCCAATTTTCCACGCAAATGAACCAGAACTAACATATTAACAGGCCATCGCAAGCACTACCGCACTCATATGGCATTGACTTTTTCGTCTGGTAAGTCCAACTCAATTCAATCCACCTCACCACCACAAAAACTAACCCCACCTGCAGGCCCGGTCTCCGCGAACGCCTCATCTTCTCCCAACACCAATACTGCAACAACTCCTTCTGGGAGCTTCTCCAAACCAACCTAAAGATCCTCTGGACGGACAGTTTCCAGGACACATTCTACCACAACGCGCACACGGGCAAATACCACATATCGCCACTCTTCGAGCAGCGCATCCGCGACATCAACGCCTGGACCATGTCGACGGACTTCTTCCAGCACTTTCCCGAGCTGAGCGAGGATATCCCAGCATACATGGGGATACCCGCCTCTATGGGGGGAGTGCATCCATCAGCTGTTGTGCCGTCGAGTAGGAGGCGGTATGAGGATGATGAGAGTAAAGTACATAAGGGACAGAGGGCAGCTATATGTTAGCGGTAGACAACTCTTCCAATGATAAACGAACGGAATGATGTACAAATTGAGTGTCTCTGTGATTTTATTGCTTCGATTTTGTTGTCTGATCTCGAGGGAAGTCTTTGTAGAGCCATGGGTCGTCTAGAAGCTCTTTGGCTGTGCTTCGTTCTTCGGGGCGCCAGGCTATCATTCTCTTGACAAACTGAACAAATCGCCGTTTTTCCTCGCCAGCCATACATGTAAGCGTGCTCTCAAGGTTGAAATTGCTGGGTATACGGCTCGGGTCTTTCAGCTCTCCTGGTCATGCGTCAGTAGTCATTGCCCTGGCAAGCCATCAGGTACAAGTACATACCGTCCTCCTGGTAGAACAAGGTCGATCTTCTCCCTTTTGTTAGAAGGTCTTGGGGGGCAGGGCCTAGCAGGGCGGTGATCTGCCCCAAATGGGTCGAGTCGTCGTATTCCTTCCCGTCCCCTAGAGTCGCAGGGTTGAAGAGACTTTGTTTTTCAAGCAAGTCCCAAAGCTAAGAGTCGCATGATCAGTAACTGGTTCTCCCATGTGGCATGTAAGGTAGATCATTACCATTACTCCAAGGCTCCAGATATCCGCAGAGTAGCTGTATCCAGAGTCGATTATGACTTCTGGCGCTCGGTATATTTCTCCTTGAATCGCACCATAGTGCAGCTCCCCGGGCTTGGAATGAACAGCGAGGTCAAAGTCAACCAGCTGTATGGTTCCCGTTGGTCTGGCAAGAGGTCCGTAGTTGTTCCGCGATAAGTAAATGGTGCGGTCGTCTAGTTGCTTCTCTGGCAACGGGTCGTTGTATTCTGCGATTGCATCCTTTTCAAACATCTTGGAGTCTTCGATCCGTATCATGATATTATCGGGCTTAAGATCTACAATAAGCTTCATAAGCATCATATACCTAGGTGTCTGTTCAGCCACCTACCGGCATGAATAACGTGGCACTCATTGTGAAGGTAGTCGAGTCCAAGGAGTATCATCTGAAGCAGAATCTTCAAGATGTCTGGGGGGATGACGCCCCCAATGTATCTGGAGCAATATAGCAAAAGCGGCTCACGCAGAGGTTCCAATACGAGGCAAGGGTGGCTGCCATGTGGGCTCTCGAGGGAGAAATTGTCAGTAAGCTTTCGAATAAAGTGCCATCCGTGGTGCTTGGGGTTTGTTCGATTGATATGCTGGAGGATATCGATTTCATTTTCTGCAGAGGCTCGTCGGTGTAAAGTCTTGGTCGCGTTGACTTTGATAGCAACGTACTTTTCTGTAGACCACCTCCACCTTATAGACGTCAGTAGCTATACAACTTCTTCTCTTGCGTTTGGCATCATTGTGAGAGTCATACCGGTTGAGATCTCGAGCAAGCCAAACGGTCGAGTTAGCGCCATACCCAAGCTTGGTCGCCACCTGATATCTACCATTCAGCAGCTGTCCCAACCTAATAGGATAAAATCTCTCTGGACTGTAATTTGGTGTCTTTTCTTCTTCGACAGGACATGTAAGATCAAGGCGAGCTGCAGGTATGGCGCACGGCGGCCATGGTTGGTGGTATAGTGCCATGACCTGGACCTGATCATTTCCCCGCGACTCTCTTAGTGTGGGAAGCCAAACAAAGTCTTTCGCTGCTTTTATGAGGCGCCATATCATGCGACGTGACCTCTGAAGCGTTGTCTTGTGTTGGTTTGATGATGACGAGAGCGAGCGTGAGAGTGAGCGAATGCGGCGCTGGTAAGCAAAAGTGGGGCGGGTTTGTTCACAGTTGATGGTTGTTTAACGCCTCACAAGTCACTGCCAAGACGGCACAGGTGAAAGAGGTCAGTATATTTGTATCTTTATGGAAAGCGCATATGATCAGTCAATTATTTAGAAAGATCATCATGGGCTTAGTGCTATAGTACTCATGCTTGGCGATTGGCATAAATTCTTTAATAAACGAGCTTTAGAATCCCGACTTTTAGGTGGCTGAACTATCAAAGCTCTGTTGGATGATAAACTTGGCTGGAGTGTTTCTGAGTCCCTTTCTTTGTCTTCTCCCAGCTGTATGATTGGAAAGTCAAAGAACAATACACAAACGTATTTTCTATTGTCTCAACCAACTCCCTGAAGCATAAATACACCTCAAAGGCAAGTATACCAGTGCAATCATCCTATCTTTTCAAATTCATTCTTCATTCCTTCTCTGGCCATGCTGTTGCAAATCATTTGGCGACGCTGCAGGCCTATACACCCTTGTGACTCTCGAATCTATTATCTCCTCTTAAGAAATCCTGAAGTATATAAAGCGGATAGAGTCCGTATTGAGTAAGAAGCCAAAACAGTGTACCGCAACTATAGAACTGCTAATCCTTTATCACCAGCGGTTGACCGCATATCCCAGACCAAGATCCAAAGATTCGTGTGTCTGGGCATGTTTGCAAGAGCACAACAGTTATAACTGCATTTCACTTATACAACAATGACAGCATAGTCTTCACAAGGAAGAAGTATAACCTTTCTCTGGAAAGGTTTCTGAGTGATATTCGAGATTGGACATAAAGGGCGCAAGGAATGGGGTTTACTCTCAGCATGATAAAAAAGATTATGGACCTGCCTAAGCCTCCCTGGCGAGGGTGGAGGTCTCGACAGTGCAATGGTCGGGAAAGGGCATGAAATTCCTTTATGACAACAGTATGGTGTCATGTTGTAAGCTACTCGTCTTATCCGCAGCTAAGACCCGAAGGACCGAGGATGAAAACTTGTCTTTACTTTTGAGTTAGCCACATCTTGTCTGGAGTAAATGCAATTGAAAAATTGAAGTAAAATTATATTCCCAATGAATCTAAGTCTTGATATTATCATAATCGTATGTCCCTTTCTCCACCTCCTCTTTTATTTGGTCTTGCCATGCGGCTCATAGTACGCACCAAGACTGTAACCTGTTAGCAAATGCTTCCACTCATGGGCCAAAAGCAACTTACGCGATGATGACATAGCAGGCAAACATCAGAGCTCCTTTCAAGCCAATAGCTCTGATGGCAGTGCCCGCACGACTAAGAATCAATAGGTTGATCAACAAACCCGACCCAACCAATGTCGTGGTTTCGAAGACGTTGAACGCCATCTCAAGATCCCGACCAAGCATCCAGGCTATCAAGACCGTCAATGGCGCGACGCAAAGTGCGATTTGAATCGCTGATCCGACGGCGACGGAAATAGCAAGCTCGAGCTTGTTTCTCATGGCGACAGTGACGACGGTCACGTACTCCGCGATGTTTCCAACCACCGGCAGAATGATAAGACCGATCAGGGCTTCTGATAGACCACCTTCGTGAGTAACATCGTCAATCGTCTTGACGAGAAACTCGGCGTTCATCGACATGAGGGCCGATGAAACAAACAGAACTGTAACAGCAGCTACTGTACCGCTCGTGCTAGAAGGATGTGACGGATGACCCGGTACTTCCGGTCGTTCCATAATAGTTCTCGACTGAGCACTCCCAACCGAAAGGTCCCGCATCTCTGAACCGTGAAACTCAGTCCTCGAGCCAGAACGCGAGTGAGATCGTGAGTTCCCTCTCGATCGATGAGACAAACTAGCACGAGACGTCTCCCTCTTCCCACGCTCCTCCTCAGCTTCCGCTACGCTCATCGTATCAAGCGTCGTGCTCCGCGCACGAGTTGGAACTTCCTGGTCTGCAAACCGAATAAGTCTTGCACTATGAGATGTTGAACCCTGATTTCGTCGGTGTCGGTGATGCTCTGTGTGCAGTGGTTGTAACGGAATTGGTGGTGCTTCGACATGCTTGGGTCTCATCTCATACGCGAAATACACGATGTAGATGACGAGGACCACAAGAGATGAAGCGCGGCTCATGCTCAATGCGGCTTCGCTCTTCTTTCCCTTCATATGGAAAGTGTAGTCAAATGCGGTCTGTTCAAGTCAGTAGTTTGTATGAGTGAGAGGATGAATGAGCTTACCGGGATGAGAATGACGAAGACTGAGACGAAGAGGAGAGCGGCCAGGAGCTCAGACTCTTCCATGCTGCTGTGAGGGTCGATATTGGACATGCTACTCGCAAAAAGTGCAGAGCCCAAGATGAGAAGTAGGTTCACGAGAACACTGCCTAAAATCGATGCTTGAACGATGCGAATGTGGTTATTCACCAGCGCAACCCTATCAAAGTCAGTTCTCACTCCGAAACTCAATCTCATCTCAACTCACACCCTGCATCACATTAGCAAAAACTCTCATATAATCTCACAGGGGAACCCACAAGATAATCAACTCAACAAGGTTTCCAAGTGTAATGTTCAATAGCGCACCGATAGTATCTCCCGCATCAGCAGCAATACGCTCCGTCGCCTCCGTCAACATAACAGAAAGCGGCACAATAGCAATCGCATTCGTCATGAAAATCGCAAGAGGGTTGATCTGAAACGAATGCGCCGCCAATCCAATCGGTACAAAAACCAGGAGCCAATTGAGTTTCGATGCAACGACGGTTGATCGAATTTGACCGAAAAATGAGACTCCTTCATGGTGGCTGCTAAAGTCGAACTGTGTACGGTCAAGAGGCGGTGACTGAGTCTCCAAATCATTTGAATTCGAAATTCCAAGCTGTTGATATCGAACGCCATCTCCTAAACGCGATGATGCTCGAAGCGCTCGCTTCATGGTATCTTTTGGTTTTCTCACAATCAGTTCTCCGTCATTTCCGAAATCTCGTTTAAAATAGGGGGCTATGCGCGCACCTCGTATACTGAAATCGATTCCATGGTGATTCAGCGGGTCAGGCGCGTCATCTTCATCTTCGCTCGCACTTGACGGTGAGCAGTCATTGTATCTGGTGGTCTCCGTAGCGAGGGAGGGACTCATTGAGGTTGAAAGTGATTTTGTGTAAAAAAGATGAAATCAAGAATTGTTGAAGAAAGGGGGGCTCATAATTTAAAAGGAGGCCTCGCCATAATTTGATCGCTAAAGACGCCGCTAATAAGCACTGTTGTCAATTTACCCCTGATTTCTTAGGCTGGGTACTTGCGACGATAATCCCAAATCCTCCCTTGTTTTTAATTGATAACATTGGGGACGGGACCCCCAGTGGATAAGGATAAGGGTAGCGAGGGAATTTTTAGCGTCACGAGGAAGATCTGTCTGCATTGCAGTGCATACAGCACCGCCTCTGCGCCATTTATTCCATTCGTCTACTCTGTTGGCCTGCGATTTTACAGAATATCTTGTTTTTTACTTTAAAGATTGTTCTATCAAGCTTCTAGCCTGGAAGGCGGGAGAAAATGCCCCCTGGTCAAACTCTCGCGGGAGATGACAGGGCCCCGCATGGAGGGTCCAGCGAAGCTAAGGTTGAGCATTGACGAGGTAAATCGTAATTAAAATCTGTTTAAAACCGAGGGGGCCTGAAGCTTTGTCGGTATCAAGGTGAAGCGTGAGTTGTAGCAAGAGAATAATGCTGATCTCATGAATGATGTATGAAGATTGAAGATCAACGACTGTCAGGGACAAATCGATAGCTGGTTGAGCCGCTGGAAACAAGCATTTGCCAAGGCTCTTGTGACGCAGCCTCAATGCTTACTTTGCTTCTGTTGGTTCATGTTTCAAGAAGCAAAAGCACTGTTATCTTATCTCGCATGGAGATGGAACATGGCTGAAAATCCGATATTGTTGATCTGCGAATTGGTTGATGTGTTCACAGCTAGTCAAGACAGTGTTTCATACCGACATTGATTGCCACGATACCCCTCATGGTGCAATAGTACATGACAAAATTCGATGCCCAACATTCTCGATGAGAACTGCGCTCACACTTGTTTCGTTGCTGAAGATGCAGAGAGAACCGACAATGCTGGAAAAAAGTAAATAGGCTCATACACTGTAAACATATATGTTCAACTATCATAGAATAGCACTCGAATGATCGTTGATTGGCTGATAAGCACAGCAACGCGGCCTTGTCCTGGCAAACTCACTTTCTACCGATAACAAACCATAATCTTAAGAAATAGCAAACTCCTCCGAAACTCTATGTTATGACAAAATCGAATATTCAGGCCATAAAGCCACTTCACAACAGTCCCCTCTGTCAAAGTCAGATGAGGAGAAATCACAAGTCGATTACGTAGACGACTCCACAAAGGCCAAGCACGCAACATATCCTCTCGGACAGTTTTCGCTGTCCGACGTCTCGCTGCAATCCCAAAGAATATGACATGCTCGCCCTAAGTCATCGATTGGTTGACGTCTGTGATGACTCAACCGCTCTGGCAAATCCCGACCCATCTTCTCTCTGTAAACTAGCCTCCATGTAGAATACCGATAGGTATAATAAAAAGGCCGATTCCGAGAGATGTTAAAGTTAAAACCTAGAAGGGATAACTATATAAGCTCTAGTAGATACTCCCCCTTAGGTCTCAACTGACCAAGTCACCTCGTATATCCAACACTAGAAACACATATCATGTCTTCAGTCAAAGCCATCATCTTCGGCGCAACAGGCGCAGTTGGTCGTGCTGCAGTCTTGGAAGCCCAATCGCGCGGAGCACCAGTCACACTTGCCATGCGCAACACCAAAAAGCCCATCCCAGGCTTTACACCAGAACCTTAGAAGAAACTGAGCTTCATTCGCGTTCAGGCAGATCTCTCAGATCCCAAGTCCGCCCAGCGCGCCGTTTCTAAATCAGGAGCAACTGTAGCATTTTCGTACATACTCTTCGAAGCAGAAGACGGCCTTTTGGGAACGCACAAAGCTATAAAGAGGGCTGGTATCACGCATGCTGTTCTGCTTTTTTCGTTTTGTGTTAGAGAGAATGGGGGCCCAAAACCATCTTCTGAGGCACGTAATACCCAGATGCTAGAAGATTGGGAGGAGGTCAAGTCGGGACAGCTCGAGTTGGCTCATCCCGACGCACCGTTCGATTATCTCGCCCCCGAAGACGTTGCCGCTCTCGCAGGTGCAAGAGTCGCTGCAACACCGCCCTCTGGGGAGTTGGTCATCTCCCAATGCGGAACAGAGTTACTCTCCCAGCACGCAACATGGAAAGTTGTCAGTGAAGTCTGGGTATGGATATCAGCATCAAGGAGGCCAACAGCGATGAGCACAGCGAGAAACTCAGATCCAGGGGCTTTCCAGAACGTATGATTAAGTCTGCTGTTGAGAGGCTAGCATATCTTGGGCGTGATCCGGCGATTTTGTATGAGCCGGAGACGTATAGAGCGGCGTCGATGAATTTTAGGAAGTATACGGGCAGACAACTTACTACGTTCAAGGCTTGGGTTGACAAGCATAGAGAGGAACTTCTAGCGAACTAGAGTTTGGTACTGGTAGAACGAGTGGCTAGATTTATCACTTCAAACCTTAGACATTGAATGGATGGATAGTTTTAATCCTTGTCCATCAACACCATAACTTAGCGTGCAACTGAGCTAATCTCACAACCTTATCTGATATCTTCACCATCGCAACACCACAACAACTCAGCCAATCATACTGCAAGGCAAAGATCTAACGCCAAGCCGTTCCTGTCAGCAATCTGCTACAACATCGGCAGCCTCAGGTGGTCAGTGCAGTCTCAGCTCGTGTTCCCAGTGAAACCCGCTCAGGCCCCAAGGTCTCAATAATCCGTATCACAAAATTGGACTGCAAAGGATCTTCAACACATAGTGCGACGAAACATCAATCCTTCAGAACATAGGGGTGCAGACCGCCTCACCGCCTGGTTTCACAGCGTTACATGGAGTACCTGTCACATCCCTACCCCCAGTAAAGATTAACTTGCGAAAATACGGGCCTGAACTCAGTAAACTTTACCCCTTGACCACCAGCCTTTCGCTGTCACGCGGCCAAGCATAACATCACGAACAATGAAATAGAAGGTAATCAAGTATGCATTTGTTCAAAAAGAAACCTCTAGACGCTATACACAAATGATTCAAGAAACAATGCCCAAAAAAAGACCATACCATAGCGACCGTGAACACAGTCCTCATCCCCCTTCCGCCGAAAACTCCGAATAGATAAAGTTCAAGCCTGGTTATGAAGCCAATTCAAGCCGAGCCAAGCCAGAAAACGATAAAAAGAAAAATGATGACATGGATATTTTATCCGGCCCGTTCCCCTTCTATCACGCATCGTATCGTCGCCCTTTTGACAAAGAGAAAAGTATATCGAAAAAAGAAAAAGAGATTATTATTTTCGCTGTTCCAAGATTCGAGAGTGAGACCCGTCTTCATCCATCCGGGGATTAGAAACTGGGGTTGTTCTGTCGTCATGCTTGATGATGCAATGTGTGTTGAAGATACACACAATTTAAGCAAAGGTTGTTTCCCAAAAACGCCGGTTGATGCAGATATAAAAAATGACATGTCTATGCGGACAGAGAGTGATAGCGCCAGAGACGCTGGCGCTCCAGGACCCACCATTGGGCTATAGGTATGGCTTCGTTGGCCCACTGTGCAGCTTCATCGCCGAGGGCAGAACGAACTGCTGTTTCGAGCTCTTCGGGTGACCACGCAGCTACGGGTTTGAGCTCCATGGGATCGTTGACGGCGTCGGTGACTCGGTACTCGATGACTTTGTTGAGGGGGATGACCAGACGCCAGGGGACGTCCGCGGAGGTGACGCCAAGCATGCCAGCGCCCGAGTTGACGACGGAGAAAGTCCAGGCTCGTCGGTCGCCGTCGGTTTTCTTGTAGGGTCGGATGAGGGATTGACCTTCATAGTCTTGTACGAGATCGGAGGCGATGTGGGTGTCCTTCTCGTTGAGGGAACCGCTGTTGATGAGGAGGTCGAGGATCGTCGGGAGGATAGAGATGGTGGTGGTGTTGGCGTCGTATTGGACTCGGGGGAGGTGGGGGTGTCGGAAAGTCAGGCCGACTCGGTAGTTGGAGATGAACTGGTTCTCATACGTGCCCTCCTTGCCAGCGCCGTCGTCCTTGAAAGAGTGGCCGTGATCACCGGCAAAGACGACGAGGGTCTCGTTGGCGATACCTTGGTCGTCGAGGAGGTTCATCAAGCTAGCCATCCAGCCATCGTGCCAACGAAGGGTGTTCAAGTACTTGTTGAAGTTGTCGTGCACATTGTTCATGCCGGTGTGAGAAACGTAATCGTAGTAAGGAGTGCCCTCGGGAAGACCCCAAGCGTGGTGGGTAGTGCTGGTGAAGTGAGTCAACCACATGCGCTGGTTGTTGGCGGTCGTGTTGGTGATGAAGTCTTGAAGATGAGGCATAAGGATGGGCTCGGGGTAGGCGAAGTAGTTGATCTTCTTGCCCAAGACGTCCGACTCGTTGAAGCGCCAGTGGTTCTCGAGCTGCTTCTTGGTAATGATGTGTTGGAAGCCAAGCTTGGCGTCGAACTTTTCTTGACGGTCGTACTCCTCAATCTCGGCCTCGAAAAGAGCAGTCTTCCATTGCAAATCGCGGAAATCAGCATCGTCAGAGGATGTGTTGGTCTTGACCTTGTTCAGCATGCTGAGAATCTGAGGAATGCAAGGCTGGTAGCTGTCGGTGTCGGCTTCGGCGAATTTCTCAACGGGCATGGGGTAAGCACCGCAGTGGTTGGCGCAGTAGCTCTTGGTGGACATTGTGGCGGCTGTGTAGGCGGTCGCGACATTGATGCCACCGAAACCCTCCTCCGCTTGATCGTGCCATGTGTAGTTGGGCTTCGCGTACGGCTTGCCGTTCTTGTCGGTGAATCCTTGCTTCAGGCCAGTGATCTTCTCGATATGGGGCATCATCCAGGACAATCGCTCGTTAGCCGCATCCTTCTCCTTCTGACTCTTGTTGAGATCCATGATCAGGCTGTGAGTATGGGAGCCTTGCTGCAGAGGCCAGAAGTCTTGACGCAGACTCTCCATGAGGATGAAGACAACATGCTTGATCTTGACATCGCCATTGCCAAGCGCTTCCTTGAGAGTGGGCAGAATATCGGTATCGAGGTTAGTGATCTTCAATGGGTCCTGAACGGGGTTGTAGTAGGGATCCTTCTCTTGCAGCGAGACCTGGGGGCACTTGTGTTCGGAAATGATAGTGCTGCCCTTGCTAAGTGAACCGTGGTAACCGTTCTTGAAGCGCTTGGGATCGAATCGGAAAAAGCCACGAGGCAGTTCTCCTTTCTCGGGCAACCAGTCGACAGAGTGGTTTCGGTAAGCCTCACCAAGAGGGCTCATATCCTTGTTGACTAAAGGCGCCCAGCCCCTAAAGTAATCGCCCTCAGGTTGTTTCCATGTCGAATTGCTGATCAAGTCGGGGAACGGGAAAGCGTTCTGGATAAGGCTTCGCTGCGCTTGGCAGAAATCGGGCTCGGGAGCGAAAACATCGAGCATCGAAACAGGGAGCGTAATTGACAGAAAATCGTACGGCTTGGCAGGTCGAAGAATCAGCGTGAGCATGAGGAAAAGAGCGAGGGCAATTTTCCACAGCCACGAGAAGAATGGGATTCGCGCGAAGAATCGAGCAATCTTGCCTCGAACGGTGGCAAGCTTCTCTCCGCCCACGCGCGAAGGGTTTTCAGCGCTGGATCGAAAGTCCTCGTCCATCGAGTATGTATCGGTCGATTCGAGATCGGTATCGGCATTCTTGAGAGCAGAGTATCTGCCGCGCTGGATACCAGGAATTCGCACGCGAAAGCTCCGGAAGTAAGAGTAGACTAGCGGGTGAAGCAAAAAGTTAGCGGGCGGACCAAAACAGCCGGTATCGCAGAGACGAACCTGAGAGGATGTTGTCGCCAATTGCGCCAATAAAAGCACCGAATGCGCGGTAGAAGAATCCATGGATGGGAATGGCGATAATGAGCAAACCAATTCCGCATGCTATCACGGCTTCGCTGCCGCTGAAAAGAACCTTGAGACCCTCCTTGCTTGTAGCGTAAGCTGTCGCATCGCGCCAATCGAGCTCTCCACCAGTCTTAACGAAGAATCCAAGCTGCGACGCCGAGCCGCCGATCGAGATAAGTCTGCCAAGTCGCGAAACGTCAGTTTGCATGTTCATCTCAAATTGGGGGCCATCGCAATCGATCGCCGAGAAATAACGTACGTAGCTATGGTACCAAACAGACACCCAATCCAAGCCCACGGTGTCTTGGACTGACTCAAAAACAGCCTCGCAATGCATATCGCTAACAAGTCGAAGAGGAAGAATGTCGGTAGGTATAGGATAAAAGCCGAAGCGGGTACCGTGAAGAAATGTGTCCACAGATGTAGCAGTTTGCTGGCAATTATCGAGACGAAGAAGACGCCGAAAACATAGGATACCGAGAGGAGGAAACACATCTTGCCTGGGCTCTTGCGCGGTCTGTCGTTGAAAAGAGACTCAGACGCAGTGGCCGCTTCGCTGATTGTTGAAAGGACGGAGGGCGGGCGGCACGAACGAAACGACGATGCTTGTTAGAGATTTGTAATGGGGAGAGAAAAAGGGAAAAAAGGGAAGGGAGGAAGGGATCGGGAAAAAATGAAGAAAATGATGGAAATAAAACAGAGCCAAGAAGTCTCCTCCCCCAAGCTAAAGAGCTTAGTACAGTTAATGACAGGGCCGAGGTGTAGGCTTTGGGAGTGTGTGTCGTGTGTCGCAATGGAACAAGCTGGTCTGGACTTGGGCTATTTGCACCTTCCTTTCCAATGAGCGGGAGAATGTGGGGTAGACACCATCAAAAAACATACAGAGCAAAGAGAGGCTCGAGGCCAAATAAGAAAGGGGTCGCGTGTTCAGGGGTCAGTGGCACGCATGGCCCTCCCTAAAGTAGCTCATTAGCTCCTCGGCGGCCAGATTATTAGGGGCTCGTTTTAGCAGGGTACAGCCCCGCCAATGGTTTCTTCTAGGGAACCAAACCTAACCCAGGGTCGCAACGTGGCTAATACTGTACCCGAGAAAAGAAAAGCTTGGCCGTCGAAGCTCTCTCATGGTGTGCACTGCAGTGTTGTGCAGTTGGCGGAACAAATCGACCGGCTGAATCGCGCAATATGGCGCATCTCTTTTGGTCGAGCTACATCAGCATGCAGTCACTGCTGATGGGCTTGACAACCAAGAGAGTATTGTTTGTGTTTCCCTGCTGCGCTACGCCACTCGACAACGCCCAGGCATCCATGGCGTGCATGTCAAGGGCCGCGGGGGCCGTAATAATGCTCTTCCGGGGTGGGGTAGACAGGCTGTTTGTGGTAATTACTGCGTGGCACGAATCCCGAATCCTTTAGAGTTACTGGGCTGAAGAGTATTAGCACCGTGAAACCGATGTAATCTGCATGCACCGCCACCACTCTGCATCAGTCGTTTACAGCCATTGCCTTGATTTGGGGTGTTCCTCTGAGCGGGGTTGATTTACTGGCATTGCGACTCTCAGCCTGTTTCGATCTTCGATTGGGATCGTCTTTGATGGATTGCATTGGATCATCAATCCTGTCTACCGCGGTTACAATATAAAAAATGAAATGCTTGGCACAGTAAGCATAAACTAGATCCTTCAGCCCTTCATAATCCGTCATCATATTACCCGTTTGGCTGCGGGATCGGCCGTTGCGATGCATACCTCCTTCACAAGCTGCAAGCTACAGTTTCATCATATGCTCGCCGACGGACGAACGCTCTGGCAATTTGAATCCTTTGACGTCTCCCTTTTTACGGCCCTGGCATATAACTGGTCGTATCGTATATTCCCCCAGGGCTGACTCGTTGGAGTTGAGAGTCGCAGCGGGTCCCCGTGTCGGCGTAGCACGACCCTTCTAGCGTGCTTCTGTCATAAAAAAAGAATCAGAGCCTTTCCAACGGCGGCAGTTCATCTGCAAAGGCTGCATTGACAAGCGGGGCCCTCTTCTCCTTTTTCGGCCAACACCAGGTTCCAGCCTCCAGACAATGTCGACGGTAGACGGCTCGGCATTGCTAACCGTGAAGGTCATAACATGTTGTCAATATCATTTCCGTCAATACGAGCATCTCCATCTCATAGACTTTTGATAGCTTCCTCCTTTGTGTTCCGTGATCCGAGAAAAGGCGCTGGTACTTGGGCGGTACACGGCACGCGAGATAGACGATCAACCTCCACTCCACTGTCATGCCGCTGGAACAAGGCATGAAACACCTTGTTCCTTGTCACATCTGACGATCACTAATTTCTCGTTACATAACCGATGGAGAGTCGACGACTGAGAAAACAAAAACAGACCAAGTCAATGTGTACCTGGCACATCTAGCTCGTAAAGTTGAGCTATTGTTTTCTCTTGGTAATTGAGCACGCGACACATGATTCAAAGGATACGATGTGGTCGGATGTGCCGAGCCTTTTAGTCACTCAGAATGGCGACAATTTGCTTGGTACGAGCGTGATCAACATTGGCACCTGGACAAGCTTTTCTGGGTCGTGCACGGGGAGTTCGCTAATATTCTCACCACGCTAGCACAGATTTTGCTGTTTTTGTTTACTGTAGGGTAGTCTTGACTACAAATTACCTTGAAATCTCAACCAAGACTTGACGATGGTCCATGGAAATTTCGCTGAGTCTATTGCAAACTATTGGGAAGCTTCCGTTACATCTGTTTCTATCACAGCTATTCAGTTGAGTCTTGTCTTGGTGAAACGAGCCAGAGAGAACATCGAGAACCATGCCGCTGAAATGGGCCAAGTACGGTGATACATGGACGACAATCCGAGGTAACGAAAGGGTTTGATAACCAGATTTCCGCAAGTACACACCATTCCTTGAGCGCTTAATCTATAGTCTCTATTTAATAAACTTAGAATTTCTATCTTTCTACTACGTACTCTCGATATGTTCTTATCTCAAAGTTTGGAATATCTCTCTTATCGATAATCTCATCCTAGTAAGGCAGCCTGGGCTGCCTAAAATACCCCCGCCTCCACACGTGATTTCGCGATTGGTTTTCGTGAACCGATTAAACCAACAGCTTCTATCGCGTCCAGTCATGCAAGAATGTGGATATTAGCCCCCAAACGCATGCTGACATCGCGTATAAATAAGAACAGCGCGTCTGCCCCATATCAATTGTACCGAAAACTTCAAATATCTCTACCCTATCGCGTCGCCATGTTCTCTGACAAGAAGCCTGACCCTCCAACAGTCGGCCGCTATCCGGGCCTCGGTATGAACCTTCGGTATCACAATTACCACCATGAAGGCGAAATCTATCCAACTGCAATTCACTATAACTCCGTCGGGGCTGAATCTGATATGTTGCTTGTGCGGGAGGCTGCCATGATGATTGTGATGAATCAATTGACGGATAAGCCTGACTGGCATGTAAAGGTATGCATGAGTGAATCTAGCATCGAATGCATAATGAAGCTCATTGGATCTCATCGGATCAAAGGTCTTTGATGAAGCCATCGCGGAGAAATGGATTCAAGAAGCCCTTGCGCTTCCAGTTAATCCTTTGTATGACGAGATTGTGCAACATATGAACCCCGGATTCAGAAGCGGCGCTAGTTCTGGACCCGACAGGCTCAAGTACATCTTAGATCGGGGATGTCTCGAATATGTGAGAACGCCCAGTCATTTCTTCCGTTCCGCGCTTATTATTTCAGTGTATCAAAGAGCTTCGTGTCAAGGCCAAGTTCTTCGAGAAGACTGGTCTCGTACCAGCTTTGGACGCAAACGCAACAGTCATCAAGTCAGATACCTTTATCGATGATACCCTCCATGAACGTCTTCGAAATGCCTTTGCGAAGCTTAAGGAAGAACAGAAAGATAACCCAGATTGGCATCCTCGAACCAATGATATGGTCCAGAACCTAGTGCACCCTTCTCTTTATCCTCTCGTGTACGGTCGTTCTCGTGTATTTCGCGACGAGGTAGTTGGCGTTGAAGATGCAGTCGACAAATGGAGCGGTAAAGGAGAAGTCATACCTAAAAAGCCAGCCGACGTCCCATCAGGTTACGATAATCGCTACCATATAAACTGGGCGGTGAATGGTAGTGATTCACATAAACTGTTTTGGTCCGATGCCTATCAGTGGCTGCCGTCCAACGTCAAGCTCATGGATGATGGAAGCGTTAAGCTGACGAGCTACATCAACAATCTGCATCCCAAGCATAGTGATATTTATGAGACGGTTGAGAAACTCATCGAAAGAGCTCTTCCCGCCTGGGATCACAGTGTGTCGTTTGTAAGAGACTGGGACATCGTCTCCGCTGGCCGGACTGAGGCTCGCTTCCCGCGCCCCGAAAACCCCGAGTGAGTAACGGCTATTTACTGGAGTGAGACTGGGAAAAGGTCCACTAACGCTTGCAGTGATGAAAACGAGGAGAATTGGACCCCACGAATCGATGACTTTACGCCTCATGATGCAGGGGAAGTTGAGTATGAAGACGTCATCAGAGACGCAGATGGCGAGCTCCTTTATGATACCCGCAAGAAAAATGCCTGGGAAGAGATCAGAGAGCCCGTTCAACCTGAGGCCCCCGAGTTCAAAGCATGGGACTATGGTGTCAAGCCAGGAATGTCATTGCGCGAACGGTTCAATGACCTCCAAGTCATCGTCAAAATGGCTTCCATCGAGCTCACACCCGACAAACCGACATTTCCCGCAGGAGGGTGGCATGTAGAAGGTCAAATGAACGAGCACATCGTCGGCACAGCCCTTTACTACCTCGATTCAGAGAACGTAAAGCCCAGTTATCTGCAATTTCGTATGCAGACTGATTATTACCAAGAGGACTGGAATATCGGCCAGGATGCTTTTGGCTGGATGGAGCAAGTTTATGGGACCAACCTGAGAGGTGGGGATTGTCTTCAGCGTTATGGAAAGATCGAGACGAAGCAGGGAAGATTACTGGCGTTCCCGAATGTTTTCCACCATAGGGTTTCGCCCGTGGAGTTGGATGACAAGAGTAAACCAGGACATCGGCGGTTCATTTCGCTTTGGCTTATCGATCCGAGGACGAGGATTATAAACACGGGAAATGTGCCGCCACAGCAGAAGAACTGGTGGATGGAGAGTGCATTCGGGGGCTTGAATGAGGGGAGTGCGAAGAATGTCCCCAACGCTGTCGCAAAGCTGGTGTCTGAAGGAGAGCCAGAGCATGCTGCTCTGAAAGCTGCGGCAGAGAGTGGTAACCCCCTTCCGGAGGAGCTGGTGAATATGGTCCAAACTGAGGCTGATGAGTCGACGATGCCGATGTCGTTGGAGGAAGCGAAGGAGCATCGGTTGAAGCTGATGGACGAGCGGACTAGTTATCAGCGTGATGCAGAGCAAAGTTGGTCTGGCATCCAGTACAGTTTTTGCGAACATTAACCTTTGTGTTGAGCTTAATTTATGCTTGTTTCAACGGACGGACTTTTAGGTTTGATGTAGGTTTGAAAGAAGTTATCAGTGCTAGATACGCTAAAAAAAACCGATAAGGACAGTGGGTTCATTGCATGAAGATGTAAACTTTCTGAACTAAGCCGTTGAAAACCTTCCTTAAAAAGAATAGGCGACAGGCTGGGTTGACAAGACCCATGAGGCAAGCCAGATGCGAGGATGGTCATGGGATTCCAAAGATTCCGGAATGAATATCAAAAGGATGGAAGATAGACGCAGAGACAGGACAAGAAAGAGTAGACAGAAGAGGATAACCCCGAGAACAAGCTAGCCAGATACACAGACAAGTGCAACTCGCCTAAGATGACAACTTGTCGGCCTCCTCAGAGTACTCGCGAAAAAAGTCACGCCAGACAGCGTTCGTCTGATGAGCAGCACTAGCCATTGCCTGCCTCAACCGCCGTTCAGAGGAACCCAACTCTTCTCCTCGGGGTGGATGGCTCATCGAATTGTATACTGTCCTCCTCGTCTTCCTCGTCCCCAGTGGCATCGGCTCTCTGACGTGAAGAGGCTTCCGAGGAAGGAGAACTCATTTGGTACTGACTGTTATCCCCCCAGAGAGTATTCGTCGTCCGAGGGGGGGATCGTCGTCCTTTCATCGATGGGATCGGAGCATTCCCGAGACCTCACGGAGGATTCTTCGAGGTCGTGCCTGCTGGATGCGGTATCGGATTCTTTGATGGGACCTTTATCGAGGAACGGCCCAACGTTATCGTCACCGTAGATATCTGAATCCTCGTCTTCATCAGGGTTGGGTCGGCCAGCAGGAGTGCCGTCGTCTGGCGGTATGGGCGCGTTGCGATGGCGATGATGCGTCTCATTATCTTTGCGCTGAGACTGATAACTTCTAGTATGTCTCGAATCAGATTTCCTAGCACCGCGCAGCAACGCGTTTCCGATATCGCTTTCGTCGTCATCGCTGTCGGGTGACTCTTCTCGGCTCGACCCTTGATCACTGCTCAAACATTCGGTCAAGTCCACAAAAGCTTTTCTAAGTTCTTCGTCGATGTCTCCGTTCTCAGGTGGCTCTTCTGGGCTTGATTTCCGGTCGCTGCTCGAGCTACTTGATGATCCCCGATCTAGCGGCGGTGACATTAATTCTGATACACCATCATCAGTAACCTAGAGTCAGAAAGACATCTAAGGTTGTCAACTTACTCAATCTGATCAATTCCTCATCTGGAGTCTGGCGATCCTCTCTCGCTAGCCAATGATCGACCAACGCCTTGAACTGAGGGTCTTCGTTATCGCCGTCAAAGACGCGAAAATCCTGAGCAGCAGCCCAACCTGTCTCACACTCCCACGGGAACCTCCTCTCAAGAGTAAAGAAGATGACGGGGTATAGTCTCTTGTTCATCTTTCGTTGACCGTCTTTGTATCCCTCTGCCCAAACACCAGCGAAACCATGGCCTTTGTCATAGCAAGCCGGTAACTCATCTACCGACTCCAACAGTCCACGGTCGACTGGCACGAGGTATTTGCTCCGAAATCGCGGGAAGGATTCCCAGGGCAGAACGTAGGCGGGATAGCAGATGCCATCGTCTGGCCACTTGATCCAGTAGATCGTCTTGGCGGTAATCTCAGCGGGATTTTCAGTGCCGTCCGGATCCCGTGACAGAATCGTCCGTTTTCTCGTCGCTGCTGCTCGTCGGACGGGAACATGTCGCGGATTGGAGGGATTCACGTCACCAACACGCTCTGCCATCTCGCCGTCATTGCCTCGGTCGTGTCGAGGACGATACACGCGGTCAACAGTGGCACTGTTGACTTGACACCCGGCCTTCCGCTTAGGTTGTATGACGACCCGATCATTGTGCGACTTTGCAAAGGCAGCATCGCAACCAACAATTCTGATACCAAAGGCTTCAATGGCCGATGCGTGAGTAGATTGGAGCCCATGCGCTATGGCATGCCTCGCGGCGGCCTGCGGCGGCCGCGCAAGGCTATCGAGGGGCAAATCATGCTCTTGACACTGGAAGACATACCATTCGCCGCTTCGTGCTGGTGTATCCGTTATCTTCTGGTTGGAGAACCCTTCATCTATCTCTGCGGTCGTGATCTCACGACGATGTGCACGACGCTTGGGAGATGGACGGTCTTCGGCGCTGTCGGGGCTAGTCCGCTTGCTGCTGGGCGGACTGCGAAGTGCAGGGCGAGGAGAAGAAGGGAGCGAATCATTGCCTAGATCGAATGGCGCGTCGTTGTAGTTATCATCGTCTTTGTTGGCGGCTGGAGAAGGTGGAAGGTTCGGAATAGATTGTGTCCTCTCTCTCTCGTTGTGCATGAGCATGAGTTCCATGTGCTTCCGGGTCTTCGTCATAAACTCGTCGATAAACGGCTTTATATCATCAAATGCAACAGGATCCTTCCGTGCTTCCCTGGGGAGCTGCCGGGTGATTCTCTTCAGCTTCTCTCCCATTTCTTTAACACGAGCGAGAAGTCCAGTATCATCTTGCCCAGTCTCTCGAAGCTCGGCGATCTTGGCTCCCATGCCTCTGACTTCTCTGTCGAGGTCTATATGTTCGTCCTTTACCCGTAACACCTGGTGCTGTAAGAGTTGCCTGAGGAGTGTTTCGGAGTTCTCAAAGACGGTCTTGGCAAGGGCCAGGTGCTGGAAGCAAATCTCAGCCTGGGGACCACAGTCGCTAGCCATAATTTCAGTGTATCTATAATAATGAGAACTTAGGGGTCTGATACTGGGGGTATCTGCAAAGGAAGTGTTTGGTAGTGGAAGTTGATGTTGAAGATAGCAAGGACGATGAAGAGAGGAAGAAGAGAAAGGGGGAACGAGCGAAATAAATAACTAGTTTCTTTGTGAGAACATGCCTGTTCCCGCGTCTATGCATCTACAAACAATTCATCAAGTTGAGGTGTCATAAAATTGTGTCTAGTTGTTTGCCGTGTTACACAGTTTCCAAGAGTTGGCCACTGACAGTTAAGTATTTCTGGGCAAACATGAAGTGGCTTGCAGAAGTGCATAGACTTTATTATCTCTTCGCTCTGTGCATTTTAATGCAAAAGTAAAACTGCTAAAGAACCCTAAGAAGCATGAAATTTAGAGATGAAAAATATGGAAATAGTATTTCTTTGTCTTGTTGAAGATGTCCTCAGCAGTCTTGTGGCATGCCTGGTGGTCCCATGCTTGCCAAACCTTAAGGTCTAACATTTTGCGATGAGGCACGGTCTCCAGTTATATGCAGTACAGCGGAGTGCATCCATGAGTACTCAAAAGACAAGCTGTCATTCGTGTTACCCAATCTGCCAATGTGCTAGAGTACGTCTCTGGCGAGTGACAAGTCGTACTTTTCAAAGGCTAAGATGGCTTTGTCGATGCCACGGTCTCTTTTTCCAACGAAAAGTGCCAATAAAAGGCCATTAAAGGCACTGCAATACTGCCAAGAGAAATAGCTCCTCTTAAGTATCTAAGAGACTCCTCTCGCAAGAGAGCAAACAAGCTGGCGTACATTAAATCGCTATCGCTTGTATGTACAACCATGAAAATTGATGGCCGGGAATATCACGTACAGTTTCAAGAGAACGAAAAAGTCAAGAAAACAGCACATTTCTCGACAACATGAAGCATATAAACAACTCTGATTGCCTCTGGGTGTGATCCGTGTTACCTCTTGACCATGCCATCCAGGCGGTGAGACAAGGATGCTCGGTTATTGCAGCAGTAACAATGTCGCACAAGCTTGAATATAACGCTAAGATCTAGATCAGTGCTGCTGATAGCAGAGCTTGGATGTTTCAAGCGAATGCATGGCGCATGCCCCCCAGAAAGCAGTGCAGCCTTATGATCTCTTTGATGACTTGTCGTCAAGGACTAGTTACAGTATCCTGGGTATACTCCCTGGCTTCTCAACGCGACAACCATAAGCGGGCTTCAATATAAGCTGAAAGAATGGCTAATTGAATAATCAGCACCATGTACAACGATATTTAAAATGGCATTTGAGCTTATTGGAAGTAACTTTTCCAGCAGAATTATTCACCGCGCTTCACAAACATCACAATGGCTTCTACTAGATATTCGCCACTTGAGGAGGAACTATTCAGATTATATCGCGAATACCGGGAAACAAAGTCCATCGACGTCAAGGCCCTCTTTTTCTCACCGGAATGTCGTCAGATATGTCGCACAGACCCAGACTATGCCGCAAAAGACCGAGACACCATTCTCCGCTACCTTCGCGAATCAGGCGAAGTCCTCCAGAGAATCTATCACGAAGCGGGATGGGACATCAGTGAAATGGATCCAGCTTCCGTGAGAAGCTTTTACACCATGCGACCCCTTCTCCCGAACGAAACAGAAGATTTTGCAACGATCAGGGAATTAGCTCCTGCCGGCTTCGTGTCTTCGGAGGAGGTTCGCGACAAAGCAGAGGTTGAGACGTGGGAGGGGCTTAGAGTCAATATGTGGACGGAGGATAATAAAGGAAGAGGGATTTTGGTCAAAGTTCAGTATTGGTGGCGGAAAGAAGACGGCGCGTGGAAGCAGATATTACATGATATTATGTTCTTAGGGCCTGTTGATGGGACGGAGAAGGATGGGAGAGGTATCTTGGTAGAGGAGAGAGTCTGATGCCACCCAGCCTCAATTTATTAACTGTCTGTGGAAGAAGTGTCCTTTGGGCAAGAATTAAAACATAAGGTGCTGTTTGTAAGAAACTTCAGTGCTTAGTACCCACTAATGCCCCGTAGCCCAATTGCTGTTTATCGGAGGAGCAAAGATCCCGAGACTCATTCTCTTCAGGAGCAGTCAGGTTACAGGGCATTAGTGGGGGAATGTGCTTTATTTAACCCCGCAGTTGTGTTGCCTGTTGACAAGAATTCTGTAACTGCTGACAAGAATGGAATTCTGTCAACGCTGGATCCAGTAAAGTCCAGGCAGCAATAGCTCGCTCTAGGCCGCTACAGGCATAGCCTCCCACCATTTCAGGTCACTCTTCTTACCAACAACACTACTCTAAGGCAATTTTTATTACCAGCAGCATCCCCAATTCGTCTTGACAACTTCGCATCTCAATACTTAGGTTAAAATATCTCTCAGTACTCTCTGATCACACTACGACAATGCCCGGCCACTTTCTCGAGAGTCTACCACCTGAAGGGCTATTCAGTATCTCGGATTATCTTGAGCCAGATGATCGAAAGAACCTCAGCCTGGCCAATTCCGGGCTTCGGACCGCGATGGCGCCATGTCTCTTCAAGGTACTACAAATCAATTGCCCGCTTGCAGAGGACCACATCTTGCCAACTATCGTCGATAAATATGGAGCGAATGTTCTGGAGCTGAGACTAAATATCACTTTCTACCCTAACGAGATGCCTGAGAAGACGGAAGAGGAATCGATCGAAGAAGTGGAAGAGGAGAGTGAGGATGAGCCTTCCGATGTGGATATGTCGGAGAATCAGGAAGATAACGGCGATGAAGAGTCCGATCATGACTCAGAGTCTGAAGGAGTCATCGAACATTACAATGAAGATGATGTGGAAGATGACGATGAAGACAAAGACAGCGACAGTGACTCAGACGCTGGACCCAAATGGTACTGGACAAACCCTCCTGCTTCAGTCTGGGCTCGAAAAGAAGAAGACACATCAATCATCCGGGATCTCATCCAGTTCAAGGGACTGCCACGCTGCAGAGCCTTGACTCTTCACACCAACGGCGAACAAGACTTTGAAGTGGATGCAGACTGGGATAACAACGATATCGCCAACAACTACATCTACTTCTGCTGCGAACCTGAAGACTGGGAGGAAGTCAAGCGGAAAGAAGAGAGGTACTCATGGCGCGCGGCTTTGCGGGATATGTACAGTGACATCGCTACACTTTCGGCAGTCGATGACTTTACGATTCAAAACTTTCTCCCGCGAAAAACCTCGTCCTGGCAGGAGAAAGAGTGGCCCGAGTTTCTCGGCCGGTTGAAGAAGTTGACTCTCAATACGTACGGTGGAAACAATGGCGCCGGCTGGCAGGCTAATACATTACCCGGATTTCACGCTTTCTTCAACGAACTGCCAACGACCGTTCTCGCTCATGCGAACGCGCTGGAATACTTTAAACTCAAGACTCACGACGATGGCTTTCTGGGGGGCGAAGGCTCGTTGTACATACCTCCTGGTTGCATGCCCTCCCTCCGGTCACTGCACGTAGACGGTATAGCAGTAACATCCGTGCTGAAAGATTACCTCAAAGCAACAAACGGCACCCTGTCTAAACTCTGCGTCACGGAATGCGTGGCATTTACTTCCGACCCCAATGGCGACGATGCACCAAAGTGGGCTGATCTATGGAGAGCTGCACGTCAGGCTCTGAGAGCACCAGCGGAGGTTGTATGCGTGCCGACCAAGGAACGACCTATTACGGAAGATGAAGGGGATTACTATGGTGACGAGGTTTATGTGCCACCGGCCGATGAGGATGATAAGATTAAGAGTTGGAGAAGGAAAGCAAAAGAGGAGGAAGGGCTTTGTATCTGGCCGTATGGATGGTTGGATGAGAAGTATGGATCTATATATCCTGATCATGAAGTTAATCTGGAACGTCTTGAGAATGGGGAGGATAACCTGGAGTTTAAATTGTTGATGGATGAGGTGAAGAGGGGGGGCGGTAAATGCACTGTATCCTGATTCTGCAGATAAATGACAGGTGGCATGAGCAAGAGGATATACCGTCGTGTTTCTGACTCTACAGAGGGTCTTTCCAACTAATGTTGACTTCAATATCGCCCAAGATTCCAGCAGCAGATGCAATGCGAGCCATGCCGAAAGCGATGCAATGGTAAGCCACGAATCGGAACCACAATGAAAAGGTCATGCTTTTCAACGACGTCTTGATATCCACCAAGAGTTCGTGTGTACTCCTGCCTTCCCCATTCTCATCTATCTCAGGAGCAGCTTCGACACCCGCCACCGTCTCCGGAACCCCAATCGCCGCGTGTATGATCTTCAACGTAAAGAAAACGCCAATAAGTATCACCCCGATCGTCGTGGTATTTTCCTTCGACCATTCCTCAACAACATCGACACCGTTTGCTAACAGAAACAACAGGCCGAGCTTGACGACAAGGTCTGGTATCTCATCGACAACGTTGCAAGCTAACAAGGTACCGATGAAGTGAAACCACTGCTTAGCTGTGACGCAACGAAGAAGTCTGATGTTCGACTCTAGAGATATAGAATAATCGGACATGATCGATCGAATCCAGAGGAACTTCAGAGGTGCGATGATAATCGTTGTGACGCATTTCATAAGGAAGGCCGGAACAAGCTTGTGAAGGTAGAACTCGAGAACGGATCTTGCAGCCGCGCCAACAAGCCATGTTCCCAAGCCTTTGATGGGATATATCGTCGACCAAAACGATGGATTATTCGTTCGTCCTAGAATTCCTGCCGTTCCGTCTTCAGAGGTTGAGGGTTTGAGTGAGCGGACGTGTCGCAGTGCAGTAAGCAATGGATAATAATCTTGATATCCGTAGAGCCCCTATTCATGTCAGCTTGACTCTCGTGGCGTCGTCATGATGCGCACTGCGTAGAAAAACCATTGGACGACGTAGCCCAACACACCCAAAGGATTCATTCTGAGGGTGTCACGTTTCAGGACGATCTTTGTTTTCGGAAATCCAGGGCTGATGCTGCGTGGGCTTGTACGTGAGTCAACTGCCGAGACGATCACTAAACAAGCTTAAAAGGGCGCATCATGACAAGTAGAACGTGGCTCATCGGTCAATCTTGCGTAGCTGAAGGATTCACGGACATTTCCCAAAGCCCTACTTCTCCGTAAGCAATCGGCCGAATTGTGCTGCCTAGACCCTATCTCTCGGCGCCTTTTACATGTGAGGCTGAAGGGAACAGCTACAATTGGCTCGTCTATACGCGAAGGGAGGGCGACTAGCAGCCCTCTGAGGCCGGAACTTTAGTAGCGGGGCCTTGGCATGGAACCACTGACGAAGCTTCCCTGCATCATCGTACGCGCGCTTCACATCCTCAGTCATTCTTATCTGGGCCAGTCCAGGGCTCATCGGGAGAACAAAGCGACCCGTTGGCTTGTGTATTACCAAATGGATCGGTCTATACGCGCGCAGCGTGTAAGAGCGTTTTCACGCAAGACTCGTACGGGTTGTCTCACGTGGTAAGTCCCGCATACATCCGCTTTTCTCTGTCTTTGACCTACTGATTCAAGACAAAGTAAGAAACGACACAAGAAATGTGACGAGGAGAAACCCACGTGTAAGAGATGCAGGGATGGAGGGTATGTCTGCGATGGATATACGCCCCAATCAAAGGCTGTCACGACAAAGACGCAGAACCGCTCTCTGCCAATTCTGGCTGCCAAGCTGTCGACACCAACACTACCTCTGCTACCGGGAGATACGCTGGAGTCGAATTATTACGTTTATTTCTTCTCTGATATCATCAGCCAGTTGGAGATCACGCCATATCTGAACAGAGAGTTCTGGAATAGGAATATTCTTGTTCCTAGTCAAAGTAGCGAATGCGTTCGACATGCGGTGCTGGCTTTGGGCGCGACACACTGGCAGTATTCAGCGCGCAACCAATTATCGTCAGTGTCGCTTGATCCATTCATTTTAAGGCATTACAACGAAGCTATATCGAAACTTACAAGCAGCCAAGAGTCACCGCCGGATATGTCAACTGTCTTGACGTGTTGCATATTATTCGTTATTCTTGAAAGTCTCCGCGGGGAATTTGGCGAAGCAATTCGACATCTCGAGTCTGGGACGAGGATCCTCACAAACCACATCCCAAAAACATACCTTCCAAACCGCGACTTCCAAGAACTAGCTGCAATATTCCACGCAATCGCCTCCCAAGTCGCCATCTTCTCACCCGAGCGTGTCTTTCCCGACGTGACGCATCTCTTATTGCCAGCAGCGAAGAAGCAAAAGCGGATCGAGGGAGAGTTCAGAAACCTTGATGAAGCAGAGGATGTCATGAATAAGTTTGACGACATGGTGAATCATATTTCTTGGGATCTTGATCAAGAATGGGAGAATGAAGAGTCAGAGTGCAACACGCAATGGTCGATATTACGAGAAAACGTACAAACTTGGCAATGCCAGTTCGAAATCCTTGTGAAGAAGTTGTCAGCTGGCAAAGAACCCATCGACAGCGAAAAAATTCTTAATCTTCGGATACAGCATAAATTGTGGGAACTTCTTATCGAAGAGGAATTTGCCGTTGACGAAGACGCCGAGGCTCATCTTGATCCCGCCGAGTGTAACATTCTTCTTGATCAACTGGAGAAACTATGGTGTAACCCAACCCGACCACGGTTCGGCCTTAAAATCGATCTCACAGCAGCTTTATTTCAACTCTACGTGTATTGCACGGACGAGAGTGTTCGACACAGGATTATCTTCATGTTGAGAGCGCAGAGCAGGAGGGAGATTATTTGGGATAGCGGACAATTAGCAGATTTTCTGGAAAACGATATGGTGCTGAGAGCTGTTGGGTTACAGACGGACAGATGGCCCGAAATAGGACCTTCAGCTAATGACGGAGCGTTGTTGGTGTTTCGCCCAAAGGGTTCAAGGGAAAGTTCCGAATCTTAATTCATCTCAGATCCAACATGCATGCACTTTTCGGGATGAAGCGTTCCATTGAATGGGTTAGAGCATGTCACCAAGTGGGGAGTGTTTGTACGCGCTGTCTAATCAGGTGCTGACATGGAAGCGCTAGTGAATCATCACTGGCATTGCTTGTCAATGCGGCTGAGATCCTCCTTATATTAAGGATCTGTACGCACTTGGAGAAACGATTTGATGGTTTGTACGCCATGTCGTGCCGTGTCTGTGCCGAGATGCGGGAGGCAGCTTGTCTGGAATGCTGATCAGAGGCAAGCTGGATATAAATATGCCAACTAAGACCACTGGTAAACCTTCAGAACTCAAATCAACACGAACAAACACAACGATTACCCAATCTAAACACTATGCACTTCAGCAGCCCCGTCTCAGTCGCAATGGCTATCATCTCCTACGGGGTATCAGCCACCCTGGGCGCACAAGCACGCCCCAAAGCAGTCGTATACCGCGGCCCAGCCTCATCAGAAGGTTGCCCAGAAGGCGTACGCGACCTCCTCGTCTCGTCCCCATCCAACTTCGAAGTCGTCTTCGCTGGTCCAAACGAGCCAATCGATGTAGCCGAAGCTCTCAAAGGCGCAACGGTGTATGCCCACGGCGGCGGACCGAACTGGAGCAAAGCATACCGCTCAACAAAGAAATACGAAAAAGCTATTCAAGAGTTTGTCAAATCTGGAGGCCATTACCTTGGCTTCTGTCTTGGTGCTTATCTCGCTGGCCCGGTCAATGGATATAATCTTCTTCCGAAGGGCGTTGATACGGAGCAGGAGATTAAGCGTCGAAGGGCACAGGTCAAGGGCGAGGAAGATACGGTTATCAACGTCGATTGGACTTTTGAATCGGGAACGACGGAGGATAAGAGGTGGTTGTATTTCCAGGATGGTGTTGTGATTAGGGGTATGGATGAGAGTAAACCGGGTAAGGTCGTTGGACGGTATTCTGCGAATGGCGATGTTGCTGCTTCGATTACACCTTATGGGAAAGGCTCAGTTGGACTTGTTGGACCTCATCCCGAAGCTGATGATACGTGGTGTAAGTTGGGCGTGCTTGGTTTGAGAAAGGCATGCTAATTGATTGCAGATGATGGAGCGGGTATTAAGAATCCTGAGGGTATCAGACTTGATATTGGGCATGATTTTGTTGAGGCTACTGTTCATGCGGGTTCTCACAAGCGCTCTTGATTCAAAGGTATCTCATGCAGCAAAGAGTTTCCGGACTTGGATGAATTGATGAGCATGGAAGAATGACAGTGGTCATAGTGAATAAGGCATTTTCTTCTTCTTGTAGTTATTTACAACGCGCATTATTTTTATTGATGGTTTTAGTCTACATTAGCACCCGATGACTCTCAGAGTATTCATATTCACAAATGTATTTGGTTTACAAGAAGTGAAAGGGTTTCATTAAGCTAGGAGATTCTCTAAGCATGTGTTAACAAGACCAGCAAAGCCAATCCATCAATCTAAAATCCACACCAAGGTCAAAGCCCAAGGCTCATCGTACACTGCAGTTTAGTGCAGACCAACAGCAGATCGGATGGAGTCGATGAGGATGTTGTTGTAGTCACCACCGGCCTCGTAGGTACCGAATCCAGCGAGCTTGTTCTTGAGAACGAACTTGCCCTTGTCGTAGAAAGAAGCAGCGTTGTCGTAGCTGACATAGATCTCACGCTTGGCATCATAAAGAACAGGCTATTCAAGTTAGTACTGTATCCTTGTAATTCTAGGGTGCAAAGTGACTTACTGTCTGACTGCAGTTGTCCCAAGCAGAAGCAATACCAGGAGCAGGGTTTCCCTTGGTATCGAGGAACTTGGCCTCCTTGATCAAGCTCCAGAAAGGATAGGTGCCTCCAGGAGGGTTGGGGTTACCGCAAGCATCGACGAGAGGATCGTTGTCCCAGCTGCTTCCCTGGAAGCGATCGGTAGAGTTCTGAGCGGGATACAGCTGGAGCTTGTGGTTCTTGCCCTTGCCGAAGGCAGAGGTGCTGTTGACCTTGAAGCCATGGCCGTAGTTGGGAGCGCCGAGGACGAGCTGGGAGGCGGGCATGCCGGCGCCGGTCCACTGGGCGATGGAGTTCTCGGCGGCGCCCTGGTCGTTGCGGGCATCGCACTTGCGGTAGAGGGGAGAGTTGGGGCCGGCGACGGCGGACCAGGCACCGTAGTAGTCGTAGTTCTGAACCTGTTAGTATAGATATCAAGTTTGGTTCAAGGGTAAAGTTACATACCATGAGCATGATGTAGTTGATAACCTCAGCAAAGCCACTGACATCCTTGGAGGCGACACCAGTCTTATCGTTCCAGGGGAAGACAGATCCAGCGGCAGTGATGTAAAAATCCTTGCCCTTAGGGTCCTTGCGAATCTCCTTGAAGAACTCGAGAAGGTTGGCAGTGTCGTTCTCGTTGATATCGTTACATCCGAGACCCTGGCGGTTGGGATACTCCCAGCTGAATCCCGTCAGTCACAATCTTCCTTTTACTTATGAGATCATAAACTTACTCAATGTCGAAGCCTTCGAAGCCATACTTGTCAACAAAGTTGATGACTTTCTTGGCGAAAGCAGTGCGGTTCTTGGCGGAGCCGATGTTGGTGGAGAAGTGTCGGCTTCCGGTCCAGCCACCAATTGAGATGAGAGGCTTGACGTTCTAGAAACATTGTTAGCCAAACCAATCTCTTAAATGTCCTGAATTTTGGATAACATACGTGCTTCTTGGCATCCTTGACGAAGCAAGGAATGTTCTCAGGCTGCGACTTGGAAACATCAAGTGTTCCATCAGGCGAAGTCTCACTACATCTCATTAGCCCTCATCCCCAATCACGACATGGAGTACATACGCAAAAGCATATTTCACATCAGTGTACTTGTTCCAGGGCATAGCCGAGACAGGAAATCCCCTATTGGCGTGGAACCCCGCAAAGTAGGTCGAGGCAACCAAATACCCCTCACTGTTAACAGGGGGAATGACGCTGGCGCTTCCAAGGCTCAGCAGGCCTACAAGCGAGGCCGAGATGGCTTTGAGGGACGGCATAGTTGCACGGAATGTTATTTTACCGAGAAGAAAAAGAGCGTAAGAAATGAAATGAGTGAGAGTGATGACCGGTTAATTGATCGGGGGGTAAGCAGCGGTTATATATATATGTTTGTCGTTATTAACGTTGCATTACAATCCTACTCTAATAAGCTTTTGAACAATTTCGGCGCATCGCAATATTAAACAAAACAAAAAAACGTATGAGCCGCTGCCGCCCTGCAGAGCATTAAGCCTCAACCTGCAGCGCCCGCCTGTAGCGGCAGTTGATTGTTTAAAAATCCCCTGAGATGTAGCAGCTAACAACCCCTAGTGCAAAGTTTATTCCCTTTGACTCCCCGCTTCTAGAAAGCTCCCTGTCATTTCCGCATCTGCCGAGCTATGGTTCGTGCTCTTTTCGAGGACGTCTTTATGAGCGCTGGGGCTGTCTCATGTTTAGGGGACGCGTTGGTTGACTGTTTCTGGACAGGTTGCTACGTCATTGACTGTGGCGGGCATCGCTTACATTACCGAGAGAGAGGACAGATCTGATGGCGCTGCTACTGTACGGTGCCGTTCGGCGTCAATTGACGCGTATGATGTGACGGTGTAATTGAAGATACGGGAACTTAATGAGTGATAAACTTCATCTCATTTCACTGTGAGGGTATTCTTTGGACATCAGTGATCTAAAAGGTCCGGTTTTGCCGTGTTGTGGTTGCAGTGGGTTAACTACCGTTCCAAAGGGCCGGTTTAGGGGGGATCTTCACTGAGGAGAGTTCTTTTTTAACCGCTCGGCACGTACGCTGGGAGGGCATCGCCAACACGAACGGCTGTGATGGCTTGGGATTGGATCACGTACTGGTATTGGAGAGGAACCTTTTTTTTATCTCAAGAGGGAAGATGATTGCAACGAAAACATCTCCGTCAAGGTGGGAAGAGTCTCGTGGTCACCCGACGCGTCAACATGGTCGCGTATTCCCCGCGAGGACGACATTCGGAGAATATCACGGCAGCGTAACCGTCTTCCCGTCGACATAATAATTGAGATGACAAGATCAGATAAAAAAGGCGATAATCTAATTCTGTGCCACGTACCTCTTGCGCGACCTCCTGTTTTGTCATGCGAGTGTGAATGCAATGTCTCCGGATCAAATTGTCCCGGAATTGCCGGCGCATGAAGATTCGGGGATGTTGGGCATTGACCTTCATCGTTAAAATTCCACTGCCAAGAATAGACACTGTCGATCAGATCACGGGGTAGAACGATTGGAGGGCCAGTGCGAGGTTTCTACGGATGGTGAAACGTCAAAGCCATACCATAGCACACTGATGAGCGTTGAGCCCGCTGGTGAGAGGGCTAGACAGATACCATACATGCTAGGTAGTCAAAGTAAGGTAATCGGGCTGACTTCAACGGCTGCGTCAATAATGGACGACAAGATATTACTTTTATGGGCTAGAAATTTCTTTCTCATCTCGATAAATATTTTAGAACGGTCTAATAACCTTTTCCAACGGTTTGCGATACATTTATTTAGATACATTTATTAGAGGTTCAGGGTAAGCAAACCAGCGAGTCAGCCATTTCGGTCACCTCGGCATCTCCTGCCTATTGCGCATCCCTCAATTCTTCCCCACGCACTAACAATCAGCTCGCTTGTGGGGAAGACGATTCATCCTTATCTCGACTCCAGCGACGATAGCCGTCCCTCTTGACTCTCCATCTGGGGATAGTCTAGTCTCACTGTCGGGATCACTATCTTTCTTGATGGTGTTTCGGCACTTCCGGACTTGCCATGCTGACGGCTTAGCCCGGCATTGACAGATAGCTATTCACTATACTCTTTGGGAAACTGACATGTTTCTGGAATTGAAGACGTAGACTGTTAGTTAGATCATGATGACCGAAATGGAAATACGCAAGTCTGGGGAAACGAGTAACAGTTTCCGAAAGATTTGTGTATATAAACTGTCGTGAAGTCAACAGTAAACAGACCTCATCACTCTCAATCACAACCATCTTCACAGTCTCTGACTTCACCTACACTTCTTCCCCATAACTCTCATCAACAACCTTCAAAATGGCCGCCCTCAACGCAGACACCCTCGACATGTCCCTCTTCTTCGGCACCCCCTCCCAGAAGCAAGACTTCTGCGACTCCCTCCTGCGCCTGCTCAAAAAGCGCGGCGGCGTCAAGCTGATCAACCACCCCATCCCCTCCACCTCCATCCACGAGCTCTTCGCACAGACAAAGCGCTTCTTCAACCTCCCCCTCGAGACAAAAATGCTCGCCAAGCACCCTCCCCAGGCGAACCCGAACCGCGGGTACTCCTTCGTCGGCCAGGAAAACGTCGCCAACATCAGTGGTTACGAAAAGGGTCTTGGACCGCTAAAGACTCGCGATATCAAGGAGACTGTGGACTTTGGATCGGCGAATGATGAGCTTGTTGATAACCTTTGGGTTCCGGAGGAGGAGTTGCCCGGTTTTAGGAGCTTTATGGAGGGGTTTTATGAGTTGGCTTTCAAGACGGAGATGCAGCTTCTTGAGGCTCTTGCTATTGCTCTTGGTGTTTCTCCTGATCACTTGAAGTCGCTGCATAACCGTGCCGAGAATGAGTTTCGAATCTTGCACTACCCTGCCATTCCTGCCTCAGAACTCGCAGACGGTACAGCAACCCGCATCGCTGAGCACACTGATTTCGGAACCATCACCATGCTGTTCCAAGACTCTGTCGGTGGCCTTCAGGTCGAAGATCAAGAGAACCTCGGAACATTCAACAACGTCGAATCAGCCTCCCCCACCGACATCATCCTCAACATCGGTGATTCTCTGCAGAGGTTGACGAATGACACTTTCAAGGCTGCGTGTCATCGCGTTACATATCCTCCTTCTATCAAAGCTGGTGATGGCGAGCAGGTCATTCCTGAGAGATACTCTATCGCTTACTTTGCTAAGCCTAACCGAAGCGCTTCGTTGTTTCCGCTGAAGGAGTTTATTGAGGAGGGCGTTCCTTGTAAATATGAGGATGTAACTGCTTGGGAATGGAATAACCGCCGCATTGAGAAGTTGTTTTCTGCTGAGGCTAAGGCTTAAAGAGGTGAAAAATGGGGGATGGATGGTCAGATTGATAGTTTATAGCATAGCGGAATTTTATTTGCAACAATACTCTCTCTATCTCAACTGCATTTACCTCCGTGATCTTTGCCTTCAGAGGTAGAAATGAGTATCACCTCTAAGCATCCAACTTCGCGTGGCCAGTTCTAAAGTCACGAAGGTTCCGTTCTGGGTAGAACGTCATATTCTCCTCTGGAAATATGCTTCGACACTGTAGATAATGGAGATAATGGTTCTTCAGCATCTCGTCATTTGCTGAGATTATCTCACATTATCCATGGGTATCCACTACTTAACCGACTGACGCCCTTTGTCTTGTCTTCCCCAAATCTCCACCAAAAATGCCACTATCGCCCATCACGCGGAGAGAAGCAATCTCGAAGCCTCAAGACTCACACTAGAACACTCTAGCTCCCCAAACCAACCTATCAAACAACTCCAATTCCATCCCTAGGTTCTAATTCGCCAACCCCCGTCGCACTCGCCGATAAGCCCCCCCTCCCAAAAGAGCAAGCAATCCCGATCCCCTTCCTCTTAAGACAAACCCTCACTCCCCCATCTTCAGATGAATTAGTATTGACTCAAACGAATTAGTATGTCCAACACCAAATCCAGACGAACGCACTCTTTCGGCGGGTGTAAGACATGTCGGAAACGTCATCTCAAGTGTGATCAGTCTCTTCCGAGGTGTACTCGCTGTAAGCAGGCGGGACTGAACTGTGAGGGTTTCACGCCGGCGCTGAGATGGTTGGTTTCGACGGGGAGGGAGGTTTATGATAGGCAGCCTACGCAGATTGCTGATGTTGGGGCGGAGCAGTACTCGAGGAGACATTTGTTCACTGGTAAGTTAGGTTTGTGAAGGTGTTGCAGAATTGGGTTGGGCTGACTTTTGTAGAGGAGGATAGGGAGCTTATGAGCAATGCTCTTGTTACGAATGTTCCGTCGACGGTGACGGCTGCTTTGAACCAGATTGATGAGGAGTCCAAGGGACTTGATATTAAAGATGACGCAGCGAATACCTGTGAAGTTGGGCCTTTTCAAGTCTTCAAATTTGAAACCAGTCAATCCGTCACGACGCCATCAGACCATGTCTCATTCAACGACATGGATCTCGACACTCTTTCCGAGAACCAAACCCAAGACTTTTCAGAAACCATCGAAAACGATCAAATCGCCTCCAATGACTTCTCAACAACGTCCCTCGATTTTCTGCACTGGGGTGATTTATTCACCTGGGACGTCAGCGTTCTCGACAATCCGCCTCAACTCCCCTACGACAACTTCGACACTTTGCCCATGAATCTCAATTGGCCCAACGAGACCAACATGGGTTTCTCCGAATCTTTGGACATGATGCCTTTTGAAACAGCGAGCGATGACGTTGCGTGGCCACAGCTCGATCTCATGATGGATGCACCGCTTCTTCTGAAGCACTTCAACGACGACGTCATCAGCCAAATGGGTTCTCTCCCCATCAACGAAAAGTCAGCTTGGAAGACTCTTCACTATCCCTCTGCTATAATGACGCTGAGCGAGTTGACGATGTTGGATGTGGACAAAGATCAGATCAAGCGTGCCAATCTGGCTACCTTTTACGCTCTGATAGCTGTATCGTCATTCCACCTCTCCCTCAACTCCATCACGTTCCCAAGTCTAGCTCGACCTGGTGATCATTGGAAATCTCTGTCAAGTCGCACATACGAAGCTGCGAAACAACATCTTAAAGTCAGTCTCGAAAAGGAATCGCAGCCTGGACCGCATAAAGCGAAGTACAAAGAGCAACTGATGGGTATAAGTGCCGTGCTAGCAACAGCAGTACGTTCCCCTACCACCATACACAAATGCATAAACTAACCACCATAGCTTCTCTCTGGCAACGAAACAGACACACGGTGGTGTCTCACCGAAATGGAACGCCTCATAAGCTGGCGCGGCCTCACCAAGCCAAGCATATCCCGCCGCGCCCGTCTTCTTCACAACATCTACGCCTGGATGCGCATCGTCTCCGAGAGTCTCAACGTGTACCTCGACGAGAACCACGCCATCGAGACACCCTTCCGCACCACGACCTCACGATCCATTAATCCCGACATGACACTCGACAACTTCCTGCATCTCGAACCGCGAAAACTGCACGGTCAGAAGACGAAACGCGATATTAAAGATATTCACCTCGCGGATGCGTCGCAGGATCATGAGAATATGTATATGCAGATCTACGGCGTTCCAGAGACGTGGCTTAGTTTGGTGTCGCAAATAACACGTCTCGCCAACGTAATGGATCGTTTGTGCGCTTCTAAAAAGTCCGACGCAGAAGCGCTCATGGCATTACAGCCGCGCGCTTCATACCTCGAAAACGCAGTCTGTCTGTTCCGCTCACGACACAACGAGAGCACAACTATGAGCGCAAGTCCCAGCGCCCCAGGTGGAACACCACACATGCACATGGTACGCGCCCTCGCCTCCGCGCTGGTAATATTCTTCTACCGACGTATCCGCAACGTGAACCCCCTCGTTCTGCAAGATAGCGTCAACGACGTTGTTGAGTCGTTGCATGCGTTTGATGAAGCGTTGGAAAGGAATAATCTGCTTGGACCGGGGACAGCGTGGCCTGCGTTTATAGCGGGGGCGGAGGCGAGGGCGAGGCAGAGGAGGGATATAGAGGAGTGGTTGGATAAAGGGTTCGGGAGGAGTGGGTTTGAGAGTTATAGGGCTTCGAAGGAGGTGCTGGTGGAGGTTTGGAGGAGGAGGGATGAGGCGGAGGGGATGCCATCTGGGGATGTATGTACATGGATGGAGGTTTGTAGGGATTTACATCGTTGGCCATTGGTGTCTTAGTTACGGCTTAATAATTACGAAGTTATGCAAGTTATCAAATATATATTGATCGAGACTATTGTTTGGCTTTAAACTTTTGCTTCCAGCCCCCGGGCGACAACCTCGTACATGGTGTACAGCATCGCGCCCAACGTTGGTCTTATAGGAGTAGCTGGTCCACGCGTGCCGGCCATGGCCATCAGGAGGCAGTAGCAAAAAGGCCCACAGCCAGTAGACTCAATCAACAATTGATCGGTTGATCTGCAGGTCCGCCGAGGCCCTGACGCATGTACGAGCCGTGTGATGGAAGTCTTACTCAAAATACTAAATGGGGCCAGACTTGATGCCATTTGCGAGCTTGTTCTTCGTTTCGGAATCGGGTGTTTGGTCCCTTCAGAGAGATGATGTTCACTCATGCTGCTATGGACGAGTCGGCGGTGGTACGGAGACGCGACATGGCTTGGTTCGAGCTGTTGTGATCAGCCAATGGCATCAATGCAAAGCTCTTTGCATTTTGCGATGACTCGGACCGTCTGCACACACAGCATTCGTAGACCTAGCGTCGGCGAATGGTAGGGTTGGTCGTCTCGAGGGTTTTAGCGGATACGCACGAGGTCGCGGACATCGGTTGTCTTTTGTGATCATCCTCCTGACAACGTCCCATCACGACCTTCGATGCATGGCTTCGGGTTATTGACATGGCGATATCACAACCCAACATCGACCCGTCTTGCGTCGCTGTTAGGCTGAAGCCTTTGGGAGTCAGGTCTTGCAGCACCAGGTATTGGATCAATAGTCGCGAAGGCTGAGCCGTCGAGCGTTTCTCCCGGCAACGAACGATCCTGAGTTCCGTCTTGATGCGCCTCGATCCTAAATGGTAAAAGTACTGGGACAGGTCTGGAATGACGGAGGATGGACTCAGCAGGCTCTCCGACTGGCATTTCGGGCTCCAAAGAGCCTACGAGGTTCATTCCCCATTGTCCCAAACCTATCTTGTGCCCTCATCCCATCTCCGTAGACTGGAACCCATCGAGAACATTTGCCCTGAACCAAGGAACGTAAACATCCCTCGCCCACCTGGCTAGCTCCCTTATCCCCGCGACAACAGCATACGTATCCAGAATACTCTGCGTCGTGCCAAACTGTCTCTCCGTCCAAAGAACAGTCTTGTCCCCCTCCAACGTCGAAAACACAAAGAGCCAGCGATGACCCTGCACGATAATCCCCGGTATAAATCCCAATTGGCCCAAAACATCGTTCGCTTTTTGTTTTCGCAGTATTTCCTCTTCTGCTGTCAAGGGCTGTGCTGTAAGGCCAACGACGGAGCGGAGGAAAGCCCATTGCGCGGCATGCCAGACTCCCATCTGGAGTTGCGCAGCGTCGAGTTCTTTGCCAGGACGCTTAGTCTCGATGCTCAGAACTATAGGGGACAATTGGAGGGGCGCGAAGTCGGTGTGGTTTACGGTGAGGGTTGGTGTTCGACGGCCGAGGGCTTGGAGGGCGTGGGAATCGGTGGGCTTGAGGTAGAGGCAGAAGTCGACCATTTTGGCTGTCGAGGAGTAGGGTACGAAGCGACGGTGCGGACGGGCGGTGGTGCTAGGAAACAGTTAGCTAAATGCCTGATGTTGTTGGAGTCCGGAAGGTTTACCAGGTAGTAAAGTTGAGAGGCGTGGCTATGGGAGCGTTGGGTTCTCTGAGGATAGCTTGTAACAGACGATGATGCACTTCCATATTCCAAGCCGCCTCTTCATGATTTGTGTCATGACAGTGACGAGCAAAATCACAGATTTGAGATATTTCTTCCGGGAGAGGAACTCGCCCCGGCAACGTATCTTCACCCTCTTCTTTGAACGCAAACCTCCACAAGCGCGTATTCTGTTCCCTGACAAGTGGACTCTCCAGAACAGCACTCTTTTTGTCAGCAGGCAAGATCTCAATCCTGCTTACAATCTCCTCCATCGCATCAAGAAGACTGGAGATGACCGGGGGCGCGGTGTCGACATTTAGCTGTCTGCATTCAAGCCCTCTTTCTTCCAGCCTCAGCCTGAGCATTTGTTTCTTTGGCGAACTCGATCGTGACCCCTCGCCTGATTCAGACCTCGAAGCGGACGAACCAGTAGATGAAGGAGGAGGGAGGTTTGCAGCGCGCGGCGTGCGATCCGGATCGATGAGGCGACGGCGCTTTGGAGTTGTTCCCTCCATTGAGTCTGAAGTAGGCGGACTAGGCAGCGCTGCCTTTCGCTTCGAGGTTTTGGAGAGGGCTTCGGATGGGAGATATTCGTTGGGGAGGGAGTCGAGCCAAGATGCTACACGCTGTTCAAGCATGGTTGGCGTCGACGAAATGACCTTGACATTGTTTGATGATGGCGATTGAAGGTCTTTGCTGCAGGTTGACTGTAGGGGCATCGGTTTTGAAGGTAGCCCTAGTCGGAGTTGCAGAGCCCCAGCAGTGGTTGAAAACTGATGTCACAGAGGGTCGTGGGGTTGGCACAACAACAGCCCCACTGTATTGGATTTGCAACGATGCTGATCTTATGGTTAATCATCAAAAGCCATTATGTTTTTGAGAAGCCCAAGACCCTAAGAAGACGAATATTATACGTAACAGCATGTTTCTCTATAATCTACTGGGCTCTTCAGTGAAGCCCATCATAATAAATCTCTTTGGAAGATAGAACTCACTGCCGATCACGGCGAGCCAAGAACAACCCGGAGCCGATTGAACGGAGCGGTGATCTTGGCTGAACTGAGAGAGTTTGGTCTAAATTAAATTAAAGTCTATCTAATCATATGTTAATTCATATTTAAGACGCAATTGATCTATTGATATTCATTTTCACCAACAAGATATACGCGGTTCACCACGCAACATGCGACAATGCAGTTTGGCCGTTGGTTCCGCGCCGTCCGGTCGGATCACTGCATCCGCTCGACCGATCCTCAATTCAAGAGAATGAGACAACAATAGCAAGAATTGCGCAAATAAAGCCTCATAAACATAACTCTTCATATTGGGTATCATTAACTAACTATCCCACCATCAGCGCTTTCCAACATTGCTCCTCAAACATTCTCCAAATACCGTATTGTACATTTCGACGTCTCAGGCGATGACCTCACAGGCACCTGCACACCCGCTGAGGACGGTAGGCTCTGTAGATCGTAAAAGTCAAGGTCCCCTGGATTTGTAGCGTTCGACGGTGATCGTTCGGGTCGGTCGTCGTGCTGTCGTTTCATGTCTTTGACGAGAGCGTAGAAGAAGGGAGTGTTGGAGACGATGCATGCGCAGAGAATCTCAATTGACGCCCACTACCACACGTTAACAAAGGCCCAATACCGAAAATGGAGGGGAAATTACCATCGATCGGGATCGTTGAGAAACGGACTCGTTGAGGATGAGAGGGAGGCGGAGGATCGTAATGGCTACCAACACAGCGCCAACGCTGAACAAGAAGCCAAGCTGTACTTTCTCCTTGATATCGAGCCGGAGATGTCGAAGCATCGGAAACGGAAGGATTATGAGCGCAATGTTTATTATTATGTTGCAAACCGCCATTAATATCAGGTTGCCGACGGCGCGATTGCATGCGACTTCTGCGGTGCAAATGTTAGCTGTCACGCGGTGGCGAAAAACCTCGTCGCTGCTTACTCGTATCATCGTAATTAAGTGCCCACATTCTAACACCTCGTTAGCAATGCGTTTCGAAAAGTCGTGGATGGAACGTACAGTGATAGAGGGCGACATTCGGCGAGGATTGTTATAAAGACCGCGATGAACGTGGCGATGATGAACCACCAAAGCGCATCCGTGACGAGTTTGCCCCAGCGAAACACATCAATGAAGCGTGAATAAAAGGCCAATAGCCCCAACTTCAAACACCACAGACTATCCCAAATCAGCAAATTCCCTCTCAACGTATCTGTCCACATACAACATGGCGTAGAATATCCGCGCGGGTATGAGAAGCTTATGTGAAAGCTCTCTATCCCCATCAATACTCTCCACACTCTGTCCCCAAGTCTGCGCCTCCGCCTCCGTCGCAGGATCGTACGTATGGTCCGGATTCAGCGTGAACGAGAGGAGTATACAGACAGCGCGCCCAATAAGCGGCAGCACCGCGATTGTCATGTAAAAGTCGTCGATGCGCCATCGTCGGTGGCAGGTCGTGTGGATGTGGCAGCGGAATATGAGGCGGTAAAAACACCTAGCTACTATGAGAGCGACGCATATAGCAGTCGATGCTAACGTGAGGGCTGCGTCCGAGGACGATGCCATGCCTGCTCATGGTGTTGTAGTCTCTGTTACACTGGAGGTCATGTCGAAAAAAGAGAGATTGTGGAGGAGAAGGGCGAAATGAATAGGTTGGGGGAGGCGAATTGCCGGGTTGCGGGGAACGGCTTGTTACCCAAGGGAAAGGATCTGGGGTTCATTCAAATCCCTCGTGGGTGGGCGCTTCGGTTACAGGGCGTGATGCTGTTGAAGGATCGAGACTAGGATGGTTGAGCTAACGACTGAGCTATCGTTCAACGGGAATCGTTGGCGTCCACTTCAACGGCGTGGGTACATGTTAACCGGAGTAATGTTTTGTTCGATGGAAGAGAAATCTTCATTTCGTGACTGTGATCGTTGTGCAAAACGGTTGACGATCCTTGCATTTTGACATGCAGGGGACCTTGCTCTGTCTCAGATGAAGGAGAGACTTTTAATTGACGGCCATTTTGTTTCTGCGGCGTAGCAGCGTTGTATTTTCTAATTAACGGGTTTTCTGCAAAACTGGGAACGGCAAACTTTAAAATCGCACTGTTGTTTACAGGGCGCGTGCAGGTTTTGACTTCAATCCGGACCGTTTCATCCCCGTTGAAGGCTCATCTTGTCTCTGCCGCTTTGACTTTCAGCACACCGTTCCGGGCGGAAGTCAAAGTGTTCTACAGCGACGATCACAAGCAACGGTGCTGCGATGCGATAAACGAATGTCGCGCGTCTGAAAGTGCGCGCACAGACTGTCGCTATTTCTAGACTGGTGATTGATGTCGGTCCGGAAGATGGTTTAGCGTCGGCGTAGTCAGCTGAGCTTTGGAATGGTGGCATCTTAGTTCATTGACCGCCTCAAGCTCAACCTCACCCCGCAATTCAATCGTTAACCATGGCTCGTAAATGGAAGGCTGGCGTTGCATCATGAATTCGATCTGATAAAGCCAATTCAATGTCACAAAGAGAATAAAGATATGACGTTTGTTTACTTTGTAGATATACGTATATTGGTGACTACCCTGTAGTATCCCACTGTTGCTTAATCATCGCAAATTCATAGCTGTTAGGCATCACCTCCTCGCTTTACCTACTGTCAGCCTTGTGCAAACATATGCAACTTTTTATGGGTAACAAAGCTATGAGATCGTTAGCCTGAAATCCCCCGACCATCTTGTATGCGCCAGTATCTCTCTGTGGCTGCTGAGATTTATTAAGTGATATGCATAAAATGTTTGATGATACACCTCGTCCGCCACCACCGGTGCCTCCGCTGCCGCCTGCCCTCAACAAGAAAGCCTCGAGAGAGTCTCCCTTTGTATTGAAAGTCAGAAACGCGCCAGAAGAATGGTTCTACCAGCCCCCTGAGCCACCAGCTGACGTCGATCTCTTTGAGCCCCCAACAGGGCCTTACTTCATATACGGAACATTGATGGATCCAAAAATGCTAGCCAATGTCCTTGGACTGGAAGAAAAGCCCGCGCTGCGACCCGCCAAGGTCGTAGGCTACTTGCGTAAACTCTGGGGACAGTATCCCGCTATGCAAGACGGCCCGCAGGACGCACAAGTCAGTGGTGCTGTCTACTATGTGCAGTCTGTTGCTCATGCGAAGAGATTGGCGGAGTACGAAACCAACAGCTACAGAGCCAAGCCATGCTTTATTCAGTATACAGATGGAAAGGAGCCTGATGAGGACTTTGGCCATGTTTTCATGTTCGTCGGTAATCCAAGGGATCTACAAGAGGGGGAGTTTGATCTGGGAAAATGGTTGAAGCGAGTGGGACGATCATCTGGATAAAACATCATAAAGATGAAAAGTGTAATTGAGCAAGCAATACATTAAAAAGACCTTACTCTATCCCTTGAAGATCTTGGCGCACACCCCAGTTAATGTCAAGAAATACCCTTGAGTTTCGTCTCGAACAATATGAGTGGATATCTAATTTGGATATAAGAACCATTGACAGGCTAGTCTGTCTTATTAAACTTTGTCTATTACATTTATGCCATCGTGAAGCAGTAAATCCCAAACAAACTACACAAATCAACAAGCCGTCTGTTGCTGCGAATCTACTGCAAACCATAGACCAAACAGCCAGTTCAAAGGTCTACTACTCACTCGGCAGTCTGGTCCAAAAATTGACAGGCACCATTGAGTAAACGAATATTGATCATCCATGTAAATGGCCGACTAAGATCAGGTTCTTATTCCTGTTAGTAGTAATAGCCCAGCCGAACCATCACTAGGAGCTTGCTGTGATCAAGCTCGAGAGGCATGATCAGAGAAAAAAGACCTTGGTGTACAGCCATTCACGTAAAGCGGTTAAGGGGGAGTGTCGGGCTTTGAGCTGTTTTGGCGGTTGATTGGAGGCTTCATCGTTCTATTTGTTATCATCTTAAGATAATCCATCTTAAGAAAGTCGATCTTCAGATAATCACTTACCAGTACACTATATCTGTTACAAGATTATAGACTTTTAAAGGAGTTCCGCTTGTAGAGTATTGCCAATTAGCTTATCAAGACCGGACTTGAGTCAAAGGGAATAGAGAATCCTAATTTCTTTTACGCCTTATTTAAAGTTCAATGAAACTATAATGAAGAGCGCGCTCGGATACTCTTACGTTGTACTGCTCCATTCAGACCAGTCAGTTGTGTTATTAGACATGCCTTAAGATACTGCATCGGGCTCGACCCGGACATCCAATAGCTTGGGACCTTATTGGCTTAACACCTGAAGTATACATATCATTACTTCCTTGTTGATGTCCAATGCAACCTCAGCCTGTATACTCCTCCCGTTCCGCACAGAAAGGCTAGAAGGTTCCATATTTCTCGGTCCAACCCGAAGTGGGATCATCGAAGCACGTAGTAGTGTTGCACTGAGCATACACCAAAGGGTTGATGTTACATTATCTCACCTGCATGTGCGGCAGAGTCTTTTGGGACATCTCTTTGCATGCAGCACGCTCGGGACAGCCAAGAAACGTGGTACATGACAAAGAAGTTCCTCCACGTGCTGATGCTGAGATGCCCGCTGTGACCCAACTTCTTATCTCGGTGCTGACGGTGGTTCGAGTTCTCGCAGCCTTGGAGACTCGGAGTATCCCACTTAGATTTGTAACCATCTTGTAAGGTAACGGAGCCAGCCGCGCCGAAGATCGATCCGAAGGCCTCCAGAGGACTCATGAGGATAGAGATGAAGCGGGAAGAGGAGGTAAGACACCATCCTGCATGGTCTGTGAACATAGGCCATGTCGATGCCGTGCTGAGGTAACTTTGATGTGAACGCCAAGGGATAGACGGCCTAGGTTCCGTTTAGGCAATATTCAAAGTGCATCTATGATTGACTAAGCCGAAGCAACCGCAGGAAAACTACAGATGAAATGAGCATTGCATCAGACAGTCGGCACGGGGCTTTCATGAGTCACAACTGGAGACATGACAGCTCTCGTTCAAGTTCGTTTAAGCAAGACTCTTGGCTTAGGCAATAATAGTAAATTATCTAGTACGTATTTGACATGATAACATAAACATGATGTGAAAATTGCCGAAACAAGAACAACCCAACCATCACATGTCTTTCTCTCGCAACACCTTCTATCGCCATATCGTGATCACCAGGAGTAGGCATCCACCTCAAGTTCAAAGACAGTCTTGGAGTTGCGTCCAATACCAGCAACAACAGCCCGCACATCATCACATAGGGATCCAGGGCCCGATACCACGATACCGACTCTCTTCCAGCCGGCCGATGCCTCTTCGTCAATAAGAGCAGCAACATCGAACCTTGAACCAATTCTAATATCCGTCTGTGCAGTGTTCACGGCATCGAGGGCTGGCTCGATCTCGTTGACGAGACATCGAGCTTCTGCTTTGACGCTCCATGCCAACTTGGCGTTCCAGTGGTTGTGAATGAGCGCAAACAGACTAGTGATACCAACACCACCAGCGATAAGAAGAAGCCTGTCGCAGCGTAGGACCTGTCGTGTGTCGCTGCCAGGGTAAGGCCCCTCCAAGAAGGTGAGTAAGCGGTCATGGCTCTCGAGATACTTTGTGATACCGGTAGACTTTTTGATGAACAGTGTCACTCCAGCCGAGATCTCGGCTGAGGCTGATGATTGCCTGACCACTGCAATTTGAGTTGTCGACTTCTCAATATCTTCCAATCCCGAGGAAGCTCCTGGTGAGGTTGGAGACCCAGGTGTAGCTGAGGTTCCACGGCGTTGAAGCGCAACTGTAGGAATGACTGAGAAGGGATGATTCTCCCAAGGTCGCATTGGAGCAAGCGTTGGGAAGTAGACGAAGACGTGCTTTCCAGGATCCAAACCCCAGCGAACGTTTGGTACATCGACTCGCACGTAACCAGCTCCGATGTCCTTAACCTTGGATCTCAGAATACCCAGTCTGATGACTCGTACGATTCGAACAAGGCGCTCAAAGCCCCAAAGGGCAATGGCGAGGTAAAGCCAGATCTCGTGTCCAGTCGTATAGCCAGGTGAGTGCAGACGAATGGAGGCATATCGCAGCATGAGATGATACCAGCATCCGACAATGACAAGCGCAGCAATGAGGATGTGCATAAGCAAGAAAAGCTCGTAGTTGGCCTTTCGAACATAGAGTCCACTTCCAAGGCAGGTAATCACAGTGAAGATGACAGTGACTGAGCCCCAGCGTCTCCAGTCCGTGGTGCCCATCTTGTCAGAGCCTACCAAGACAAAGATAGCGTGCAGAACAGCCAGCAGAGCAAATGTTCGTCCAATCCAGCGGTGAAGCAGGATGAACGTCGAGCGCGACCAGTTAGACAGCCACAAGAGAAGGTTGTTCCTGGAGGGGAAAAGGATGATCAGTGGGAGTAAGGCGAATGCAAGAGCTCCAGTGCGGTAGACGAGATAAGCAAGTAGTTCTCGCCGTTCACCCATGAATCTAGCATGTGGCTGACGGAGCTCGTAGTCGATGGCGGTAAAGACTACGACGAGAGCAAGGAATAAGGCGATATATAGACCCTGACCAACAGAGGGAGCATTGCCCAGTTTGAATGGTAGAGGACGTACGGAATAGGTGCCGATCATGCTTGGATAGAGGATGTATGGTTTGAGTTTGTCGTAGACTGATGGGATGAGAGGTAGATAGCCGGACCAGGTCATCAGGATCGGTATTCCGACAGCAATAACAACAAGAATGATACTGAAAACAAGTTAGTAACTTTCATCTCTGAGTGAGACTTGAGTAACATACCCATATCGTGCCCCCATTATCATCTCATGATTCGTCGCCCAAAGTGAGTTCCATTGACTGAGGTACGCAACCGGTGCGAGTGTCGATGTCTGGTTGAGAACCTTGTCTGTCATGTTGAGTTGATACCGAGGTGGTTTGGGATCAACCTCCATGAGAGCCTCCGAGTAGGACCACTTTGCGGGAACGAATTTGCTGCCCGTAATCCACTCCTCCCAGTAACCTTCAATCTTGGACAACTTCTCATCGGCACAGTTGTCACTCATGCACCAAGCCACGGATGTCAAGAAGGCTGTGTCGTTGGCTCGGCATGCTGGCGGAGTCGCCATATGTCCATCGTGCATGCTTGAGCAAGGTAGCATCAGAGGAGTAAAGGATCGAAGACATGCTTCAGCGCAGACAGGATCGTATGAAGTCAATCCATATCCCTCAAGTCCCTGAGCGTATGTTGAACTGACTTGAAGTGCCAGAAGCAGTGAGAGGGAGTTTTGCAGCGCCATGCTGCCACTTGCCCCTTGGCGGTTCATCGTAGGATGTTCAAAGTGGATATCAAAAATGTTGGTGGATTGCGCAAAGATGAGATCATCCAGTGACCATTTATAGAATGGAATAACGGTGATATACCTTTGAGTTTGTGTTATGGACAGGCCGGTGGACGACACCTGCTTTATACATCGACCTGCCACCAACATCGAGCCCAACCAGGCTGGCGGGCCCAGACGTCGACCAGGATATCGAAGCAACACCAACACAAAGATCCCATCACAACGTTACTATCCATACGCCCAATGCTTCAGTTGCATCATCCCGCTTCGACTCCGGCCATCGTGATTCATCCCATAAATCCCCACGGGGAAACTCTAATTCCTCGCCCCAGAACCTCTATCAAAACCACCTACCTATCTCCGCCTGCCTCCGGGTCCTGTTTCGGTCCAATCTAGAATCGGCCCATGACAGGCCCGATTAACCGTCTAGCCGCTTGCTCCGTTTGCTGCATGCCTCGATGAACATCTCTTGGCAGGTCATGCCGAGACCTTATGGTGAAATTGCATGCCAGATCAGCGTTGCAGTGCAGTTGGCCCTTTCCGGAGTGGGAGCCGGGTTTCTTAGATACCTGGAAGCACGGGAAGATATGCCGTCTCTTGAGATTTTAAAGAGTCAGTTGACTTCCGTCTGATATCTCAGACTTATACTCCATCGATGATTCTCGACCTCATATTTCTTGCTGTAAGTAAGTGTTTGTTGGCTTCCAAGACATCTTATCGCCGATCAAGGAATTCGGAAGACCACATTCCGAAGAGTACAATGTCTCACTGAATAAACAATCATTGGACAATCCGGAAGACCTAATTCGGACCGTATTATATTACCACCCCGAATATTGACGTCGGTCATTTAGCCGGGCCTATACTCGGCGGATTTTATTGATCTTCATCAGATAACCAACCCTATCGGTAGACTCGGCGAGTTTCTTTTAAGCTTACGCGTTTTAAGAGGAAATCTGGATTTCGAGAACGAAGGCATCGTTCGATGTCTTATACTCATTCGATTCAAAACGTCATTGACGACCCTCGGAGGAAGACATTCCGCATCCTATAGCGTCGGCGGCAGATCTGGTTAAAGATCGACGAATCGTGAAACTGAAGATACTTTACCAAAATTTGCTTAGTAAATGTTTCATAAACAAGGCTAAATAGCCGTGCCTCTTGACTATTCATGCGGGAAAAACTTTAATCAGATAAACTGCCGTAATCGTACCAAGTTTTCGCTTACAACGGCTTTTGCTACGCTACTATTTACATATTGGGAAGCTAGTAATTGCGAAAATGGGGCTTGGTAAGGTAAATGGTAAGGATAACGAGTCATTTGGCTTGTTCAAGAGGAGGTAGCCAGGAGCGGTGTAGCACTCTCAACCAGAGCAAGGTTACAGCGCACGAAGTATTTACTGGAATAGTAGTATTTCTCGGATGAATACGAGGGGAAGCCTGTCTCAAGATGCAAGATATCTCGGTACTTGTGCCGTGTAGCCGATGGCCATATTTAAAAGCATCGTGGACCTCTACAAAGTATTTCTACCTGGCCTGGATCAGGCCTCTGTCCATGACTGTCCGAGATTTATTTGGTCTTTTGCTCATATATGATGATTCTTGGAACAACGTCCAGATTGTGTCAGACAGAAACTTGATAGCCAGAGCTTTTAGGTAGCCATTTTCCTGCAACCTTCCTTGAATATGACGAAATACTCGTAGCCATCCCAAGACCTTGGAGGCTCTACTAGATCTTGAACAAAGAAAGAACCGTCTTATTATTTCCATTGCTGACAAAGGGATATGTCCTGAGACAATCTAAGCAAGGAGTTCGACGGGCTGATAAGGGATAGGGAATGCTCAATTAAGCGAACATTCTGACATGTAAGGTTGCATCCTAAGGTTGTTTGCACTGACGGCGGTACACTCTCTCATGAAAACATTAAAAAAGAGAAGAGGTAGAGTAAAAGAAGAGTGTATTTCCATGTAACAAACTGGATAGATTCTCTTGGTGTTTCTCACGTGATATTCTGCAGCCAAGTTCCAACCCAAGAGTCAGAATGCTCATTTTGAGACTGTATCATATGTGTTAGCAGCCTAAAGTTTAACATTATGGCCAGCAATCAGATACGTAGTTGTAGTAATGGCTTGTCAAGTGTAGATGCGCGAGATGAATCCTGTTGCTCTAGCTCGCTTTCAGTAACGAGATTACTGAAAAGCTGGATCGGACTTATCTTTCAAAGTTTTGAGATTTACTAAGTATGGAGGAAATCGACTAGCATATCGAGTCGACATGCAGGAAGACACTTACCATTTGTCATAACTGAATGCTCTATATATCAGTCTTTATTATGGCGGCCTTTTAGACCGTCAATTGACCGTCAATTGGAAGGCAGTCCCTACGACTTCTATCCGTACGAGCGAGTCATTGGCATCCCTTTGCCCATGTTCTCTGTGGTGATATAAGCTCCCAGCCACAAGTCTCAACTGCAAACAACACATCTATTACATCCATAACTATATCTAAATACGATACCGTTCCTGATGCAACCTCACTTGTTCATTATGGGCTGCCATCTGATAACCGCTTTACATCCCCCACGTGGCCATGGTCTTTAGACCTGCCTCTTTCGGCCACCATGGTCTAATTCCCGGCCTTAATTGCGGTGATCTGATACACGTTTTCCCCAGCACATTACAAGATCGACCGAGATACATACGTATCGCCGATGCCAAGGCGGACTCTCCTGTTGCAGACACTGTTGTACGTCAAAAATGCCTCGCATGGTGACTTGGACTTGTTATTCTATGGGCCATTGACAGGTCAACTTGCAGCGTCGTATTCTGCCAACATGCTGGTCCACTCACCCCACGAAACAACAAAAGATCCCAGGACAAGCAGTGTTGAGTACTGAAAGCTAGGTTCAGTACGTCGCTGGTAACAAATATTAAACCTTGAATCCGACTCATCCGATATATCGTCTCAAGATGAAAGGTTATGCGTTAAGGATCCATCTCAAATTGATAGATATGTGATCCGTGAGGAATGCTCTCATTAGACGAACAGGGCTGTTGGTGGAGTTCGTCTGAAACCCCAACCTTCAGCCGCAGTCCTTCATCTGCTTGCATCCTACAATCCTGGAACGAGCCAACCAGCAGTATGGTCAAGCGAGAGGAATGTGGAATGACGAATGTCCCATTTGTTCAAAATCAAGGTTGAGGATCGACCGTTTCATATGCCAAAACGAAACGATCCATCAGTCGGCCCGGCAAATCAGGTTCGTGATTGTTCTCCATCGCGGAAATATGCACGGTAGATAAATGGAGAGATCGGGCGGATCTATTCCGTTGTTATCAGGCCATATGCGCAGGTATGTGAATGGAGTATAATCCTTGCGAACCTTGATCACAGACATATATATCCGGGTCCTTGGGCAATGTGAATCTATTTCTTATAGCCTAATCAAGTAAGACAAAGAGGGATTGATTCCCATTGAACGAATATATCTTTCCCTGAATCATGCATCTCAAGTTAGCGTTACCTCTCTTCCTCGCCGTTGCTGAGGCCTGGACTCCTCAGTCCAGAGGTAAGGCATTATAATGTCTAGCAGATGGCAAATACTGACCATAAACAGCGGCGGCAAAAGCCAACGGCGAGAAGATTACCGAGCGATGGCTTCCAAATGATGATAGAATCCGCGGCGTCAATCTCGGCTCGCAGTTCATAATCGAACGATGGATGGCCGAAGAATCGTGGAAGAACATGGGCTGCAGTGCCTACAACGACGAATGGGCATGCGTCAAAGGCATCGGTCAGGACAAAGCCAACGCCGCCTTCAAGAAACACTGGGAGACTTGGATCACAGAAGATGACATCAAGCAGATTGCAAGTCTTGGTCTCAATGCCGTTCGCATCCCTGTTGGATACTGGATGTACGAGGATATCATCCAGAAAGGCGAATACTGGCCCCGCGGCGGCATCTGGCATCTTGACCGAATTGTCGGATGGTGCAAGAAGCATGGCATTTATGCGGTTATTGGACTCCACTCTGCTCCTGGTATTAGCTCGCCGAACGAACAGTTCACCGGCCATGTAAGTGACTATCTCCCCTCATCAAACATATACTAACCAAGTTGCAGTCCATCCCCAATCCTGGATTCTATACTGCCGAGAACTATGAACGAGCCTTCAAGTTTCTCGAGTGGATGACCAAGCGCATCCATACTAATGGGAACTACACTACTGTTGGCATGCTCGAGGTCCTGAACGAGCCCGTACGCGCTGGCAAGTGGAAGGCTGAGGCAGATGACATGATCAAGAATTACTACCCTGGTGCATACAAGCGCATCCAGGCCATGGAGGGTTACCTCAAGGTTCCCAAAGCCGATCGCTTACACATCCAATACATGGTAAGCTACATTAAAGAGACATATTAGTGTATCTCGCGCTGACCCGATGATAGGGCAAAAGTTGGGGTGCAGGCGACCCAAGACAATACCTCCCAGACGACGATCTCATCTTCTTCGATGCCCACCGCTACCTATCCTTCGACAACAGAATCGCCGGTAATAAGAAAGCATATATCCAAACCGCCTGCAAAGACAACATGGGCCAGCACGTTTTTGTTGGTGAATGGTCCCTATCCGTGAACTCAACTTTGAAGAACACAGATGAGTTCAAGATTGAAGGCCAAGAAACATGGTACAAGGCTTACTGGGCCGCTCAAGCTGAGTCTTTTGAGAAATCAGATGGATGGTTCTTCTGGTCTTGGAAGTGTGACGGAGATCTTGGCAAGAAGGATTGGAGATGGTGTTATCAAGCTGCTGTTGCCGCTGGTGTTATTCCCAAGGATGCTAGTAAGGCTAAGAGTTTGAGCCCTTGTGCTAGGTATACCAACTAAGTTGTAGAACCTTGGTGGGTCAGCTCCGTTCTTCAATTCTGTATATAGTTTGAACCTCTTACTCGGTTATTGATGCCGAGCGAGTACAGAAATCTTGACTTGGAGTATCAGAAGTCTAGCGAATTGTTCCACTGCCGAAGCCATTGGCCTATCATTTCTTTCCCATGGCGCCAAAGTTAGCGGATTAATTGGTGTCCGCTTCCCGCTGGGCCTAGTGGTGAATCATAGGCGTTTCAGCTCGGACATGTTGCATCGTGAAACGCTGCATGTCGAGAGAATATCGGTGTAAATAACAGTTCCAATCGCCTCCCCCAAACCCAAACTAATCTCTTGTTCTTCCAGCTGAATCTCTCTTCACCTATTTGCTCTCTTATATCAACGACATGGCCGATCGCTACGTCACCATTCACGAGTCCCCCAACGGGCCAGGAGACTCACGACCAACAGCTATCAAGATCATCAAGGATGAAGGCCTGGAAGGAAAACTGAGCGATCAAACCGTCTTCATCACCGGCTGTTCTGCGGGCATCGGTATTGAGACCGCGAAAGCGCTGCATCTCACTGGCGCAACTCTATATCTAACGGCTCGAGACCTCGAAAAGGCAAAGTCAGCCTTGGGTGATCTTGCTGAAGATGAGCGCGTTCATCTTCTCGAACTTGATCTGGAGTCGCTCGAGAGTGTTCGATCATGCGCTGCCAAGTTCTTATCCGAGAGTCCGAAACTCAATATCCTCATCTGCAACGCTGGGGTCATGTGTACACCAGAAGGACGTACGAAAGAGGGCTTCGAAACACAATTCGGGACAAATCATCTTTCTCATTTCCTTTTGTTCCAACTCCTTCAACCCGCCCTGGCCAAAGGTGCTACCTCTGATCGTGCATCGCGAGTCATCATGCTGAGCTCACTTGCCCATCGTTTCGGCGAAGTGGACTTTGACAACGTCAACATGGAGGGCTGCTACGATCCCAACAAGGCGTATTCTCAAAGCAAGACTGCCAACCTCTGGACAGCTAACGAGATTGAACGGAGATATGCCAGTGAGGGTATCCATGCGTGGAGTGTCCAGCCAGGTGGTGTCCTCACAGATCTGGGCAGACATTTATCTGAGGAACAAAAGAGCGGCCTCGCAGTGGATCCATATCTCAAGACAATTTGGAAGCTTCCAGATCAAGGTGCTGCTACAAGTGTTTGGGCAGCTGTCGCTCAGGCTTTGGAAGGTCAAGGTGGGAAGTACCTCGAGGACTGTCAAATCGTCGGGAAGTGGGATCCTTCCACTCCGCTTTATGCAAGAGGATACGGGGAGCATGCATGCGATACTGAAAAGGCGGCAAGATTATGGAATAAGTCTCTGGAGTGGGTAGGCTTGTAGTCAACGCAGTCAACTTTCAAGGGTACGTGTTATCCTTTTACGGCTTGGGGGACTGTAACCACTGCCTGATTTCTCGTAGAAATCTTGTCAAGGATGCCAATAATACCTGCATTTCCATATTTAGATTCCGTCCTGCCGAAGGATTCTCACCTCTCGAGTCAAGGAAAGCAGTCATGTCTATGCTGAGGATGCCCAAAGCCTGATCGCGGTAACGTTGTATCTCACCATCTCGTAAATCTTGCCCAAAACATCACGAGAGACAGATTAGGGGGGAGGAAATTATATCTCACAGCCATGCCATTAGACTCTTGTATTTTACCCTCAATTCATTGGTCTAGAGTCCCGACGGTAGATTAAGAGAGAGTACGAGGTTAATAATATCCCCGGCATCTACCGGACCCCTCTTCAATAGCGTCGATTAAACTAGCGAATCACACCCCTCTCTATTATCACCAACCCTTGGCGATACTGAATATCCTCACCCAACTCTTGCACATTTTGTTGAAGTGATCATCATTCGCAAGCCAATGACTTGGCAAGTGATGTCGGGCCTATTTCTAAACCCGGAAAACCGAGGATGATGATGCCATACTCCACCTGTAATGCGTTCGTATCCGACGATGTCGGCTCTTGCACGAATTCGGGTTGATGCCGACTGATATGCGGGGGATTTAAGCTTAAATGGCATTGATCGATGAATCCGAGCGATATATAAACATGGCCTGTTTCCTCTTTTCTGTTTCCCTTTGCTCTCTCACCCCTCCATCACCATGAAGGTCCTGTCAAACCTCGGGACGCTTCTGGCCTTGTCGCCTGTTGCGCAAGCTACAGGAGGACATTACAACACCGTTAAGCTTGATGGCTACGGCAGTTTCTCCGGTACCACTGTCAACAGCACTTTCACCAAGCAGAAACTTCCTGCGCCTGTTGATGCTTGGTTGGGTATCGACTATGCCAGTCAGCCTACTGGCGACCATCGCTTTCACCCTGTTTCTTGGCCCGAGAAGTTCAATGGCGTGAAGAAGGCGGATGACTTTGGCAAAGCTTGTGTCCAAGAAGTCTCATCCAGAGTCCCGCTTGACTCACAGAGCGAGGCATGCCTCAACTTCAACGTGTTTCGACCCAAGGGTGTACCTTTGAGCAAGAAACTCCCTGTTCTTGTGTGGATCCACGGCGGTGCTTTTTACGCTGGAAGCTGGGCTAGTTTCGACGCCGCTGCATTCGCCGCCTCATCCAAAGTTCCCATCGTGGTAGTCAACTTTCACTACCGCGTCAACTCTCTCGGCTTTCTGCCATCCAAGCTCTTCCAAGACGAGGGACTGTCGAACCTAGGGATCCGAGATCAGCGCTTTTTCCTGGAGTTTGTGCAGAAGCATATTGGTGCATTTGGCGGTGATAAAAACGCTGTTACTATTGGTGGTCGCTCTGCTGGTGGCCATTCAGTGGGCATTCACTACTTTCACAACTACGGCAAGGATAAGAAGCAGTTGTTTGCTCGGGCGATTCATCAGTCTGGTTCGGTCACTTCACGAGCTTTCCCTAATGACACTTATCCGTTGTACAAGCGACAGTACGACGAGTATATTACTTACCTTGGATGTGATAAGAAGAAGGGCAACAAGGCAACTCTCAAGTGCCTCAAGGGAGCAGATGTTCATGCTATCAGAAACATCAGCACCAAGTTGTATCACGACTATGATCCCCAGCTGACCTGGCCATTCCAGCCCGTGCATGGCGGACCTCTCTTCGAGAAACCTGGCTCTCAATCTGGTTACGACGGAACATTTTTCCACGTCCCGACGATCACATCCACAGTCACCGACGAAGCGAAGTATTACACCCCTGGCGACCTCGAAACCAACAAGGAGTTCTTGGATTATCTCCACAACATCTCACCAGCTTTGACCAACAAAGATCTGAAGGAGTTATCCGCGCTTTACCCCGATCCCGCGAACCACAAAGACTCGCCATTCGCCAACTCACCCAACAGCACTCAATACAACCGCATCTCCGCCGCCTGGAGCGATTACGCCTACATCTGCCCCGGCCAAGAAACAGCATACCGCGCCTCCACCGCCGGCGTACCAACCTGGAAAGTGCGCTTCAACACCAACAACAGCTTCCCCGCGTGGCAGGGTATTCCTCACACGGCCGACACGGGATTTACCTGGGATGAGCCTACTACTCAGTATCCCGAGATCAGCCATATCTACCATGGGTACTTGGCTAGTTTTGTTGCGACAGGTGATCCTAACAAGCATAGGTATCCTGGAAGTCCAAAATGGCCTACTTATAATGGACGAGAGAGATCGCCGAAGCAAATTGTTGTTCAGCCGGGTGATACGAAGGTTGAAAAGGATAATATTCGAACGGAGGCTTGTCTTTGGTGGAGAGATCCTGAGAGAGCACCGAGACTGAACAAGTAATCAGCATCACCGAGCCGAGGTATTCTGCAGCTTAGTATAGTTTACGGTTATGAAGATGATAGATAGTCAAAGATTCATAAAATGTTAAATGCTCGATTCAGGCTTCTATAATTCTATAATACTGCTCTAACCTCGTGATCTATTCTCGCTAACCCCTGGTCCCACGTCTATGCCTTCGTAGCCTCCAGATATCTCTGACTGAAAGTGTAGTCATTGTATCCCTTGTCGCTCTTAGGAACATAGAAAGTATCCCGCTGGTAAGGCGTCAAAGCCACGCCATACTTAAGTCGGAATACCAAGTCAGGGTTCGAGATGAACCATCGCCCAAAAGCAACAACAACATCCCACTTCTTGTAACTCCCATCAACTGAATCATAAACATTGTCAGGGATATATCCACCTCCAACAATCACAGGAGACTGGTTATCCCACATCTCGAGAAAGTACTCCAGACTCTGCTTCCTGTCCCCAAAGGGACTAACCTTGTCTGAGCCAAGATCTTTAGGTGTAGCATCAAGATAAGCTGGGTTACCTCTGGGCTCAACAAGTGAGACGTAAGCGAGTTTGTAGCCAGCTTTCTTAAGCTCGTTGAAGATGTAGCCGAATTGATCCCAAGGATTGGCGGTATAGGCGCTCTGGAATGTTGCAAAGGGACTTAGACGAAGGGCAGTTCGCTCGGCACCGATTTCTTCGACGGTGGCTTTTATGACTTCTAGGAGGAAGCGAGCGCGGTTTTCGACGGAACCTCCCCACTTGTCGGTTCTGCTGTTGATACTTTCGCTGATGAATTGGTCGATAAGGTATCTGGAGCAGATTTTGTTAGCAACTGGATTTATTTCGCAAGAAATGACAGTTCTTACCCATGAGCACCGTGAATCTCAACACCATCACCACCAGCATCAACAACATTCCTAGCAGCCTGTCTAAACTCTCCAATCTTCTGCCAAATCTCCTCCTCCGTCAACGCCTCAGGCGCCACATTCTTGCCCTCCATCTGAAGACTACTGCTCGACGAGTACTTATACCCTCTCTTCTTCAAATATTCCGGATCACCCGCCCTTCCAAGATCCCAAAGCTGCTGAAACATATAACTTCCCTTAGCATGAACAGCATCGTAGATCTTTCTCCAGCCCTCGATTTGCTCTGGGGAGGTGATTCCTGGTGCATTGGGGACTGCTTCTCCTGTTTTGGAGATACCGGTTGCCTCGCTGATGACGAGCGTTCCGGGGGTTGAGGCGCGGTCGGCGTAGTATTTGATCATGAGGTCGAGGGGCAGATGGTCATCGTCGTTGCGGAAGCGGGTTAGAGGGGCGAGGGCGATGCGGTGGGAGAGGGTGGTGTTTCCCAGCTTCAGGGGCTGCCAGAGTCTTGATTCAGTTGACATGCTGGTTATTGATTGAGATAAAAAAGTAACAATTGTAGAGTGGTTATGCTTTAGCTAGAATGATGCGCAGTGACTTATGATTGTATTGTGATGATGGGCTCTAAACTTCAGAGGAGTATTGTCTTTAAATACATTTTCAATGGCAGTTGATGATATTTAATCGTCCTGTAGATTATCAAGCGAAACGTAGCACTCGGAGCAACAGTCAAGAGGATTAAAATTTCCCAATGCCCATACGAAACTCCACGGTATACGAAACTGCACGCCGTGGAGCCCATGGCGATCAAACCACTAATTCTGCAGTAAATCCCCTCATAATATAACGTAAAATATGGCTAGGAATGCTTGATAATCAGGGTCATGGCAAACATTTTTGGGGGAAGAAATCGGAGAATTACTTCAAGGCCCCGACGTCATTTTCCTTACGAGAGCTGACCCTACGAGTGGACCAATTGGCTTCTAGAGTCAGCGTTACGTGATTTGAAACCCTCCAACGTTCTTCATGGTGATTGGCTACGACGGTCAAAGTTCGACCGAAGATCTGCTAAGCCCTACGAGCATTAATAATGCTCTCTTGCAGCATTTGCATAACAGGCCAGGAACAAGAACGGCGGTGCATAATCTTGCGATTAATAACTATGTAACTCTGTATCCAATTTCCCCAAGTTCATCCTCCAACTTAGTTCCCCATATATCCCCCCGTCTCCTCCGTCCACCGCATTCAAGCCCTGTCCTTATGGTAACACAAAACCCAACCAAACTCCACAGGGTTGGTACTAATCAGCGCCGGCTTCTCATGACTAAACTCAGCGCTGCCCAGCTGGACACCGTATTTATCTTGATACCGCTGACAAACAACATCGCTGAGTTCAGGTGATTGAATATCGGGGATATTGACGTTGAGACTCTCGAGACGCAGCTCGGTGACTTGGTAGTCGAGAGTGGTAAGTTGCGCAAGGGGAATTCTAACGGGTTGGCGGCTGTGGTCGGCGGAGTTGACGATCATGATTACCGCATTGGCAGTAGGCGCTTGACGGGCTGTTGGTTGAGACGTTGCTGTTGAAGCGAGCGCGATAGCGCTGGTGAGGAGAGTTGTGAAATGCATGGTGATGATCTGACGTTGAACTTCTGATGTTTGGTAGAGATGCGAATGTACTAATATCAAGATCAACAAGTTGGAAGTTCCAAGAAGATACTTTTATACCTTTCTCGATTCTTTCGTTTATACACGTCAACCCTCTAATAATAGCATCGCGCCTCAAATACCCCAAGCCCCGTCTCCGCCCCCATGTCGTGTGATGCACATGTCAGCACTTGTAAAATTTACGAGCCTTCTTGGCCCTGTCCTACGGATGTCGATCGCTTTCTTATTTTTTCTCCGCGACCACTCAGAGACCAGTATCTGAGACAAGTCAGCTGTTAGATTTGTCTCGGACATAAATCACGTTATGGTTGGGTGGAGAGACAATCTCGAGATTAATGCTATCTCGTATTCATTTATAGATGATATAATATTTTGGGAGTTGTGATTTGCACATGTCATATAGAGCGCTGCGTATGGCCGGATGTGATGAGGGAGATGAGAGAACTTCGGTAATGTCCTAGTTGGGCTATTTAGATTCGTATTGAGGCTTGATTGTACAACATGTGTACTTGGCATGAGATTGATGATGCTTACAGTAGTAGGTTGCCTCTATGAGACCCTAGAGTTCTTCTGCGAAAAGCACTATGAGCGCATCATGTGCCTTTCTTCAGCCTTCAATCATCTCACGCTGACGCCAAGTTCTGATCAGTGCTCACAGAAGTTGTAATCAATCGCCTCCCAGTGAAACCTCGCCTTCTCCGCAGTCCGCTCATCCATCAACTTCAGCCGATGCGCCCGCGCTTCCTCAACATCCGTAAGGCCCCCAGGTACCTCACCGCTTCCAGTCCACCAATCCTTTTGCTGCGGCGGCACATTCGCCGTTGAAAGGATTCGTCGGTGCGGATCAACCAGCCAAAGGGCGATGAAGCGTCGATGTCCTGGCTTTGTTGGATCTTGTAGCTTGAAAGAGGACACGCGGTGTTGACTAGACGAATATTAATAAAATATGATTATTTGGGGGAGAAGGACTTACAAGACATTGGGAAAAGCGAGGAGACGGCCCTCCGGCGTGCCGACGTCTCCGTAGCTCTGAACACAAGATCTAGCGAATCCACCTTGCGCTCCTAGATCTGTGCCATACACCCTTTCAAGATAGTTGTAGCCATCCTGGCCAGCCTTGATGTCATCATTAAGATACGAGCTTGTTTGCATACGGAAGGATAAACGACTTGGCGTGACGTTCTCGCTGTCGAAGTAGTACAGCGCAGTGGCGGCGATCTTCTCGTTCATCTGACCTTCGAGCTGCCAGATTGTCAGTATGCTAAGTTTCCCGTTCGTAGTACTGGGGGTTGACTTACATGCCAACTTCCATCGGAGAACTCGGGCTTCTCTGGTGTGAGTTCAATGCTCGCCATCTTGACAATGATTTGCAAACCATCCTTCTTGAACTTCTCCCACAAGCTCTGCTTTGGTGTGTAGTCAATTTCTTCAAATGGCTTTGGATCAGGGAGTATCGCGTCGCGGTACTTGACCCATTTTACTTCAGCCATGGCCTCATCATCGACATTGGGCGTAAGAGGAGGGAGGCCTTCGTTCATTCTGCGTTGATACTCATCTTCATCGAACTCAACTGGGTCCTCCGCATCGTGGTAGCACTCTTCTTCGAGGTCTCGAAGTTCTTGATGCGTGAGCTCGACGTCTTTGTGAAGAAATTCCTCCACATCAAACTCTGGCGTCCACAAATCGTCATCCTCATCACTGCGATTCATTAGCCACATAAAACAACACTGCTGCAAGAGAATCTCGGCTTACAATGCTTCATGGATCCATTCAAACCGTGACTTATCTCTCCCCGCAAAGGTCTCGTCGCCGAAACGAGGGACCTCTCGCAAACATTGATCCCAAGCAGGAATAGCCCTGTCAACCAACCTCTCAATAGTCCTGTAAATTTCAGGAAACTTTGTAGGGTGGAGATTATTCACGTAGCTCGTGAACTCAGCACTGCCGTCCTCGCGAAACCCAACGTTGGCGGGGAGCCACTGGTATCTATCGGACCAGTACTCCGGGAGAACCTTGCCTGAACCAATCCCAAATTTTGACCGGAACTCATTCTCTCGGACTAGAGGGGTCTGCCCTCTCACGGGTTCGCCTTTGCCCATGAAATCAAGTGCGTTCGATACGCCGACAACTTCATCTTGAATGAACGGTGAACGATCTGTTGATTATCAGTAACAAGCCTTTAGTTCCTGGTGCAGAGGAGATACCGTAGACGAAATTGTGCATGGAAGGATGGATGAGGTTTTGGACCATATGGTTGCTTCGCGGATGCCAGTCGACATTGCCTTCTTGATCCTTCCAAAGGGTATAGCACGCTCTGTTAAGATCCCGGTGGAGGTTCTCGTCGATGAACGAGTCTGACTTGATGATCGTGTTGCCGGGTCCATCAAAAGTTGGAATGAGACCTGACTGCGCAAAATACATTGCCTTTCCGCGTAGCTCTTCGACACACTGCCAAATATTAATCACCAACCACCAAAAAAATGCACTGCACCGTCAACTCACGTAGTCAAACGCCGCATCAGTGACGATCCTATCCCTAGGCTTACGAGGACCCTGCCCCAGCTTATCCTGCAGAATTTTTGCGTACAAACCATCCTCACCCTGCTGGCGCGCTTCATCTCTCCACTTTTGAACAATCGTCTCATCAAAGACCTTTTTGTGCCAATCTGGTTTATCCGTGAATACATCCATGAGAATCATCATCGCAACCTCTTTCACCGGCATGATGGTAGATTCGCTCCCCGAGTATTCGGGAAATCCAATGGGATAAAACAAATACTCATCTTTGAAGTTGAATTCCCTCTCAGGCATTTCTCGCAGGGCGAGATTTACGCCTGGATAAAGATGCGTTGGTGTCGCCATGGTCGACGAACTCCAGGGGAGGAATAACTGTGGCTGGTTGACGACTAAGCACGCGTATAGCAGGCCGAGATGTAGTTTTAGAAGCAACAGTAGGAAGAACTTCATGGAGAAGAAGGCCGGTGATGGAAGGGCCTGAAATGCGGAAGCTTCATGGTATTTAAGCAAAACATAGGAGGGAACGTGGGCTTTTGTGGTCTGAGAAAACATGGGCGTGAATTCGTTTCGTGAACTTAGAAATCAGGCAGACGCGTGCAAATACAAGCTTTTTTTCCTATCTAGACATGGCCACAACTTCATCAAGCTATTGGTGGAGACGTAATATTTATCTTCTTTGATAAGCTCTAATTCGATTTCGCATAACTTTAAGACTTTTGTTCACAAAGGGGCGAAATTCTTTACGACGTCACAAGCCCAAGTAATCGTTGTAAGCTGGGCAAGTAATGTGATCAAGGCACCTTTATGGAATATCTAATGAGGAATAAAAATGAGGGATGTTAGTCTCAAGCTAGTCTAGGACGGTGACCGGTAATGGGAAAACGTATCCCAGCATTTACGATAGTGACTCTTCTGTGGTATGAAGACTCAAGAATGACAGCTGCGTGCTGCGGAGTTTGTCTGCCACTGCCGTCATAGTGAAGGCAGCTTCTCCAGCACCACATGTGATCAATCACGAAGTCAAAGGTAAGTGCAATCATTCCCCGTTAATTTCCTGGCAGTGATTGAGTCATACGGTAAGGATTGTATAGATCCTCCTCGAGAGGTTCCGGGTAGTCCAATTTGTCATGATATTCACGCGTCAAGTACGATTCTAACAGGGCTTCGCGTTGATTGGCTCAAAACCTCACGTAATCACATCAGCCTGAATCCGATCTCCGATTCCGACTCCGATTTTGCTCTGGCCTTACTCCATCCAAACCATTCAATCTCAATTCTCGGACATCACCACAAAATTTCCCCGTTACCGATTCACACTCGCATACTCACCTAAGTATGGAGCAACTAAGTCCGTGCAGTTCAAGCTCCCCAAACCGCAGCCAAGTCCAGAAGCGACGCCCCAGAAAACCCTTGAACTGCGATCCCTGCAGACACTCCAAGCTGAAATGCGACCGGGGACTGCCGTGTGCGACGTGCCTCAAACGAGGCTGGCAAGATTCTTGCGCCTATGGATCAAGCTTTACGGGTCCGCAGAAGCGAAGGAGGACTAGGCTTGAGGTTGTTGACTCTGTGCCTCAGCAGCAAGTCCAGGTTCAATCCGTGGAGGTAACAGAGATAGTGTCATCTCCGAGCTCGACGCCTGAGCCGATACAACAGCGATGGGATCACATTCTGCGTCGACCATCTGTTGAGAGGAGTGTTATACCAGACTCACCGAACCCGACGGTTACTCTGTCCTTTGGGCCTTGTGTTCCAATCACCCAACTGCTTGCGCTTTTACCCCCAACTTCTGTGACTGAGTACTTGGTATGCCGCTATTTCGGAACACTCTCATCACTGTTCCATATTCTCCACGGCCCGACATTCCAGACTCAGTACTTGGACTTCCTTGAAGCCCCAGAGAAGACGAGTCTGTCATGGCTGGCCGTTCTCTTCGCTATCATCTCATTGACACTCAAGACCATTGAGCCAACAGACGCTGGGCTTGTTGTGTTATGGCAGGACACCACCATCCCTCGTGATTTATCGGTATTGTCACAAAAATACCGAAATGCGGCCATGACGGCCCTATCACAAGATCAGTTCTTGGTTCGCCATGATCTCAGCACGCTCGAGGCTCTTCTCATCCTGGTTCATATGATATCTCATAATGAAGGACCAGAGTATGGCTGGGCGCTTCTCGGCAGTGCACTCAACATCGCCATTGCCCTGCGTTGCCATACGGGTATCGAAGGACCTAATTGTATTGAACAAGAGCGACGTCGACGTTGCTGGGCAGGCATCCTGATCATCCATACCTACCAAGCCCTCTGCTTCAGAGACATCGACCTCACGTTCCTGTTGAACATGAAAGCAACAATGCCGGCATGGGTCAACGACAAAGACATTCAAGAACACAGTATAAAACAATCGCCCAAGGATTCGCCATGCGAGTTCACTGACACCTCACTCCTGAAGTTTCAGGTTCGACTATTCCAACTGTCTACACAAATCTGCTCTCATATCTCCGGTGACGACAAACTCAACACAACGATTTTACATCAGTATGACACAGCTGTAGCGAAAGAGCAATTGCAATGGGATGCCGCATATCTCGTAAACGGTCGCCGGAGTATTCTCAACACAGCAGGCTATGCTCATTGGTGCATGCTCCAAACCTACGCGCATCAACTCTACCTCCTTCTTCATCGGCCTTATCACAGCTCCAAAGCGAGTCATTTCCGCGCCGAGTCAAGAGATAAGTGTATCAAGTCAGGTCTCGCATTACTTGATGTCCATCACCAATTTTACGAACTCCCGCGGCTGAAGTGTTATCGCTGGCTCGTCAAGGGCGCGATCAGTTGTAATGCACTTCATGGAGCTGTCGCGCTTACGTCATGCATGCTGGACATGCCTGATGACTCTGATCTCACAGAGCACATATTTGCTATCGACGCTGCTATAACCCGAATGGAAGCGCTTAAGATGAAAAGTCCAGCCTGTTCAAGTGTCTATCGCGTAATTCGTTGTCTTCGGTACGTCGTCCCAGACTGTCTATCATCAACGGAATCAATGGAGACTAACCTAAGTAGATCTTATCTTTCGAAGCGAGATCCTGCGCCGACTTTCTTGCCAGAAGATGTCGAGCTTAGGTTTGAGGACTGGGCTACCAATGTCGACTGGTTTCGACCCGATGGGATTGACTGGGTAAGTAATGAGCTTTCACTATAGCTTCTCGAGGGTTCACTAACTGGAGTAGGAACTCTGGGACTCGGCTTACATCACCCCACAAACTGATAATGCTACGGCTATGATGACCTGATGAGTTGGTAGTAATGAATTTTGGTATCATAGGTAAAGCAGGCGCTGACCCATATCCGTGGTATAATCTAAAAACTAAATACATCTAATATAACTCCTCTCATCTGACGACTATCCCCATCATGCTTCACTATATGCCGGAGGTGGAACCTCATAATCCTCCACCACAAAGTCCCCCTTGCAGTATTTCGGCGGAACACTGATACCCTCTGCCAAAAGGCTGTTGGCCTCCTTTGCGGCAATAACATGATCCCTCACAAAGACACCCCATCCGTTAACCGGCAACTCTGGTGAGATGAAGAGATGTATAGGCATCGAGATCTCCTCCTCTGTCGTGACGCCATTGTTGGTCAACGTAACCTCAAAATGTAGCGTATGCGTGATAGAAACTCCGCAGACTGAAAAGTCAGGTGAGCAGTTCCTCACAGCGATCGGGAGGTGTAAGCATTGCTGCCACCGTTGCTGAGGTTCGTCGCTCAACTCCAACGGCCACTCCGTCACTATCCGTTGACCTTCATAACCCGGATTTTCTGCATCAGATTTGTTCTCCACATCGTGCTTTTCCCGCAAGAAAAACCTGGCTTTTGTGATCTTAGCTGTCGGATTGACCGGCGCAAGGTGAGCTTCGATAGGAATCAGTCCTCCCAGGGCAATCGCGCGATGTCGGATGGAAACGTTGTACTCCGCCTTCTCTGACCACTTCCCCTGCACCGTCGTCGGATCCATGAGTTCATATGATGAGAAACCTGGTGTGCGAATAATTCGAAGCGGCGAAAACGTCTTGAAGCTGTCCGATGAACTTTCATCAACCGTCCAGGCTTCCAGGAGGTATGTGATACTGCATCGCGTACAACCCTTGAAAGATTCCTCCTGATCACCTCGAATGAACAACTCAAAAGGCCACTCAAAATTCTCCCCACTCTTGAAAGGCTCCCCAATTTTATCGACGACATTGAATGGCGCCCATTGATGAACAGTGCTTTCACGCCGTTGCCACTTTACAGCCTCTTCGGCATCAACCTTGTGATCGCTGTGAAGCGTTAACCGTTAGCTCCCGCCGTCAGCATCAAATCTTCGGGGTGAACCTACCCAAGCCACATTCGACTAGTCAGTTTTAGCTGAACGCTGGTAATGTTTTGTCCTTCTGGGACGAAGAGAGACAGCTTTCCGCGAAGATATTGGCCTTTTGCATCTTCGCCGTTTCCACTGACGAAGACGTAATCGTAGTCCGGTCTGCAAGGTCAGCCAGGGGTCAGAGAGCTGGTGCTGGAAGATGTACCGTATTGTGAGACGAGGTCGGTGTTGACCTGTGATTCTGGCCATGATAGACCGCATCGACTTTTTGGTGGACATGCTGATGAATTCGAGATGGAGTTGCTGAGTTGTGGCGTGACAAGATGGGATGAATGATCAAGCAAATCCTGGAAATTATAGACGATTCTTGAAATGTTGCTAATAGCAAGTGAATCAGTGTCAACTTATCATCCGATCAATGTCAGAAATGCAACGGTGAAAAAGTATGGGACCGTGGCTTTTATTAAGCCCCAAAACATCTAATTCCGTCCCAGCCAAATCCGATTTTGAAGCCATTCAAATGTCCTGCTTGCTCCAAATCGGACTTGTCATCCCCGATTAATCGGACTTTTCTATTATTAGTCACCCGTTCTCAGTGCCTTAATACCTAAATAGGAAGTCTTCTGAGTGGCGACAAAATCGGACATATCAGCCCCACTCGGACATACCAATTCCATCCTCCATTAGAAATTATCAGGAAAAGTCCGTTGTAATTGTGATTGTGACGAGTGGCTATGTACGTTATGTAAACTGTTTAGTTTATCTTGGCAACGTCTGATCATGAGATGAAGATTTAATAAAACGTCACAAGGTTTCTTGGTAAAATGGGGTTTCTTTTATTTTCCTTATCTGGAATTTAAAATCTGGAGACAACTTCCAACGGCTTTTTTTACCACAGAATATAAATCAATCTTTTATCTTGCTCCCAATGGCTTTTGACATTTCTTCGGCATATCTTCATCACGGTCCACGCAGCACCGCAACGATGCTTGACATAATATCCCACGTGCCCGCGCACTTGACCAAAGCGCTTTACATCCCAAAACATGACGACACAATCTCTCATTTCGCGATATATGACATCTCGAAGGAATATTCCGAAAAAGTGGGCATTAATCCCATGGGCTCGGAGAGTTACAAGGTGGAGCTATGCCTTCTTCGAAAGCCTAGCGGATATCATGCCGGTGACAACGCTCGGTTCCTGGTAGACGTCGACGCTAGTGTCTCTATTCATGAGAGAGTTATGGGTCGAGACCCTTTGGATGCGGAGGTGTAAGTTTGATACGTGTGGGGAGGAGAAGCTTATACTGATGTTTGTAGATCATCGCCGATCGATGGAGAAAGGAGTGCTAAGTTGCAGATACACACGGGAGATTCCTCGTTCGAACTCAGTGGGCACGAATATTACCCTTTGCCAGAGAAGGAAACGAAGAAAAGGATCATCCGGTACCCATACATGAGCATGTCCGGGAATCACGGGCCTTCGAAAGCGCTCCGTTGTGACTGGCAGGTTCATCCAGCTGAGAAGGGACCTCTGCGCTATGAACTGGTGGACCTAGATCGACAAGGCGAAGGTGATGGCTCGATACTAGCGATCTATCATCACCATGGCTTCGAGAGCGAGCTACCTACATCTTACAGCCACGGAGTTCTCCTCCTCCCAAATGACTCCACGCCATTGTTTGACATTACTGTTGTGTCAAGTCTTATGGCTCTTCTGGCCACGATTCGCAAGCAACCGGCGGCACGAAAACGATCACGCTTTCGGTCTTTGATGGCGTCTTTATGAGGATGAATGTAATTCGAGGGGGCAGGAAGGAAGAATAATAATACCCATAGCGTTAAATCCTCAGATTGTAGTAACCAGATAATTATCCTGAAACGATTGTATCAGTTCAACAAACTCACTTTCCCAGCCGCGAGCCCACGAGATGTCTTATCCAAGAACGAACTCTCCATCTCACTCAACTTCTCTGCTAGTCCAATGCGTCTCCGTGACTGAACCTCCCAGTCTTCAAGAGTCTTTAGACTCCCATGGGGACCAAAACCATAATACTTCTCCGTGGCTTTAGGCCATGATTCCTCCCCGGAAATAAACTTGATCCACGCCTCGCGCATCGCCTGACCAACGCGCTCAGCACTAGGTGAGAAACTCAGATCGAAGCCTCCGAACAAGAGAACAAGGTCGATGGCGTGATGAGCTCCACTTGAAGGCTGCCATGGATTTGCTTCGTCTATCAGACATCTGAAAACGGGCTTCCTTGCATCCTTGAAGGATTTCTCGAGGCACTGGATTGGTAGCAGGTACTTGTAGTCGTTGATAAAGTCCAATGCCCCATTTTTGCAGGATGAAGGTCGGTCGGGGTAGATATGATACAACTTCTTGAGCTCGTCGCCATATTGCTCGGAAGCATCAAAGGCTTTCGCTATGTCGCTGGGGTCTGTTGCCCATACTCCTGCTTGGTAAATGGCTCCCTTTTACACGTTAGTATCCATCTCATCTGATGACCATCATTTACTAACCTCTTTCGTCACGTCGCTGAGAAGTAATCTCTCTGCACTGCCTGTCTTGGTATGCCAAGCATTGAAGGGTTCCTCCCATTCGAGGAAAAATGACTGTACGCCAGATCTTCTGACCGCCTCAACAACCTGACTTGCAGATGCAGTTTCCAAATCGAGCGTTTGATCCAGGTCCTTCAAGTTCGTGGAAACCTTGTCCCGAAAACTTGCTACCAAATGCCAAGGCTGAGGTGACGACAGGAACAATGAGCCAGATGATAGAATGACTTGTCGCACGCGCGCATTTGCAACCAGGTGGGCGTGACAATAAATAGCCCCGGCACTCTCGCCCGCTAAAGTAATCATACCCTGCACGTTTTGTTAGCCCATTGCTCTTCTAGCTTTAGAATGTTTGAGTACCGGATCGCCACCAAATCCTGAAATATGATCTTGAACCCACTGCAAAGCCAGCTCTTGATCACGAAGAGCTAAGTTCGGAGGCCCCCCTCCATTGCCAAGAGCAAAGACATTGAGTCGATACTGAACGGATACAGCGATTATTGGCTTTCCCAAACGGATCGAATCAGCCACTATTTTGCTCATGTCTGATGGAACACGTTAGTTCGCGCAATCACTTGAGCTAGGCTCATACCGCAGACTCCGGATGCAGCGCTTCCAAACGTCACGGCTTGTGAACCTCCTGTCCCATGTTTAGCTTCTGATAGTAACGGTTCGACGTAAATTTTACCATGTATCCAGACCAAGACCGGCAAGTTGAAATCTCTTACGTCAGGGCCCCTGTCAGGCATTACGACATCTAAATTGGTGCATTTGAACTCATCCTCCGGCTCATGTGGGAATGTATGATCTGGAGGAACGCGCAACAAATGTCCGACATCGACAGCAACTTGCGGACATCGAGGTCTAATTGTTTCAGTTCTCTTGAGCTTTAAATATTGGAAGTAGGAGGCCATACCCAAAGTTAGTGCAGTCAAGAAATCTGGAATATCTATCCAGTTTTTCAGGCGCAGCGAATCGTCGAGGAACGCGGCCATACGGAATGCCTCGAAATTGAATCACGTCCGAGGTCCTGAGACCTGTGAGTGTGGCGTTTAATGACTCGTGAGAGATGGTTGCGGTCATAATGTCTCTCGGTAATCAGGATTGAAGTAATATTGCGTTATGCCTTTGCTGAGTGGGTGTAGATGAGCTATATCCGAGGTGGGCTCCCGAGAGAGGGGTCTCCAGGTGAGGTAATGTGGGGTCAGCATCACGACCCCATTTTGGAGCACTGCACCAAAGAGTTACTCAAGATGGCTTATTTAATAACACGAAGTATCTATAATGGCCTGAGTCGTGGAAATGACTATCTGTGACTAATTCGATGCTCGCAGATCGCTACACAATATCTTTGGTTTTGGATTCTGATGAATATACATAGCGTGTCCAAAGACAGACTACAATGACGTTTTGAGCGCTATGTATGTCCGAAAAAGAAAACGCCAATGGCCTAGTTATTCTATCCGTATTCTATAGATATAATTCTATATATAGATCCTTCTAACGTGTATTCCTGTTCTCTTTTACGACCCTGTTCCTGACCCATCTAATTCGGATACGATCTCAAAGGAAAGTAACCTTCCGGCATAGGATCAACATGCCAAAGCTTATCTAAACCTGCACCAAACGCATCTGCCCACTCCTTTCTCAGACTCTCCGGTAGATTCCAGCCCAGCTCATCATCCCGAAACCTCATCCGAACCAAATGCCTCTTCTCGCCAACCCCATCACCATTCTTGAAACTATCACGTTTGTGCAGAATGAAGAGATTATTGATAAAGTGAATATCACCTGGTTTCGTCTCGATCTCCAACTGGACTTTTCTAGCTACGCGTTCAATGTCTTCCAGCGCTTCAAACTATTTCATGGAGATTCGCGGTAGATGAGCCGGGCATGGATGGATCGCATTACCAATTAGAGGGACTCGGCCGAAGTTGAGCATGATTCTGTTGCGGTCATAGAAGAATAGCGGTCTGGGATATCCTTCCTGGCTATATGGCATTTATTAAAGATCTTTCTTATAATAGAGACTAGCTGGTGCTGTTCTTACTTTGCAAAAACCCACTTAGGCTGAGAAAGCTGGTGTATAGATGCGGGGTGGTGTCGATCCAAGATATTGTATACCGCATACCCTGAAGCGATGATGCATCTCCCACCTGAGGCTGCGGCACTCCGTGTCAGCCAGCTCACAATGTCTCCAGACTCCTCGTTATGAAACGTCTAAAAGCTCAGTTATCAGCCATAGTCTCGATTTCAAGAGTCACACTTACGATTTCCGATGTCGAGTGGCGATGATGCTGACTAGAAAGATTAGAAGAGTTGTCGGCCACGACATGGACTGCAGTCAAATATGGTCAGCGCCCATGGGCAGTACTCCGTTGATGTATATTACCCAACATATTTCCCTTCTCATCCTGTCGACCTCGAAGGTTGGCGATGTACGATTGAACACCGTAGTCCAAGGGATTTATTCCTCGGACCAAACCGAAACCCTTCCCCTCATGAACATCTAGCCGTATACGATCAAGGCTTTTCCCAACTGTCGGAAGTGGAAAGTTCTGCCGGCAGATCAAGTCCCCATCTAGGCCAAGGGCTGTCACTAAATCAGACCCTACTTGCTGCAAGGTACATAGAGAACCAACCTTTGAAGTGACAGAGAGCGTTCTCGATTTCCTCAACTTCCTGGGAGCTGAGATTGTATACGTACTCTGACTCGTGGGAGAACCGGTTCCCATGCCACGCACCAGGGAGATCGATCAACTGAGGGAAGGATCTAGTTCCATAACACGATTCCATTGTGCTGGGTCTTAGAAATAGGTTTTTCCTAAGAATGAGAAGAAGACTTCATTGACGGGTAAAGATAACGGTAGTATGGCAAATTAATTCTCTTGCCGCGAGACTGCCTGGAAAGATAAAATGTGAAGACTTCATAAGGAGCAACCAGGTGCTACAAATCAGCTCTTCCATGTATTACTGAGATGAATATTTCAGTCACAATGCCTATTTCCTTGTTTCAATGTTTACACGACAGCCATAGATGCGTGGTGAGGCGAGCAGTGAGGGAAGGGGAGACGAGCGATGATTCATTCAGGGACGCCTCACGATCATCATGCATTGAATCCAAAAGCAGTAGCGCCAACACAGAAAGTGCAATCCCTATCACATCTCCTCACCTCCTCAAAGGACAACGTCAGGCAAAAGCACATTTTCGTGGCGACCTGCATCGCAAGGTACTTTGGCCGCTACCTTTCGTGGTACACAAGCCAACCCAGAAACCAAAAATGAAGGAACTAAGCGCTTCCATCTCTCGGCGTCACTCCGGGTGTGATTTCACTGGCTCGGGGCTACTGCTGCTCATCTCTCCGTTGCAGTATGCACATGGATGTTTTAGTAGCACAGCGTGGACCAAAAGACGATAGATATCTTTAAGCGATGTGAGAAAAGAAGGGATGAGATGAGACAAGATAGGAAAAAGAAAGCATAGGCCACCAGTCTCACACCAGAGAAAGTCCGCGACCTTCTTATTGCTGGGGAGACTTGTGCGTGGTTCGCTCATGGTTACATCATAGTCGTTCGAGGCCTGTGATAGGCCCTAAGATGTAGGCATGTAAACCGCTAAGGACACTATCATCATTGGCGTATGCATGTTTAGGACTTCGGGCCCTTACAACCCGTTTCTCACTGCATAGTGAGGAAGTGTGACAGTCTGTCTCGGAGGAGCAGTTAAAGATTACTGATCGGAACCAGACACAGGAATGACGTTTGCTTCATCACTGTCACTACGCCGCAGATGACTGATCTCAACAAGTCTCGAGTATAGTAGCGAGAGAATAGGGTAATGTCCAGGAGTCTCAGATACTGAATGTCTTTAGGTTCGCCGACGTCTCCGACGAGTATCTGTCTTGGCAGGATCGTAATCTCACGACCCCATAAATATAAGATAATCAGCCCCAACGTATGACCACTTTTTCCTTGGCCTTTTAGCTTATTTCCTCGCGTGTGAGTGCCGTGATGTCTTGGCGAACCAGTATGCAGCCAAGTCTTGATTTTTCCACTTCGCTGAACTTCTATGTCATAGTCTACGTCCCATAGGGTATGGTAGTTGACGCGGACAAATACTTAAATTATATGCTTACTTTGAAAGTTCGACGCCACCGCAATCGGGGCATCACTTGATGAGAACAGAGATATAAGCGGGTTGGGTACCACCGCCGTGGATACGGATATGAACCTCGGACGAAAGCAGGGAGAGCCCTGTACGGGTTAGCAACTTCTTTTCCAGGATACTCACCGTTATACGATCTTATCCCCCGATATCTATATCACACCAGGCCAATACCTTTACCTCGGATGCAACGTCGCATTCGTGTACAGGAGCCTATCTTGAAACTGAACTCACCATACTTCTAAACGCACTTGTTTAACACGAAACTAACCATTGAACCTAAGTGACCTTTAACTCAAGTGAGGCTCTTTCTCTGGCCAAAGTCAAACCTGAAACATGAACCGGAAACATTCCCGATTTGCCAAGAACGGCATATCGCGCTACTCCGGATAATCGGCCTCTGCTGCTCCACCTGTCAACCCAGGGGCAAGGTCCCCACACGCAATTCGTCCCAATTGCAGAGAGAGGAGCCCGCGTACAGACGGTGATGTTTGGTGAATGGAGTTTCAAGTCACCCTTCTCATTTAACTCGTTCCGCGTTGACAGTCTCGGCGCTATTCGTAATTGGAGGATAATTATGTTCCATAGAATACACAGAATAGGGTGGTTTCTGGAAACATAGAAACTCGGATGTAACGGGTAACCGCTTGGCTGGGCATTCAAGATTCGGGGAATATATAAGCATATAGGTAGCACAGAAGACGAAGTGATGTAGCACACAAGATCATCACATTCCTTTTGCCGGTCAAAGGTTACTCTTTCACTAAGCACATTCGTTTATTTTCGTCACTCATTACATACTTCTCTCTTCAACAATTCAAAATGACCAAGCTCGGCTTCGCTCTCCTCGCTGCCCTGGCCGGCAGCGCCATCGCTGTTCCCGCCCCAGCAGTGACCCAAGCCCCCGACGTGCACGCCTACGCCAAGCGCGCCACATCTTGCACCTTCTCCGGCTCCGACGGTGCCTCCAAGGCCAGCAAGTCGCAAGCCGCCTGCGCCACCATCGTCCTCAACAACGTCGCTGTCCCCAGTGGCGAGACTCTGGATCTCAGCAAGCTCAAGGACAACACCAAGGTCATCTTCAAGGGAACTACTACCTGGGGCTACAAGGAGTGGAAGGGACCTCTTATGAAGATCTCTGGAAACAAGATCACCGTTGAGGGCTCTGGTGCTGTGCTTAACGCTGGTGGTGAGCGATGGTGGGATGGAAACGGAGGAAACAGTGGCAAGGATAAGCCCAAGTTCTTTGCGGCTCATAAGCTCACTGACTCCAAGATTAACAATCTTTATGTCAAGAACACCCCCGTTCAGGCTGTCAGCATCAACGGTGTTAACGGTCTTACTATCAACCAGTTCACTCTTGATAACAAGGATGGTGACACCAAAGGTGGTCACAACACTGATGCTTTTGACATCGGTTCTTCCACAGGTGTTACCATCACCGGCGCCAAGGTCTACAACCAGGACGACTGCGTTGCCGTCAACTCCGGAAAGGTCAGTCACTCCTGAACCTCTCTAAGAATATCTCACTGACTTCAACAGAACATCATCTTCCAGAACGGTTACTGCCACGGTGGCCACGGTCTCTCCATCGGCAGTGTCGGCGGCCGCGACGACAACATCGTCGACAATGTGCAGTTCCTTAACTCCGAGGTCACCAACTCCGCCAACGGCATCCGCGTCAAGACCATGAAGAACACCACCGGCAAGGTCAACAAGGTCACCTACTCCGACATCACCCTCTCCAAGATCACCAAGTACGGCATCCTCATTGAGCAGAACTACGACGGCGGTGATCTCCACGGCGAGCCTACCAGCGGTCTCCCCATCACTGGCCTCACCCTTAAGAACATTAAGGGCAAGAACGGTGTTTCTTCTAGCGGCAAGAATGCTGCTATTGTCTGCGGAAGCTCTGGTTGCAAGGACTGGACTTGGCAGAATGTCCAAGTCACTGGTGGTAAGAAGTATGATAGCTGCAAGAACGTTCCCAGCGTTGCCTCTTGCTAAATCATGACTTCTTGACCCATGGTCTCATGGTTGGATTGTGTTTCCTCAGCTCATTCTGTGTGTGAGTCTGGTCTTGGAAGCATCCGGAAACCTCATTAATTCTCAACCGACGTCGGCAAGTTGTAGCCCGATGGCGTTGACACTTGATCTTTGTGTACATATAATAGCATTAAACCTTTAAACAATCTATTCGTCAACTCTGATACGTAGCACTTTTCTCTAAAACGCCTCGTGAAACCGAAAGAAAAGAGAAAGAGTGTAACAGGCGGAAGAAAACTCCAAACCACACAGTTTGACTTCAACCAATGTTCCAGTAGTAGGGGTAAAAGCTAGCCGTTTGTCTGATCTGTCTGAACCGAGTTGATCGCTCCTTCAATCACTGAAATATTTGTCGTGTCGATGGGAATGCTTGAGCCTTCCTGACAATAAGCTTGCCATAACAACTGCGCTCTATAGCACCATTGGAAATGCTCCAAGAACTCCTCATGGCTATAAACTCTCTCAATTCCGTATTCTCTCCTTGGCCGCTTTGGGGGTTTGCAGATGCACCCCTTGCACCCAATTCCAGACTCGGTCTCATCGTTTTCCGGATCCATGTAGGGCACTGCGCTTGTCACTAAGTAATTGAACTGGGCCAAGCTCTTCCATGAGCGTGGCCTTCCTCCATCGAGCTGCTTGACGCTGCCGTATTCCACGACGTCTTGCCTCTAGCCTTTCAAGCCAACGCCAACGCTCTCGCTCCAAACCCAGTGAGGGAGAGCTTCACCTGGACGTAACCACTCTGCGAAAGTGCTCAATCGTACAAACCTGGAGGCTCCGAGTCCGCGGTCTAGGCCATTACCATATCGTACGCCTCTCTCGACGCAATTCTGGCAAAGTCGCAACCATTCAGGGATGCTGATGAGCATAGCGAACTCGCCACAGTAGCCACACCACATTGTGGTGAGTTTTTCCCAAAACTCAATGAGCAGCACACGTTGCGCATATCTTGTGCCGAGTATCGCATGGTACAGAGGAAGGGCACTGATGATGCTCTTGTATATCAGGGATCTACTTATGATTTTTCGTAGCCGAAAGCTCGTCTGTCGAAGATTGAAGAGTGTTTGCACGTCGCACCACGGAAGAATACGCCGAACGGGCAGGGGATGACGACCGAAGACACCGCTGGGGCGGGGACGATTGCTGGAATTGGCGAACGATTCCAGCGAATGGAGCACGACAGTGGGATATTTGATTGGGCGGTGTATCGCGCCAGGAAGATACTTCGCATTGAATCGTGAGTAGCCGATGGCTTGGATGATGCGAGGGGTGTCCTGAGTATTGAATTCGAAGGCATTAATAGATGGCAATGAGGAATCTGTGGCGTAGTTCATCTTGATAGAGGTGAACAGTGAAGATGAGATTGATGATGATGACCAGGAAAAAAAGAATCCAGAGGAAGAAAAACAAGAAAGTTGTGTAATGATGCAGGAAGGAAAAGAGGCACTTACAAAGCAGGAGAGATCGCGGTGACACTGCCCGTTTGTCTATCCAAGATTGAGTCTAGGCAGTGTATGATAAGCATACTAAAGTTTAATAATTTATGGTGTATTTAGGGAAACTCTACCATAAATTAGGGGAAATCACTATAGGTCTCAATAAAGTGAGGAAAATATTCATAAATTCAACTTCTGGGCTAAGAGTACAGTCTAGCCTTAGAGGCTCTTACTGGAGTTGTCCCTTGTCAGCTAGAGGGCACCGCTTCTCTACCTAGTCTGCAGCCTGGCCTCAAGAAAACACAACCTCTATTGATTCAATCCCTTCTATAAAGCACCGGGCAGAATCTCTGTAATATTACTCTTCGCCAACTCCTTCGTCGCATCCAAAACCTCCACCATACGACCCCTCGCCTGCACATTCTTCTCACTCTCCATATCAGCCATCCCCATATGCTCCAACGTCACACAGATCAACGACTCCATAAGCCGCTGCGCAAGTTCGCCCGCATAGCCTTGTTCGTAAAATGCAGGGGTTTCGTTGACTTCCAATAACCACGCCGTTCCTTTGGAATCGATCAAGAAGTCAATAGCGAACAGCTCGAAGCATTTATTCAATGGTGTGAACTTATCAGCCATTGTGTGAGCGGCTGCACGAAGTAACTCCCCTGAGATTTGACAAGCTTGATTGAAGACGTTTTGCTTCCAATCACCGGGAAGTAAATCATCGTCAATCTTCCAAAAGTCCCGCATTGATTCTTTGCTGGTGAACTCCTCTTCATCTTGCAGCGCAGTGTTGGTCAACGATGATTTGAGACTGGGGTTCTTCCACGGAGGTTTATAGTCGTCAAGGGCTAGTAAAGCCAGCATTTCGTTAAAGACGTGGACTTTTAGACGTCCGACGGAGAGGACGTAGGCTCTGACGTGCCATTTTCGACCATCGATGGGTGGAATGTTGACGATGTATTGCTGTGCAACGAATTCTCGCAGAAGTGCTGATGGAATGCGCTCATTTTCGTCGATGACCAAATCTTGTATCTTGTTTGTGCCGCTGGCGGAGAGTTTTCCAGTTGCTGTGATCAGGGCGTCCAGTGAGTCAAGTCCAGGCGCCGACAGACTTGGCTTGAAACCCTCAGCGCTGTCGTCACTCTCGAACTTTGTATCCGGCGTTTCAGCGTCTTCCTCGCTTTCTTCATCCTCGTCGGAGATATCAGCAGCGAGCTCTAGGTTGCCCGCTAGTTCGTCAATGGTGCTGAATATCCGGATACCATGACCGCAGTCAATCATGGCAGGTTTAAGAATCCACCAATCTCGTTCCGACGAGTCCTTTGCTTCGTTATCTTCAAGCGAGTACAGAAGAGTTAAATCATCGGCTGCAGCTAGCGCATCTTCGACATACTCGCTATAGTCGAGTGATAGCTTCACTGTAGCAGGGCTGTGACCTTTGAGGACGCTTTCAGGTCTTTTCGTGATCCAGTAATCCACGACGCTTGCCATGTGATCTTTTCGGGCCAACGCATCGCTGTTGGGATATGCGTTGAGGAGTCCATTTTTAGCTCTGTTTAGCACTGCGAAGTGATGGTTCAGCTCCCATCCATTGAGAAGCTGATACACAGTATCCGCATCCTCTGGTATATCGGTAAAATCCTTATGACAGATAACATCCGGTACATGTCGTTTGATGCATTCTTGTACATGGCCATCCAGCCAAGGATTGGCGCTGTGAACGTAAACGTGCATTTTTAATCTGGGTTTGGGTGATCTCTCAGCGAGTGATGTAGCCTTCTTCTGGAGGGAGAGCAGCTTGACGAGGGATTGGGAGGCGAGTAAGTCTCGATTCCATAAGGTCGATAACACTTATTCTAGAAACAATCATCAAGTACGTACTTGATTGATGAGACGGGAGGGCTCGGTTCCCAAAACAAGACCAGAGCCAAGAGGTGCCTTTTAAGCACCATAGTCAGGGTTCCAACAAAGAAAATATTTTAACAATAATTGCCAAGAACCTGTTGGATGCTATTTACTAAGATGATCCACTCATTCAAACATTTCGTTGATGTTCTATTGGGCATGGCGTTGTTAAACGTAAGCGGGATCATGAAGTTCATGATATTCTTCGAAATGCATGATCGGCGTCACGCTCACCGTTTCTTGTCAGGGGTCATGCCAGGGCCCAAATCGAGATCACTGATCGCTTTGCCATGATTTCTCTGGCTCATTTGAGCTGATAGTTAAATGTAAAACCTTTTTCTTGTGCGCTCATGAGTCGCTTGTCATGTTTTTGGTGACGTGATTTGAAAGGTCGATTCTTGGCACTCAAGTGCAGATGTTTTTATTCTTCAGGTCTCAGCGACTTCATTCCCCTTAGATCTTAGTCTATCGAAAGCTCGATTCGTCAGTTTATGAAGTGGTCTAATTGATTGACAAAATAGTCTAGTGACACCGTAATTCCGTGGGACATCGGACTCTTCATGACAGCTTGCAACTTCTTAACCCAACCCGACCCAGAGAAAAATATTCTATTCCAACCCAGTCGCATGATTTTCGATACTTTTCGGCACTTCATTTTCTCTCATCAAAACATCTTCAAATGGGCTTCTCTTTCCCTGTCGATTGGAAATTGGCGTCGCATCGATGCCCGAAAGGTTGGCTTGGAATCATTTCTTGTGCCCGATAATCTGAACAGAGCCTCGTGGTAGCTATCAAGGTCTCCTGTATCCTCGGAATGGGAGCTTTCAGACTCGTCGTCTTCTTCCGGATCCAGATCCAGAAATTGCTTCTGAACTCCAGTAGACGTCACAGAAGCATCGGCCACAAGGCAGGGCTGTTTAGACTTCAATATTCGGCTCACCTCGTCATCTCTCCTCCTTTCCCCAAAGGGCGAATCTTTTCGACTGGGAAGCTTGGAAAGCCAATTTTGAACTTTTCCTTGCGGCTTCTGTTGGCTGGGATTGAATGCTTGGCGAGTATTGCTGACGTTACTCTCGAAGTAGCTTGCAGAGTTCCCTTGCGGTTTCGTCATGACGTATGAAGTTGAAAACATGCGCAGTGTAAGCGCTACATCACTGTACGGCGAGTCGATGAGGCCAGGAGTTGTAGGCGTCCGCGATGAACCCAGTGAGAAGCTCCGTTTATGGTAAGGCCGAGAAGCATCGTCGGCGCATTCGTGGAGTGTGAACAACTGCCTGTTGTATCCAGGCTCGGTGGTAGTGACTATGTGAGGTAGCGGTCGCTTGTTACGCAAGGACGATGTGCGACGAGGAAACTTTAGAGGAGCTGGCATATCCTCGCTAGAAGGGGAGTAAAAGTTCTGGTTTCTCATTATGATGGTTCAAGAATGACGATGTTTGTCATGGAACATCTATGGATTCTTCCATGACTTTAAGTATCTGGATGATGTTTCGGAATGCCCGTTGTGAATTATATTAAAAAGCTTATTACAGTGTCTTGACCGCAATTACAGTTGGCACATTACCAAGCCGAGCGACTACTGACGGGCTGAGCTAGCCTTAGTGAAACCACTTTTGCTATCAAAGCGCGGATAGCGACATGTTAAGGGCATTTTAGCGCATCCTCATATGTCAATTTACGCTGCATCAACGCCACGCTATCACTAAGCCCAGCGCAAGTGCCCCTTACACGATCTGTGAGCATGTCCCGGAACCGCGGTTTGTTTCATCTCGTGACCTCGATACGCGGGTTGTATTATCAAGGAGAGAAAGGTGCTAGACTAATTTTAGGCTACCTTGGTGATTGGATTGCGACAAATACATGCTTCAGCGAATAGATCTGGATGACTAGGAGTCTGTCATTGTATTAGTCAGCCTGTCATTTCGTACTGGGGAAAGGTCAAATATGAACCTTTCAATGTTCAATGGCCAGATTCATAGACTTAGAACATTCTTCTATTTCAGTTTTCACAGCTGGGCATACTCGAAACCATGAAATAACATGTTGCAATCACCTATTTGACCTCGTTTCTATACAGAAACGAGAGCCTCAGAACGGATATATGAATGAGGGTTATTTTCAGTGAGTGCTGTGTCAGATTCCCGTCACGGTGAGACCTTCAAAGAGTTAATCAGCGATTATCACACCCGGTTCCGGTTACCCCCGTGAAACACGATATAAAGTCTATTGTATGCCTGGCCGCGTCTCCGGGCGATCTCGTCAACCGTAGCAGGGGAATCCTTGCCGGGGAATGGAAGCTTCTCTCCCCCCTGTAGAGACTACGTCAACTCGCCATGACACTCACCAGTCGAGTCAGAATCGGATGACACTTACGTAGTACGAAACAGCTTGACTTCGGAAGGTTTATTTTAGGAGGCATTTATAGAAATACTTACTGGCGATGGTTGAACTTTAGGCTGCGAACACATACGGTAGGGTCGCAATACTCCATTTTCTGCAGAAGACGTATAGCAGAGCGCCCAAAGGGTTGAAATAAAACTTACACAGACAAAAATACTCATCATGTTCATCCGAGTGATTCCTACATCACTACCTATCTATTTGTGTCACCTTGTTTGGGTTTGCGTTTTATTGTAGCCCACATCCCTCTCCGCCACTCACTATATTCACGCTTGACCCAACGAGTACTAGCTACCGAGCTATCATAAATCCCCCTGATCTACCTGCCGATAGATCTGCATGCCGCGGCATACTCTTAATGATTGCCAAGGCTTATTGTTGTGCCGATTGGGGAGGCTACGAGATGACAACCCCGGGTGCACGGGGACCCGAGATTCACCGTTTGTCATTTAGCACGGACAACAAAACTTCAGTCACGAACAACGTATGATTGGCTAGACTTTCCTTGCTAAAGAAGTTCTGGATGGTGGCTTGGTTCTAGACTGTTCGTGTATTATTCTCTTATCATTTTAAAGAATGGTGTACAGCGCAAGAACGGAGCAAGCTCGAACTCAAGGCCTAAAAGGCTCAGTCATGAGTACTCAATCTTCCAATTCGGTAACATGGCCATGACAGTTTTTATCATGTTCCAAGCAAGTTTTGTCTATTATGAAGGTTCTTCTAAGTAATACAAAGATAATGTCTTCACTCAAATAAAAGTACAGTAGTCGCTCCTTTTAAATGCACATGACCTCACTCGTGAGATCTCGAAGATGCTACCAGGCTAATACTTCTACGGGCTTCCTTTTCCAAGCCCCGAGGGTACTGTCGTCGCATAGACGGTCGAAACTTCCGGCCAATTGTTGTGGTGAAAGCGGAAGATGAGTCGATTTGCAGCAAGGTCAGGTGGTATGCATCGAGGGTTGTTGTCGGATCCGTCGCGGCATGAAATTCAAGCTTTCCATAGTCTACATATTCGCCTGTTGGACTTGTAGGTTGGATGCTATCATAGCATGTGTTTAAGAAGTCCAGGTAATTTAAAAGACCCTCGGTTCCAGGCCGAGGCTCTCTTGATTGTTCAATATCTATCGCCCATGAGGGTTCGTCCTCGGTGCTTTCCTGAAGGGCCTACAGTGCGCATTAGGATCATCCTCCGTGATTCTTGACAAGGTTGATGGGCTTACATCAACATAACTCATGTCCAGCCATGGAATATCAGGGAGCTCTGAGAGCCACCTATGTACCTGTTGATTGTTGCTCTCGCAGCTGTTTACAAAGGTTCCAGTGATGTCATCTGGTAAAATGGAACGAAGCTGCTCATGGGCCGTCGAAACGACAGAGGATGGAGAACAAATATAGAGCGGTGGCTTTTCATCGCTGGCGAATGTATCCTCGGAAATAGCATGATATGAAGATGTTGAAGGAGTTTCCCAAGAGAATTTCCGTCGTTCGAGGGTCGCCGAATCCTCCCGGAGAGTTTCTTGTACAGTGAATGGTTGAAGGTCGAAATGGATGCCGTCCAAAGCGTCAAAGGCGTCGTTGATGGCTGCATCCATGGCCAAGGGGGTTGGTTGGTAAGACGTCTGGTCAAATTTCCGAGGAATTGAGTCTAGAAAGGTCTGGTCTGACATTGTTGAAAGCATTGGGGCGCTTGACTGATTGATGACGGACTGAATGCGTTGCATTCTAGAGCTCTTCTGTTGGTTTATTATGAATTATAAATAAGAACTTCTGGCCTTTTCGTGGTATAATGATGCCCAACTACATGGCCTCTGCGATGGTCATAGCATCAATACTACCTACAGTATTTCGTTCCAGGCTAGCAAATCTGAAACATGTCGGAGATTGTTGACATTAAACTCATAGTTTGCTGGTAGCTTCCTCATGTGTCATCCTGCAGCTCAAACTGGTCTGTTCTTGGAAATCGTCGCGAGATGGTCTCCCCAACGGTCCACCTGCTACCAGATAAGCGATAGAAAATCAGCCGATTATTTCATACTAACTAGCCCGCGAAGAACACGAGAGATTCTAGACGACATAAAGCCACAAAGTTTATTACTTTCTTATTACCTGAAATATCACTACCTCACCGGATTTGAGACGTGTTTGCGTCATTAAATGGCGGGTCTAATTGGATGCCAAAGTTGACGTGGTATTCCGCTATGCCGCGATGAGAAGGTCGCATGCTAGTATAAATGTGCCGTGGTGCAAACTCTATTTAGCCCAGCGTATTATAAGAGACCAAGCGTCCTAGGATCTACCCAGTTACTTTAGCCTTTGAAGCTCGTGCCATCGTTCTAGCAACTTCTTGACACAGTGAAGGAATTCCTTGGCGTATGATGGTTTTGCCCGCACGATGAGCAAGTTGTTGACGCAAAGACAGGAATGGAAAGTCATTTCATAACCGACCACCAGGGCTACCTAGCACAACTACACCATTGACTGTTAATCACATGTTGTGGCTACTGCCTGATTTTAGGCCACTTCAGAAGAAATGAGCCTAAACGATACGAGCTGTTCGTCTCCTTGTTAAGTGAAGATGGAGTTAGTACAACAATAATGAAACAGTTGCAGCTTGGCTTTCTGGGGAAACTTTGCGTCGACTCACCGGAACTTCCGGCCCGTTCCGTAGATCACGACACTTCGAGGTTGTTGTAGGAATAGACGTTGAATTACCCCGTACTAATCGGCTCATCCCGGATGATCAGTCGCTGGCACGTTTCCTTTTAATTACAATGAGCAAGTAAAACGCACGCACACGTTACCAACTTAACGTCTCACCGAGGCAAGTTGTCGTTCCGACAAGAAATCACCACGGTCTGACTGGTCAGGATATCATGATCGATGCCGTAGAACTCAGGCCAGCGCTTCGAGCGGACCGTGCCTGTCGCTGCGGGAATTTACTATCCTGATCATCCCCGGTTAGCGGGAATTATGAGCCAAAGTCATCAACAGGGAAGCTTTGTTATATGTAGCCTTGGTTGATAAACGAGAGGTGCATGTGGTGGAACCAGATTGCAAGTGATCGGCAGCGTGGACCGAAGATGAGATCTAGAATACCCACTGCGGCAAGGTCGCCCAGGGGAGGCGATCAGAGCGCTAATCAAGTGGAGGAAGTGACAATGACTCAGGTCACGGAGTAGATGATATACAACCTCCAATATGATATGCACGTAATTTCCTTCTGGAAAGACAGCTGAACCCCGACGCTTGAAACCTTCCGATGTCTTTCACATCTTTTGATCCACGATCTCCGTTCTGTTCCTGACATCGGACATCATTACAGGCACGACCTTCTGGAAACACCGACGACCTAGCCCAAGCCTCAACCTCTTTATCCCTCACCGCACTCGCCTCCTCCACGACCGCACGCGTTTCAGTCGACACAACTTGGGCGGTGGCTTGCCAAGCGTTGCCCAGACTAGAAGCCCTCGTCTTGAATTGAAACAGCACCATCGTGCTGCATAGTAGCAGTAAGTGAACCAAGGCCAGGCCCAGAACTACGTCTAGCCCCGTCCACCGCACTGGGAGGAGCATCTCGGCTGAGTTTATGGTGGTGACTGGCTTCTGCAGGTCGAAGCCTGCCATGCTGTCGTAGAAGATCATGGAGTGAAACCTAAAGGCAAGGGCCTGTTTGGCTAATGCAGGATCGCCCGTCGCTCACAGGATGTCTTGGATGAGAGAAACATGCACAGCATGTGCGGTCCACTAATCGATCCAATCTTCCTCATAGAGATCCTTGTAGTTTGTCATTGCCCAGCATCCTTGGGGTGGGTACCCCAACAGCGCTTGTTCAAGAGCAAAGTTCTTGTGCTCCGTCATTGATTTTGAGTATTTCGAGTCATGCACTCCGATCTCAAGCTGCATAATATGTCGTCTCCTGTAGCCTTTGTTGAGAACTCCAACGCCAAGCTGTTTCCGCAGTTGCTGACTACTCTTCCAAGGGCCGTTCCTCTGCCACTCGACTGTGGGCTCAGATGGGATAGCCATCCCAGTCATAGTAATTTCGTGAAGCTCCGGTGCATTATCCGCGACAAAACATAATGTCACACTGAACACTTCGGTACCATTCTTTAACGAAGCTGTTGTCCAATGACCGTCCATATTTGTCCTTAATCCTTTCAGCTGATCAATCTTGTCCATAGCTTTGCTCTCATCAGTCTCGCCACCTAAATCTAGGTGCCCAAATCCATGCAGCAGAATAGGACTGGACTTGAGAAGCAGCAGGGGGATGAACCTGAAGTTACGGCCTGAGAGGGGATCTGTAAGACCTAGATCCCCGGGGGGACCAGCGTGGTAACTATTAGCGAGCGAGAGTGGAAGGGTAGCTGCGTGGCTTTCATTCCATTTGGTTGGTAGCAGGGCTTGAAAGCGGAATTCATTCTTTGACTACTTTTTAAGAAAGCTTGGGCCGTTTTCCGTTGATCTGATATTGAGCTCTGCCTGAAGGCCCCATCTGCTTGCAGTAAGATCGAAGTGAATCCTTTCGAGGCTAGGACTGAAACAGACTGTTCTGAAGTTACCCACCAGCCCTGGCCCAGTGTAGTGCTCCAACAATGTTCTAGACTCCTCCTTCATGTAGGGTAGAAGAGCACGGTATGTACTTCCGGTGTCGGCAATCTCGGCAGTCGAGGTAACGTCGCCAGACTTCATTTCGCCAAATCGCCAGTTCGCAAAAGGACTGGACCTGTAGTGAAGAACACCATTCGCAGATAAGGTAGTAATCGGTCCGAGTCCAATTGGAAGAAGCTTTGTCTGCATAGGTCCAGCGATATTGACGTTCTCCAGGTCCGTTAGCAGTATCGTGGACGTAAAGGTCGAAGCGACTAGAATAATTGTCCCTAGAATAATGATCGAAGCGTGCAGCACACCAAATACGCTGACTCTAGCAACTCGCAATGAAGCAGGAAGGATTGTGTAAGGACTTGAACCTGAGGCTCGTTGAATTGAAACTGCCGCGATGTCGCGAAACCTGGTACCAGTAGCCTCGAGCATAAGAGCAGCGACAGCCGTAGCTACAAGACTGATGTGAAGGCCTGTCGATACACGCATGGCGGTGAAGCAGATGGTAATGACCTTCGTAGCCATGTTACGAAACACGATAGTTTTCCAAAACTTGGCTGGCTCGCCGCGATCTCGGGCTATTTGCGCATCTTTCCAAAGAAACACCAGTATGGCGCATGAGGCTAAGATGACCATAGTACCAGTGATCAGTGTAAAGAGGCCCAATAGTCCTACTTTGTGCCACCAGCGATGTTTTGGGTATTTCTTCCATGGTTTTGGACATGGTGGTTGCGACATTCTGCTCATGGGCGGCTTTCAATACAGCCGGTTCGGACTCTGTATCGGCGTGAGGCAGTGATACAGAATCAGCCTCCCGAAATGATTCATAGCGATTAGGGAGCCGGGGGGTTGTTTCTTCTAGGAGTATATGTTGCTTTGGGCTTCCTGGGGGAAGATTTGTCGTATCAGCAGAAAGAATAGCTTTGTACTGCCATGATGACTCTTAGTTAAGAGCAGCATGGAACAACACCAGAGTTCAAATAATATGAGAATTTGGCGTGTTTTATCCCTCATTCCCGATGCATCTTCATAACACCACACCAGGCGCGATGGTGGCTATATGTCGTTATCTAACACTTCTGATTAGACTGTCACTTTTGATAGGCAAACGGCCGCTACTCGCAGATTCCTGCAGTCATTGATTACTTGTTCTTGGCAATCAGGTCAGGCTGTGGAGGATTCTGCAAAGCTGCGCGAATGGGCCAATACGAGGCTGTTCTCTACGCCTGGTGATTTATCATCCCACCAATTTCCTTTCAGCTCATGAAAGAGTATGTCGCTTGGAGCTTTCATTAGTTGTCAATCGCTGTCATGGTTGATGCGACACTCGTGCAGCGGGCTTCTACTCATGGCTTGCCCCAGTCGCCAATTTCGTTGTGTTGGCGACCAACCTCCATAGAACGCAATGAGGATAGAATGAGAGGCAGTGCCCCAAGAATACAGCGGAACTTCTTATCCTATCTATTTATAGATAATATGTTGGCGTGTCTTACTGGCCTGATAGAATCTCCTTCTCAATAGCCTCTCCCAATGTCTGCGTATTTCCGTTACCACCAATATCCGCAGTCTTGACTTCCGCTCCCGAACTCGCCAGCACAGTTTCAATAGCCGTCATCATTTCCGCAGCGGCATCTGCATACCCAAAATGCGATAGCATCATCTGACCCGCCCAAATCATTCCGATGGGATTCGCAATCCCCTTGCCGTAGATATCCGGTGCACTTCCATGAACAGGCTCGAATAAGCTGGGGAAATCGCCCGTTGGGTTGATGTTTGCTGATGGTGCAATGCCAATCGTTCCCGTGCACGCAGGGCCCAGATCAGACAGGATATCGCCAAAGAGGTTTGATCCAACAACAACGTCAAAGATCTGAGGCCGTTGGACAAAGTGTGCTGTCAAGATATCGATGTGATACTTCTCAACCGCAACATCAGAGTAGTTCTTACTCATCTCAGCTACGCGACTATCCCACCAAGGCATAGTGATGCTGATACCATTGCTCTTCGTCGCACTCGTCAACTTCTTCCTAGGTCGACTCTGCGCAAGATCAAAAGCATAGCGAAGAACGCGATCGACTCCAACACGCGTCATGACCGTATCTTGGATCACAGTCTCTCGCTCTGTTCCTTCAAACATAATTCCTCCGACGCTGGAGTACTCTCCCTCCGTGTTCTCCCTCACGATCCAAAAGTCGATGTCGCCGGGTTTGCGACCTGCGAGGGGAGATGGAATACCAGGCATGAGCCGGCAAGGTCGTAGATTGATGTACTGGTCGAATTCGCGGCGGAATTTGAGAAGACTGCCCCAGAGACTGACGTTATCGGGAACTTGGTCGGGCATGCCAACTGCGCCAAAGTAGATGGCGTCAAAGTTTTGGAGAGTATCCTTCCAGTCATCAGGCATCATCTTGCCGTGCTTTTCATAGTAATCGCAGCTTGCAAAGTCGAACTCTTGGAATTCGAGTGAGATGTTGAACTTCTTGGCTGCGGCTTTGAGGCAACGGACGCCATACGGCATGACTTCTTTGCCGATGCCATCGCCGGGGATAACAGCGATCTTGAGTGTTTTAGACATTGTAAGAGGCTTATGAAGTCGGATGCTGGATATTAGCTCTGGGAGACTGATTGTCTTTGAGAAAGGATTTTATCTTACGTATTTCTGTGGACTTGCAGTTCATAAGTGTTCAACGGTTATACCGAAGGCCGATGATATCGGGATTCAGAAAAGCCGATGATGAATCTCCACTTCCCTGCTGGCGGTTATTTCTTTGCCCGCCGGTTCTTATCGGGGTCCCTACGCCGATAAGGTCGGACTGAGTGCTATTTGGCCGATTGTCTGTGCGACTGAATCTCGAAAAACAGCAGAGAAAACACCTCTAAGAAATGAATTACTATACCATCGCCTCGTCAATCACTATTCTGGCCTCTTGTTCGGCGTGTTTGACCGTTGTTATACGGCAGAAGGTAAGCCCGCTAGTGGTAAGCGGCCGAGGTTTGGCAGCGAGCCCGTGAAATTATGACGGCATAGTCACTCTCCGCAATTAATCATCACCAAAATATATTATTTAAGCAACTTGTCTACCAAAGGGCGTTCATGCGATATAAACAGCCGAAAAGCCCCTTCGTGTTACATTTACCGATCTTGTTTATTACAATACTATTCTCGTTAGCCTCTCAAAATGTTTGACAACTTTGAACCTTTCGCAATCAAGATAAAGTCCAACCCGGACATCACCATCAACGGCTTGAAAAGCGGCGAGCCCTCCTCCAAGCCCGCTCTTCTTCTCATCCACGGCTTTCCTCAAACACTACACATCTGGCATCGTGTCGCGCCTCGGGTTCTCGACAAGTACAACGTTGTGCTGATTGACATCCGAGGTTATGGAAAGTCCTCCAAACCTGGCGATGTAGCTTCGTATGCAAAGAGCGCCATGGCTAGAGATTGCATCGATGTTATGGACGCTCTAGGCCATACTGGGTCTTTCTTTGTCTGCGCTCATGATCGCGGCGCCAGAGTCGCGCATAAACTGGCTGTCGATTATCCTGATCGCATTCGCAAGTTCATACTGCTTGACATCTGTCCTACACTGGCGATGTATACCAAGACGGATTTCGACTTTGCCAAGGCGTACTTCCATTGGTTCTTTCTCATTCAGAAAGAACCTCTTCCTGAGACACTTATCACCGCGAAGCCTAGAGAGTTAGCAGAGATGTTCATGGGAGGTCGTCAAGGCGATGGGTTATCCATCTTTGAGCCGGAATGTTTTGAGATTTATGCCAAGAACTTGGAAGATCCCGCAACGGTTCATGCCATGTGTAATGATTATCGCGCGAGCGCGACGGTCGATCTGGAGGAGGCGCGAGAGGATCTGAAGCATGGTCGAAGGATTAAGAGCCCTTTGCTTGTTCTATGGGGAAAGCATGGGGTTATTGAGAAGTGCTTTGATGCTGTGAAGGAGTGGAAGGATGTTACTGATCCGGGTGTACTGGTCGAAGGTCGAAGTGTTGAGTCGGGACACTATGTTCCTGAGCAGGCACCTGATGTTGTTGTCTCCGCGATTCTAGAGTTCCTTAATTGAGCGGTGGAGAGGGTAATATCAATAGATTTGACGATAAGATATTTTCAGGAAGTTGAATACCCATATCCATTCGCGACGCGTATCGCGATCGAATTCGTAAAGGTAGGATCTTCTGACAAAAAAAGGCTTTCCGAGACGCGCTCTTTTTCATTCACGTGAACCAGACGAAAATATTATTTCTGACACCTAATAAAATGAGGAAAAATCCAGACGCCAAAGAAGCATAAATCAAACGAGTTCAGCTAGAGGTGACACGAGACTAGCGTTGATGATCCGGCGGAGGAGCAACGCGAAATTAAGCAGCCAATATCTGAAGCCGTAGAGCCCCCGTGTTTCGGCAACCCATCTTTTGGGGAAACGATGGTCGGGTTGGCCGATCAGCCAAATTTGTCGTTACCAACAACGCTCAGAAACGGTGTCACCTTTTCAAAGGAGGGAGAGAATTGTGAGGGGGCAACGGTTATTAACGCAATTTTTTACATTCCAATGATTTTGCAGTGAATCAGAGGGTCAAAATTCCTAGCATCCCTGAGAGAGCGGATATCAGGGAATAGAGTGGAAATAGAAAACGTGCGTCACTTCCGTGTTCGGGAAGGCTTCAAGTTCAATGCATAAACTCAAGGTTTGGGTTGGGTTTGTCCGTTGCTGCCGAGTCACCGGCTAGATATCGATGAAGAGAAAAGACAAGCCAATTAGAGCCCCTGGCTAGGTTCTGACATCAAAGAGGCGTTACCGATTCTGGAAGTGGCCTCGTTGCTGTGATGAGCAGTTTCTCTATAGGGTAGTTTTGCCTCCAGGTCCGATATCAATGATATGCGCGTAGTGATCGGGGGAGAGAAGGATAATCGTTCATTTTTCTTACATCGTGATCGGCTTCCACAGTCATCGAAAACATCTTTCTTCTTTTGACATCATTCACGTCACTTCACCTCGAAGAAGAATGTTGATCGCTGAAAGTAAACCGCGGGTTGACGACCTCATCCTCAGCTTTGACGTCAAAACACACATCTCAATACGAGCTATCGATAAATTCACGATGATCCGAGATGCTTTCCCATCTTGAAGTGGCGTTTCCAGACATCCAAATGGAGAATCGAAAAACAAGTACAGCTATCATATTAACAGGCATCTTTCTGGTATCGCATCCCCGACGATCCTACGGCGATGGCGATATCCGCTAAACCTTCGAGAACAAGAATGGTCACTGATCCTGCAGCTCACCTATGCAGACAAGGGTTAGACATATGCCAATCTCCTGCTAGAACGTCTTGTAATCGCCAACGGGGTGGATACGGTTGGCTGAGGATCCTCGCGAAGCCTACACACGGGTATGCCGCTAAGCAGGACACATGCACCGGGGACGTCACGATTAGCGGACCGTTGGTGTGGTTTTTTTCTGTACGGATGCTTGCTGCACCCAATCTAGGGCCCGCGTCGTGTCCCCGTGGTGCAAGGAACGGCCAAGACATGCGCGGGCAGGGCAGACAGCTGAGGGATGGATCGCCGAGACGGAAGGCGTTTTCTGGGCGTCCAGGTAAGCAGCAGCAGCCGTCTGGGCGTCCAGGGCAGAACGGCCGAGATGACGGGTATTCCGGAAGATGCCTTCTTGGTACTCGGTATATAACAGCTTGGCGCAGACTTGGCAAACGGTAAAAGCTGCCGTGGTGGTGTCTAGAGCTGGACATGAGATGGTGGCGATGGACATCTCTCGCGATGAGGTTCGGATCAACTGGGGGAATTGATATGCAAGAATCTAACGTAAGGTTTAAGCTTAGAGATAAGTCTAGAGCTGAACGATGGAAGCGCCAAAAAGGAATTGTTCATGAAACTAGTGATCTACAATTCTCTATACAGACACCGAATTCAAGACTCGGTTTACCAAAACGACATGGTCAGACACTCGTGAAGGTCTCATCCGTTCGCCGAGGGAGCGGGTATCATGCGTACGACAATCAGGGATGTCGCAACAACGAACAACTTCACGTGCATTAGACAAAGCGGGAATCGGAAATGTCAGGCCAAAAGAAACTCAACGACACCCAAAAATGATAATAACCCCTGTCGTTAAGAAAAAGTGGCCAGCAAAAGGACCCAATAAACAGAGGTAGTGCGTACTAGTGTCTGGGGTGCAATCTATCCAGTGAGATCTCTCCATTTCCCCATGTGGCCGTTTCAAATGGCTCTGCACGTTTCGCGCGGGGAGATGGGACTTAACGGGGAGAAGGTCTAGATTTGGTAAGAGAACAGGGCCTGCGATAAAAACTGCGATCTAACCAAGAAGAGAGACCGAACAGTGGAGTATCTCGGGCGAGAGCTAGCTTTTACACTTCAAAGTTCAAACGCTGCGAGGAACTGGTGAATCGACTTGCTAAGGGCACGGTTTGCCAAGACTCCTAAGCCGAGACGATGGATTCGAGCACTGTAAAATCGGAGGATGTCCGTGTTACAGAGCAGCAATGGTGATACAGATTACAGCGGGTAAAAGGTTGTATTTTTAATATTGTTATTGCTTGGATTGGGGGAGATTTGTTATGTCTGAGAACCCAAGTACGCATATGCACGTGCACATCCTCATCTTCAATGCAACAGCAAGCCTAGCAATAATAAGCATACTTTTGTGCTTGTGAATAAACTTACTTTCAAGCATTTTTCCAACTCTAAAAAATCTCTGCAGGGTTTTTTTACCCACGATTTGAAAAGAGAGCACGCGACTCGCCCAGAAATCAGCTTCTAGCCAAGCAGTGTCACCGATCGCTTGGCCATCTCTTGTCCCGCAGTTTGTGGCGTAGCCCCCCATGTGCTTCTGATCCTCAAGAAAACAACCAATCAGAGGGGAGAATTGGGGTTGGAGATCTCGCACGTGGGGTTTTCGAGAGAGGTGATAGGGTTAATATGCTTAATTCTTTAGTGCCCATAATACTCCACCCAACTTCGGCCGGGATCCAAAAGCGGCAAACACTCACGATGGGTGTGAAGGCGTGAAGCCACCGTGTAATCGGTAGCCAGATCGTCTCACCGAAGAGAAACACAACACGCAGTGGCTCCAGCTTCTGGACCTCCCTCCTTCGGTGGGCTGGGTGGGGGCGTGCGCACGGAACTACTGTAAGCTTAGGGACCTTTGAGTTTTTAGCCTCTTTGGCAGGGGAGCTCAACGACCCATGGATAACTTTTTTTTAATGTTTCGGTGGTACTGCAGAAACCTTTAAAGTCTCCCCTCCAGGACCCCGAACTCTGAATCCTGTCTTTTCTTGCTCGAGCATCCCTTCTTCCATCCCCTCTCCGTCTTCACCAAAGAAGCAAGCTTCATACAGCTTAGCTACCTTTCTTTTACTCCCCCTCTTTTACACAATAGCCAGATCCGTCACAATGGTTCTCGAGGCTTACACTTACGTCTTTGCCATTGGCAGTTGCTTCGCTCTGCTTGAGGCCTACAACAACGGTGCCAGTATGTGACCCCTCACCTGCAGTGCAGCATTTCACAGATGATTGACAATTTTCTTCACAGACGATGTCGCCAACGCTTGGGCTACCAGTGTCTCATCGCGCTCCGTCACATACCGAGGAGCCATGGTGCTCTGCTGTATCTTCGAACTCCTCGGCGCCCTAACAGTCGGTGCCCGAACCGCCTCGACAATCAAGAACGGCATCATCCCCATGGAGTCGTTCCGCGACAACGCCGGTGTCCAGCTCCTCGCCTTCGCCTGTGCCTCTGCCGGTGCTTCCATCTGGGTCATGTGGTGCACCAAGCACAACGCCCACGTCTCATCCACATACTCGCTTATCTCGTCGCTCGCTGGTGTTGGTATCGCTACTGTTGGTGCTAGCAAGGTCGAGTGGGGTTGGAACGGTGGTCAGGGTCTCGGTGCTATCTTTGCTGGTCTCGGTATGGCTCCTGCTATTGCTGGTTGCTTTGCTGCCATCATCTTCTCCCTTGTCAAGTGGGTTGTTCACGTCCGAAAGAACCCTGTTCCTTGGGCTGTCTGGACCTCTCCTTTCTTCTTCCTCATCGCCGGTACCATCTGCACTCTCTCCATCGTCTACAAGGGATCTCCCCGTCTGGGACTCACTGAGAAGCCTGCTTGGTACATCGCCTCCGTCACTCTCGGTGTCGGATTCGGTCTCTTCGTGCTCTCTGCCATCTTCTTCGTTCCCTTCGTCCACGCCGTCGTCATCAAGAAGGACTATACTCTCCGCTGGTGGGATGCCGTTCAGGGTCCTCTTCTGTTCAAGCGCCCCTCTCCCCCTGACGCCGAGAACGCTCGTGTCCCCAACTACGCTGTCGTTCAGCACGGTGCCGAGGACGATGATGTCTCCGTCTCCCAGGAGTCTGAGGACCCTAGCCCCAAGAAGATCAGCGATGATGAGATCACCCCCGCCGCTGCCCCCAGCTCCGAGGTCAACGAGAAGCAGCACCTCAACCTTTCCGAGTCTACCCAGGAGGATTACCAGAAGATGCTTAAGAAGGCTGAGGACAAGCACCACGCCAACCTCCGCAAGGGCAAGGGACCTCTCGGCTGGGCCATGCGCACTCTCCACGCAAACCCCATCGGTGCCGGTTCTATCCACGAGACTCACAACCTGATTGCCGTCGTCAAGCGCATCCCCGCTCAGATCGTCGTCGCTCTTATGTATGGTGCTCACTACGACATCCACACTGCTCAGATGGGTATTGAGGCCACCCCCGAGGGTCGCCGTATGGCCCGTGTCTACGAGCATGCTCCCAAGTACGCCAACGAGGTTGAGTACCTGTACTCTTTCGTCCAGATCATCACTGCCTGCACTGCTTCTTTCGCTCACGGTGCCAACGATGTCGGTAACGCTGTCGGTGTTTGGGCTGGTATGTACGCTGCTTGGCACTCTGGCAAGCCCGCCGAGAAGAAGGCCGAGGTTCCTCTCTGGCAGATTGGTATTGTCGCTGCCACCATTTGCATCGGTTTCATCACCTACGGTTACAACATCATGAAGGGTAAGTCTTAATCATATCGTCTCCTCTGAACAATTACTAACTCTCACTAGTTATGGGTAACAAGATCACCTACCACTCTCCCAGCCGTGGTTCCTCCATGGAGATGGGTGCTGCCATCACTGTCCTCGTCTTCTCTCAGTACAAGCTCCCCGTCTCTACCTCAATGTGTATCACCGGTGCCACCGTCGGTGTCGGTCTCTGCAACGGCAGCCTCAAGGCCGTCAACTGGAAGCGAGTTTTCCTCCTCGTCTTCTCCTGGATCATGACCATCCCCATCGCTGGTCTCATCGGTGGATGCCTCATGGGTCTCGCCCTCAACGCCCCTCACTTCTAAACATCTCACTCACAATTTCTGATACCTTTGAGAGCTTGACGCTCTATCGTTCTTTTTGATTACATGCAACAATCATTTGGGGATTGGGATGAAAATAGAGAAGCGGACTGCATAGAATACCGATGTCAAAGCTGTTTATAGTACTTTATACCATTAATTGACGGAGATTACTCTCTTTTACAATACTTATTTCGCTCTCTGCCTTTGATCCTTCAATGACCTCTGTAATCTATGTCTCGACCTGTACTTAGACAGCATTTGGTTCTTCACCGCGCTGAATGATCTACAACAAAGTGAACCTTGTGGCTGTCTTGTACTCTTGCGTCACAAGACTGGCAAAGTCAGCCACTTACAAAGCGACAGTTTGCACATTGCCATTGTCACGCGACCAAACATTCTCAATACGAGGTGAAACCACCGGCAACATCTTGAGCTACGTCGTTTAAGCCCTGTAATTGGTGACTCTTGGCAGGAACTGTGGGATACGCTGAGATCTTGGCAAGCCCTTGACATCTTGGCGTGCTGATGGCTTTTCCTATACACCCTCACTCACACCAGTTACTTGGCAACATCTTGGCGCATGGACTAATCCTCCGTAGAGTCGTATCATGATCAGCCATCGAAGTTTCTATGTGTTCTTCCATGATGGGGCCCGTGACAATCCCCCGCAGTAGCATCATGCGTTCTGTAATCTGGCCGATGGCCAAACACCGAGCCAATGGTCAATCAAGTACCGCAATTGTCGTGTCGCATGAGGCGGAAATTGTAAAGTTACTTTCTCGTCCGTGTCACTGCCGGATATTACCTTCATGCGAGCGGAACAATTCAAGTCCGGCGAGGTCTCACGTGATAACCGCAAGACTATCAACACGAATTGATGCAAGTCTACTTGTTAATGATGGTAAAGTTGATCTAAAGCCATTAAGAAGAATTGAAGCAATTTTAGAAAAGATCATGAGGTAGGAAGTGATTATTTGAACGACTTTGTATTAACTTATGATTATTACTTCTATGCTAAGAAAGAAGACATTGATGTATTATAGAAAACAAGAAACCAGAAACCAGAACGCCTATATCAAGCTTTTTGAACTCTCTATTGGCACCACATCTGCACAGGAACAGAGACCTGGTCCAAGACATCAAAGTCCATACCCCACTGCTTGAAGCTGACAACGATCATGTCAAAGTTCTCAAGCTCCTCCTTGTTCCAGTCCTCATCAGCCAATCGGGGAATCTCGGGAACAGCGGTCTGCTTGACGAGAGAGTCGGCGAAGGTGACATCCATGGAAAGCTTCTGAAGCTCCCTGGCGAGCTGGAGACCAGGAGAGTTGACGAGATGGTCCTGTCCGGCCTTGAAGCCCATGCCGACAACAAGGATTCGCTTGCTGAGCTCAATACCGGAGTCACGGCGCTGAAGCTTGCTGGTTCCGCGAAGCTCATCGACGATCTTCTGGGCCTGGGTGGCAGGGCGCTTGTTCATCTTGTCGGCGCAGGCCTCGAGAAGAGGGAACTCGCAGTTGGAGAGCAGGTAGTAGGGGTTGACAGGGATGCAGTGACCACCAACACCGAGACTGGGAGTGTAGGGCATGTAACCGAAGGGCTTAGTGGCAGCAGCACGAGACACCTCGAAGGCGTCAATGCCAAGACCCTTGCAAGCGTCGGCCATCTCGTTGGCATAGGCGATGCACATCATGCGCTGGCAGTTCTCGTAGAGCTTGCACATCTCAGCAACCTCAGGCTTAGAGACAGGGACAATGCTGTCGAAGACGCGGCCATAGAGACGGACAACAGCGTCGAGAGATCCAGGGATGACATCATCGAGGCCAGAAACAACCTTGGGGATGGATCGCATGGGAGGCTCAACACGGCCGGGGTCAATGCGCTAGTTCTTGTTAGTATAAGTCATGGTACGATAGTGTAGATGGTTTGGCTTACCTCGGGAGACATTCCGGCGAAGAGACCCTTGGCCTTAGCAATGGGGCCAAGAAGTTCGCGAGTGAGGCCGACAGAGACAGAGCTCTCAATGACAACAGTGCAGCCAGGGCGAGCCCACTGCTCAACACGGCGAAGGGCAGAGCGGAGATAAGACAGATCAATGGTCCTGTCAGAGCGAAGGAGGGTAGGAACAGAGATAAGGAAGTGGGTAGCCTTGCCAAGATCAGGCTCGTTGGAAGTGAAGGAGACGTTGGGTCGAGCACTGAACTCTCCCCTGAGGAACTCAAGACGATCTTCAGAGATGTCAAAGCCCATGATCTCGTACTTGGAAGAGAAAGAGTCAACAAGACCAGTACCAACGAAGCCAACGCCGATCACTGCGACAAGAGGAGTAGCCTCAGTGGGTGCCATGATAGGCTTGGCGGGTGAAGTCTTGGCTGCATGGCTCTGCTTGGTCTTGGTCTTGGTCTGGTGGGGGAGAACCTTGCTGCGAGGAGCAGGTCTCTGGACAAGATTGGCAACGATAGGCATTGTTGATGTAAGAGTGTGTGGATAGTGAGACAGAAGATGTGATGATGGGAGAGTGAGACAAGGAGGGGAGTGAAGAGTGTTTAAAGTACTCTGAAGAGATGATTGTGTTGATGAGATGAGTGATGAGAAGTGAATTAGGCTGCTGGAAGCTGTCTTCTTATAGACTGTTAGTTGATACTGAAAACGCTTCCTGATCGAAGTTTTCGCTCCATCATCTCCATAATCAACCAAAAGCAGAAACTTTGAACAGTTTTTCGATGAGAGCTATGAGCAACCAGTCTAGATTCGGCAGCATTAGGAATAGTCGAACGGACTATCTGTCGACCCAAGTTTCTTAGTCCAAGATATTGCAACCCTCCCTCGATGAATCTCGCCCCGAGAGGACGAAAAGCCCGTCCAAATAGGGAAAGGCAGGCTTCTTCGATTCGATATGATTACCTGCACAGCACAGACATAGCGGCGGCTCCCGCAGCCACTGTGTGGGTTGAGCACTATCGCGTTCGGAGCAAAAAAGTGGCGATAGTCCCGGCCGGCAAAGAGTGCTAGTGGCCCTAGTGTGCAAGCGAGGAATGCAGTGCCAAGCAGAAATCCAATCCTATTACATGCCACTGACAGTGGCAATAGCATTCCGGCACATTATGATATATTACAGTTATTTTAGAGTGCAAGCGATTCACGTGCGATCGACCTTGTGCTGGGGCATAGGTTGGATCGATCGGGGCCACCATGCTTTAGAGATCCAGTGCACAGACTCGCGCGTGAGCTAAACACGATTAATGCCAGATCAGTTTGTGTTTATTCAGGTTTAATTGACACAAATCAAGGAAATAGCAGGGCCATACCATAAACAAGTGAGGGGTTGTGCAGCAGTGACATTCGGGCCTAGGCATCTATTCCCTTTTCCCCATCGTTGCGCTGGATGTGGACCCAGACCCTGAGATAACTCTAATGGCCTGCCAAGATAAATCACCACTTAAACAAAGGCCCGACAGTCGACCTAACAAAAAACAGACCGTTCTCATCGTTTTCCCCCTCCAAATGGCGCAACTGGGGTAAGCCACTTATCACATACCTGCCTAAACCTGACCTGTCACATAGACCCAACACTCTTTCAACGTGCAGATGCAGGTGCAGTGCATGGAAAACGGGGATCGGCGCCTTTGTTCCCGGGAGGACGGGCACATGGCAGTTGTTTTCGGCAGGTCTTGGCTATGTGATCGTCAGGTCTGTCGTATGATGGAGGGTTCAGTTTTTCATGCCATGTGGTAGCGAAGTGTTCTAGAATTGATTCAGAGTTTAAGAGGATGCTGCCAAGCATACACTTGTCATGTTTTCTCCAACTGAAGGGGACTTTTCACCTGGGAAGGGGTCTTCAAGGGTCCTTTTGATCGCAGGGATGCAGAATTTTCTTGACTATCGTACATAATTGAAAATACTGTAGAAAGCTCGTTTAGTTACCTAAACGAGACCCCTCCCCGAATCTCATCCGTTGAACATATTCCGCCATCGACGTAGATAAAGCCGTTCGCTATCAAATAAACATACCTAGCCCACGGCATGCATGAATCAGAGCTAGGCTAGGCCATCTCTAGCTAACGAAAACGCCATGTCTTTCACTCTTTGTCTCTGAAATTCAGCGAGGCGTGACGGCGTGGCACACGGGACACGCGGGACAGAACGCCCATTCCGGATATCGCAGGAATGTCAGTCTAAACAACACACTCCACCCGTTTGACCACCCATGATGAATGGAGCAATGATCAACGAAACCAGATTTATCTCGACGTTGATGGAATTGTTCCTGGAAGTTGCTACCTTCAGTATTGATCTGCTTTCAGGCTTTTAGGGAGTAAGAAAAAACTTGGGACTTTGAAACAGGGTGCCAAAATTACCTGGTCTAAAGGCCCGCTAAGATATACTAAGCTTTGCTAAATCTTTTCGTCCCTTGTGATAGAGATCCTAAGTTTTTCTTTTTGCCTCCCCTACCCTGCCCATACTCTCTTCAGGAAAAACCGTGTAGGATGCATGGCACGGCCAAGTTGGTCGAAAACGGCCCAGGGAACTGGAATTCGACAGGGGCGAAGCCAGGATTTCAATACTGCCAAGGCCATTTCCCTGTTGTCATGATGGGGGGGGGACCTTGTTTGGATGATCTTTTTTGCCTCGAGTGAGCTGTTGATTTGAAGGCCATGTCTTGAATTCCTCCCCCCGTTTCTCCTTTGTTTCGCTCAGTTCTCTTCTCTACGCCCTTTTTTACTCTCTCTCAAACATGGCTTCTCTAAGTACACGACCGAGAAGCGCCTTGTACTCCTTTGAGGCCAAGAAGGCTTACTTCGATAATGAATTTGCCAATGGTACCTCCCTTCATGCTCCTGACCGTCCTCCTATGCGGCACATGAGATCATGGCAGAACACTTCCTTCTCTTCTACAGCAGAGACTGTTGTTGGCGATGATGGTCATGACCATCATCACCACCACAAGAAGGATGCCCCTTTCTTTACTCTCAATGTCATCTCAGAACAGCCCCCTACACCACCTGTCGAGCCCAAGATCCATCAAGACCCTCTCTTCCCTTCTCCTACAGAAAACCTCACGCCTTTATTCAATCTCAATGCCTCACCCTCAAAAGACTCAAGACTCTCTACCACTGATGAGGAGAGTATCTGCCCTCTTGAGTCAGATCCTCAGAAACTTAGCCCCACTGTCTCTGTCTCACCGAAGGTTGTCTCATCGAAGTTTGTTGAGCCAGCACCAGTGCACGCAAATGACAGCATTGAGACATGCGGTTACCCCAAGATCGAAGACCCTGTCGATCCTGCGAGGATCTTATCGCAAAGGGATCTGCGCAACCAAAGGGTCGCCTTCATGGGGATCATCGTGTTTCTCAACATCTGCATGGCAATCACTGCCTTCTTTGGTAAGAAGAGCAAGTTGATCTTCATCGTCATCTTGTTCGTCAAGAGCAAGGATTTCCTATCTGCGATCCTGTCTCCTACCGGGATGATGTATCGTGCTATCCATGACAAGTTCTACCCACCCAAGCCTGTCAGCCGAAAATGGATCTTGTCTCTCATCCCTGCCTACTCTGAGAGTGAGGAGCAGATCGTCAAGACTATCTTCTCTCTTCGGGATAATGGTGTTGAGCCTCACAAGCAAGTCATGGTCGTCATCCTCGATGGCAAGCCTCGGGATGTTCGATCACACATGACAAGAATGGTTCGCGAGTTCCAACGCCCCTACGTCTCTTTTAAGTGGAAGAAGGGTGTCTTGAACGTCCTTGCCGGTTTCATGGAAGATGTCCCTGTCATTGTCATCGAGAAGGTCAAGAACGCCGGCAAGAAGGATTCTCTCATTCTCTGCCATGATCTTTTCAACTTTCCTCGTGAAAACTCTCCTCTCTACACAAAGCTTCTACGAAAGGAGATGTGGGACGAAATTCTCCCTGAGTTGACCAAGGGCGAAGACTTCAAGGGCTTTGACATGGTTTTCTGCACCGATGCCGACTCTACTATCTACAAGGGCGCTGTCGCTCTTCTGGCTAATGCTCTTGCTCGCGATGACAAGGCTATTGCTGCTTGTGGACTTGTCCTGGTTGAGCTTGAACCTGGATATGAATGGTCGTTTTGGAATCTCTATCAGCAATTTCAGGTATGTTTCCCCAACTATTCGGCTGTGACGTGGTCTAACATTCTACAGTACACGTTTGGACAATATGTCAGACGGCGAGCTGAAGGGTTCATTGGAAAAGTCACTTGTTTACCTGGTTGCATCACCATGATAGCAGTGAGACCAGAAATGGCCGGTGCTATTCGGAAATACGCCGAACCCGTTACCGGTGAACTAGTCATGAACCACCAAGTGCAATACCTCGTAAGTGGAACCCCTAATTCTCCTAGCAAGAAACCTTCGGATCATTGCTCCCACTTCCCGTAGCCTCCCCACAAGGCTAACCTAAACTTTCTAGGGCACTGATAGGCGACTCACTTACTCAATGCTGTCTCAGGGTGAACATCTTCGTACACTGTTCGTCCCTGATGCCGTCAGTGAGACGGTTGCTCCCCAGTCACTGTTCCACTACCTAAGCCAAAGACGTCGATGGGGCTCAAATGCCTACTTCAACAATTACTTCTATTTGGCTGGCGAGAAGATGATCACCATTACTCGCATTGCTGCCTCTGTTGAAGTCATCCGTCTGAGCTTGGTGTACTACCGCATTCTCAACACTGCTTTGTTCATCGCAAGCTGCGTTCGTCATATCTCTGCTCTCAAGCTTGTTCCCATGTTGGTAGTTGGCCAGTTGCCCTCTCTTTGGTTCTTCTGTTCAGTTCTTCTTGAGCCTGAGTTACGAAAGCGAGGGCACAAACTTGCGATCGGATACCTGATCAACAAGTGTGTATCACCAGTCATGAGTGTCATCATCTTTACAAAGGTTGCCACCAACCTCGGAAGTCAAGTCTGGGGTGTATCTGGAGTCACGGCATCTTCTGGTCCCGTTCCTCCTCAAGTGGAAATAACCGAAGAAGAGGCCAAGCTGTTTGACGCAGATGTTTTGTCTGCGGCTGAAAAGGGAGAAGCGCCTTTGTTGTTGAAAAATCTGTTGGATGATGAGGCAATTGCTAAACCAGAGCGTTGTCGCCTCAAGGACGAGCGAGCGGATGTAGACTGCTAGATTACATACTAGCAATAGAACACTAGACCTAAAAGTTAATTAGCATAATATTTAATGACAATCATGAATCAATCAAAAACTCAATCGGTCGTGATAGTGATGGATGCAACCACTATTCGCTTTCTGAGCATATGCCATGACTCCATACAGTGTCTACATGAGCCTCGGTAAAAGCTCGTTCATCGTTCAATATTCCGAATACAGAAGCCCTGTTTCCTTGGCAACCTTTCTAAAACCGTTGATTCACTCAACCCACCATGACGGGGTTGTCCAGAGTTCGCCGAGATCCCACGTTTGCGGTTCGCCGCATGTCTGACTATCCCCATTCCCCCATTGCACAACGGCGATTGTCACTAACCGTTAGGCAACCATGAATCAAGGATTTTTAAAATCAACCTTGAAATTTAAGACAAAGTGACATCACCGCTACAGCCCGTCCCCGCAAGAGCAATGTCGCCTCCCGCAGCCATATCCGGGCGCCCTCCATTCCAGTCATGACAC